TACACAACCGTAATAGTTTGATTGCGGTGTTTACATGTCTGTACTGCACTTAAATGATGTGTCTAAATCGGCATACTCCACATGTCTTAATTTGATTTCTGTTTAGTTCGATTATGACCTTAATCGGATTACTTTAATCCAAAAGTTGCTGTTTACATTGTTAACTCTTAATCAGAGTATTTTCTTAATCGTATTCAAATTAATGGATTAATGGTGTCCATGTAAACATACCCTGTGTCATACAAAGAAGGATTCATTGAAAGTACAGTGAAGTCTCATATACGTATCAAGACCCATATTGTCTTTAGTCTCAAATGTAGGGCTAATAAAACTGTCATAACAGTTCAATTTTGTTTACTTCATCTGTCGACTTGATGACAGTCAATTGCAGATCCTGTGCAGACAGATCCACATCACTCTGATCAAATGCTTTCTTAACTGCTGCTTTTTCACCTCTGTCACTTCTGCAGTACATATTCACATACGCGTCCATGGATCTGGATATTTGTTTACATCATTAGGCTACAAGCTATTTTTGTCTTCTTTTCCCTTAATGCAAAAATAATGAATATAAATGAAAACAATTTTGCTCTAAGTATACTGGGGCATTAAATCATGCTCAGTCTCTTGTATGATGTATGTATGAAATGTGTAAATGATTAATAATTTTTTTGCTGTGATCGTGGCCAATTACTGTTGCTAATAACAAGGGGTCTAAATATAGACCATTTAAGTGGACTACAGTTTACTAATTGCATTCTTAAATTAAGATTTAACAAAGTTTATAAAGGAGAGGGGGAAAACAGAAAACACTTTGAACACAATCCTGTGTAAAGGTAATGTTAAAGTAAACTGACCACTTTAACATTCTCTCTGTCCACCTTCCAGATGCTGCAATGCCTCGAGTCATTTTCGGCTAAACTGTCTCTGAGGGAACCATGGCATCACAGAGGACATCTGGAGACCCGTTCGCTGAACGCGGCTCTCTCCCTCTGGACATTGATGATGTCCACATACTCCTGCAAGGTCAGACTGAAGCTTTAATTGAGCATAATGTCATTTTTGTTTTGGACCGTGAATTCATTCATTCATTCATTCATTCATTCATTCATTCATTCATTCATTCATTCATTCATTCATTCATTCATTCATTAAACAAACTTTTATCCGTTTATTTAAGAGTAGATTCAAATGATTTATCTGGTGATTCTGTGTGTGTAGTGTGTGTTAAAATCATAGGCTGCATCTAAAATTTAGTAGATACTATATTTAAATTCACTACGCGGCTGTTAGAAAAGTATGTTTTATATAGTATGAATGCGAATAGTATGAATGGAATTCAGACATACTATATCCGCCATTTGTCATGATCACATGAACTACCATTGTCAGTTGCTTCACTTCACTCCTATTCATGAATACTTGAATAGCATCATGAGATTGCGTAACGTTCATTGGATGCACACATCAGAATCTTGCCGGAAGTACGTCAATCGGGTACTTCTCACATACTGTTTTTCGAATACTATAAATTTGGACATACAACTCTGCTCACATACTGTTTTTAGCACACTATATAGTAGGAAAGTATGCAATTTCAGAAACAGCATTGCTCACTCACTTAAACACATCCTAAAAAACATTATGCTTAGCTCTGAATAAAGCAATTGTTGTTTCTAAAATTGCATAGTCTTTATATCTGGAAATATATGTTTCCCAACCCTGTTCCTGGAGGCACACTAATCGTACATATTTTGGATGTCTCTCTTATATGCACCATTCATTTAAAGTTTTGGAGTCTCTTCTGATGTTCTGATGAGTTGATTTGGGTGTGTTTGATTTGGCAGAGTTTGTAAATGTGTACTGTTGGTGTGCCTTTAGGAACAGCGTTGGGAAACACTGTTTTATATTATACTGTATATACACTCTCACTCTCACAAATTATATAGTGAACTCTCACTGTAAAAAAAAGGAACATTTTGCCATCCATAAAACCTTTTTGTTACAGTCTTTTAAATGAACAGTTATCTGAAAGGTTTTTTGAGGAACTCAAAATTGTGGATATCTCAACAATTATGAAACCTCTATTTTTAAGAGTCTGCTTCACATCCATTAAAAAAAGTTCTATTGTATGTACAGTAAAGCCTAAAATTATACCTCAGGGAAATTCTGACTTAAAATTACTTTCATTCAACTAGGACTGGAAATGACACAGACTTCTCCCAAAAGATAAGAACTCAACTCAACTCAATTTATTTCTAGAGCACTTTCAACAAACCACAATATGTACCAAAGTGCCATAGAGTGTAGGGAAACCAGTACAGGTGTAATGTGCTCTCGTTTTTTTGTGCCTGTTAAAAGCCTGGCAGCTGCTTTCTGGACCAGTTGCAGTCATGAGAAAGGTTCCTGACTAACACCCAGATACAATGCATTGCAATAATCCAGATGAGAAGAGATGAACGCATGAACAAACTTCTTCAAGTCACTGAAAGAAAGGACAGAATTCAGCTTGGCAATACGTCTAAAATAGAAATAACTATTTTTGACAACTGCATTAATTTGCTGATCAAATTTAAGCTCAGAGTCAAAAATAACACCAAGACTCTTTACGGAGGAATGTATTTTTCCAGGAAGGAATGACAGATTCCCATAAGAATCTGAACCTTTTTGGCCGAAAACAATAAATTCACACTTGCCCTCATCAAGTTGGAGAAAGTTTTTCTCTAACCAACCCATCACATCTACCAAACAATTTAAAAGCCTGAAGGGAGGATTGATCCCCAGACTTTATGTGGAAGTAGATTTGAGTTTCATCAGCATATAGATGGTAATTTATGCAATGCTTTTCAAAGATTTTTCCAAACGGAACTAAGTAAACGGGGAAAAAAAACAGGACCCAGTATCGAGCCCTGCGGAACCCCACTCATTATTTAAATGACAGATGGACAAGAGTTTTCCAAACTGTCTTAGATAGTTCTATCCTTCAGATATGAGGAGAACCAATCCAAAGCTAGACTGGATAGAAGATGATGTACTAGAGACATCATTGTGGGAAGAAAAAAAAATTCTCAGCTTTTATTTGCATTTAAACAAAAACTTTAGGAATTTGCCATAGGTTTGAATAACTTCGAGCTTGACAGTATATGGATAGTTAGAATGAATTTTGGACATGCTACATGCACCACGTTGTCCCTATGACATAGCCTTATTTACTAGTGTCACTTGCATCAATTCACTTAAATAAATCCTCTCCCATAAATCCAGACAACTTCAGAACTTGACTTACATTCTGTTTTTCACATACTAAATAGATGGGAAGTATGCAGTTTCAGTTAAGCTAACGACATTATTAAGGCATAAATCCAGCATGGTTATGTGTTTTGCAGAATGTTTGGAAACAGGTAGATGTAATTTAAGTTCTTTTGCCCTGAGTCATGGAGATTTCCACAAAAATGTTTTATTTTTCCTAGAATGAAGGGTGTGGGTAATTAGATTTTATATCCATGAATTATATATATATCCATCTTCCCTCTCTCTTTTAAAGTGTGTGTTTGGTTGTTTTGTACTCTAAGTAAACTGCTGTGAATGTGTAGAGTTCTTTATGAACATGATTTATGCAATCACATTATAAGGTTAGTTATGAAAACAAAACATTACATTTTTGTTGGTTGCAACATAAGATCATTCTAAAAAAAGTAGGCCTACATACATTTCTGGATATCCCGAATTATGTAGCCAGAATTATGTTTGGCTGCATTTTGTCTATAAAACAAATGCTACGGGGCTGTATGATGCTGTTCCTTTTCGTGCTTGAAGCTGACTGCTTCCATATGGATGGTTTTCTCGCTGTTACCAGTTTGTCCAGTAAGTTTGTCATGTATGATGACCATGATGACTGGGTTCAAGTGCAGCGAAGAATGGTTCCAGAAAGTGAGTGAGACAAAAACAGAAGCCATAAAATAAACAAGTAAATAACAGGGTAAGAATGTGGTAAAATCTGAAAATGTGGTTAAAAAAGAGGGCTTCTGTATTGCTTTTAAAATTGTCGGTTGTGTTTAGGAAAGGGGGTGGGCGGGATAAACAGTGCTTTTGAAAACACTATTGGTTGGGTTTAGGGAAGAGGGTGAGCAGGACAATCGGTCCTTTTGAAAACAGTATTTGTTGGGTTTAGGGAAGGACAAGGGTCATTTAGGCCCCGTTTACACTAACATGTTTTAATTTTAAACGGTATTTTAGAATGAAAATGGTCCGCGTCCACACTAGCGTTTCACCCAGCATTTCTGAACAGCTCTGCTTCTACATTACACTGCTAAAAATGCACATCACATGACCACATGCACACACACACACATTGGCATGCACTGCAGCGTACTTTGAGCACATCTAATGGCACTAGCAAGAGAATTTTTGAGATATCAAAAAGCATACACAGCACCCTCTGGTGGATTCGTAAAAACAAATTATGGCAAAAAACATAGCTCCTAGGATGTATTTGGCACTTTCCAGAAATGTATATAGCGGTATAACCCTCCCACCCCCTTACAAGAAATTAAGTAGATAATTTATTTCAATTTAAGTAGTAAAGACAAAAGTTACATGTTTTAAAATAATTTCTATGTTCTCGGGCTACTTGTTTTGTCATGTTTAAGCCATTAAAGAAAAAAAAAACTTAATTGTGATGTTAAAAAAACTTACCTAATAAATGTTTCCCACTGTCAGTGTTCTGAAATGAACTAAAATCAAATGAAGTTAAAATTACTTTTAAAATATAATACAAGAACAAAAACAGATGCAATTGTGCAACATATTTATTAAAATCTGAAGATTCAGTGAATAATTAATGTTTTAACATGTTGATAACTGCTGAAGCCTTAAGGATACAGCAGTTTGCATTAGGTTAATCTGCACTTGTTTAGACACGCTTTGTGTGTTTCTCTGGCACAGGTAAAAGGTGGAGCTTTTATGAAACCTGCAGTACTGGCGCTTGATCTTGAACTGCGTAGCTAAAGCTTACGGGGCAGGTTGTGCCGTGTTTACGTTAGTTTTAAAATCTGAATCTTATACATGCTCTCCAGAATTTCAGTGCAGGAGTTTTGCACTGCTTTGCTGTACTGCAAGATGAGGCTGGTCTATAAAACGTTTCTGCCGTTGCACACTCCATCATGCAACTATTGATAATACAGGAATAGTACATCTGATGACAGCAGCATGGGTGAGTTTGTAGTAGCTTGGAAATTAGTTGAAATATATATGCATAACTACTGAAGGTAGAAATATCAGTCAGTATGCAATCATTAATGTAACATTTTATTTACCATTCAGCCGTATCTGTCATAGTGCAATTATTACTGTCAATGTCTCCTTAAAAGACAACAAAAAGAAGTTGCCTTGCTTTGTTGGGATTGATCGGCCATCTGAAAGGTCTCATGGGAAGAAACTTGGATTTCAAGGTGAGGTGATGCACACTATTTAAAACTAAATAATGCACATAATAATAATGCACACACATACATACTTACATAAAAACTGACATACAGTAGCAGTGCAGTCTTGCTGAAAATTGACTAATATATTTGATAAACATAATGAAAGTCACTTGATGCTATATAATATTTCAGCAATAATGCTTTTATGTGAATTTTATTTTATTTTTCTATTATCTTGAATTTTTCCCAGTACTGGGTTGCAGCTGGAAGGATATCTGCTGTGTAAAACATATGCTGGATAAGTTGGCGGTTCATTCCGCTTTGGTGACCCCTGATGAATAAAGGGACTAAGCCGAAGGAAAATAAATAAAATAATTATCTTGAATCAGTATAAAGCAGTTTATTCATCATATTTGTCTCTGCTAAATGTCAGTCAAAAGCTATTTCCCTCCTTCTGTTGTTCACTCAAAGGGAGGTGTTGTCTCTAATGATTTATTGTACGACCAACACCTCCCAAAACACATTAAACACAAGGTGTGAACTTTATACAATACAAACATTCCAGATTGTTCCAGATTACTAAATTTTAATTTTTTTTTTTTATTTAGTTAAAGGAGGTCATCAGTAAAGATGAATGTTGAAATCTTTCTGAGGTAAATCAACAATTGATTAGTCATTCAATTCCACTTTCGGTACAGCAAAGGGAACACCAAAAGAATGCTTCCTCTTTATTTAAAAATGGTGTAGTTAACAAATCATGTTGATTTTTAAAGAAATTCAATAATAGTTTGTTTGTTCCTAAGGAAAAAAATCTTTCCGAGCTAATGCTGTAAACTACTGTATATAGCCCTTTTTTTTACAGTACTAAAATGCCCTTTCAGCCGCAACCCACACAATCATACTCTACGGACAATTCAGCCTACGCAATTTACCTGTAACGCATATCTTTGGACTGTGGGGGAAACCGTAGCACACCCACGTGAACGCAGGGAGAACATGCAAACTCCACACAGAAACACCAACTGAGCCGAGGTTCTAACCAGCGACCTCCTTGCTGTGAGGCGACAGCACTACCTACTGCGCCACTGCTTTATATATGAATTATAAAATATGAACTACTAAAATTTATAATAGGGTGGCACGGTGGCTCAGTGGTTAGCACTGTCGCCTCACAGCAAAAAGGTTGTTGGTTTGAGTCCCGGCTGGGCCAATTGGCATTTCCGTGGGGAGTTTGTATGGTCTCCCACTGTTGCTGAGGGTTTCCTCCGGTTTTTCCAAAAAAAAAAGTTAGAAGAGTAGAACTTGCCCTTATTTCTTTTTTTTCCTTCTCCTAATTCCTTTTGTATCATATTATTATTTAGTTGTATTTCATTTTAATATTACACATATATATATATTTTATAGAGCCTAAATGTACACTCACTGGCCAGTTTTTTAGGTACACCTTACTTGTACCGGGTTGGACCCCTTTTTTCCTTTAGAACTATCTTAATCCTTCGTGGCATAGATTTAACTGGAATTATTCTATTTGGTATTATTTGGTACTGAAAATATTCCTTTTTGCTTCATATTGACATGATAGCATCAGGCAGTTGCTGCAGATTTGTTGGCTGCACATCCACGATATCAATCTCCTGTTCCACCACATCCCAAAGGTGCTTTATTGGATTGAGTTCTGGTGACTGTGGAGGCTGTTTGAGTACAGTCTGAGTTGATTTGCGCTTTATAACATGGCACGTTATCCTGCTGGAAGTAGCCATTAGAAGATGGGTACACTGTGGTCATAAAGGGATGGACATGATCAGCAACAACACTGTGACATTGACACGATGCACAGTTGGTACTAATGGGCCCAAAATGTGCCAAGCAAATATCCCCCACACCATTACACTACCACCACCAGCCTAACCCATTGATACAAAGCAGGATGGATCCATGCTTTTACATTGTTGACGCCAAATTCTGACCCTACCATCCAAATGTTGCAGCAGAAATCAAGACTCATTAAACCATGGCAACATTTTTCCAATCTTCTATTGTCCAATTTTAGTAAGCCTGTGCGAATTGTAGCCTCAGTTTCCTGTTATTTGCTGACAGGAGTGGCACCCGGTGTGGTCTTCTGCTGCTGTAGTCCATCCGCCTCAAGGTTTGTCATGTTGTGCATTCAGAGATGCTCTTCATCATCTTGACCATGTCTACATGCCTAAATGCATCAAGTTTCTGACATTTGATTGGCTGATTAGTAATTTGCATTGACGAATAGTTGGACAGGTGTACCTAATAAAGTGGCCGGTGAGTGTACAGTATATGTATGGTTTTGTTTGTTGTCTAAAAAAGAAAGTTAAAAACTATCTGTATTGCATGTTTTATATCTAACATGTTTAATAAAAGCTCTTTTGTGGTAAAAAGTAACAAAATGCCAAGCTTCTTTCAATTATTGGACAGGTTGTGCGCTTTATAACGTGTAGTGAAGTTTAACTCATGCCACATCAGAAACAGCATGCACTAACAGCTCTATCTATCAAACTATGGATATATAGGTTATTATTATTTCACTGAGTACATTTAATTGATGTAACATTAAACACTTTTAAAAGAGACTGCAGCAGCACCATAAAATGACACACAGTCTTATGTACTTCCTCTGTGCTTGACAAATCACTTTCTGGGTTAAAAATGACACTGGGTTATATGTCAAGTGTAAAAGCGCATTAGTATTTGATAGCTGCACTCTAAATAAATTCGCAGGAAACTGAGCTGATAACTCTACCCATCCCAAAGCGTTCCCTCATTGTGTGCTGCTGATATAGAAGCGTGTGAATGATGACTGTCAAAAGATCAGTTCAAACACCCACTCCTTCTCTCTTTGTGGGTCAGTCGGTCAACAGCGACATCTCGGAGACATTATCCTGATATAAAATAACCAGAGCGTCTTATTCATAGTGAGTGAGGCCATGTTTAGAATTTAATATGAGAGAGTGAGAACTCTTTTAGAGTTGCAGCAGGCTGGCAGAGAGAATCAAGCTGGTGGTTGAGTTTATCTTGTGGCTTTTGCTTATTTAAAAAGAAAGTCCTTGTAGTTGATTTGATTACACTTAGACAGACTTTGAGAGATTGTATAGTTTTGTTGAAGAAGAATGGAGGATGTGGATTGTGAAAGAATGGAGGAAAAAGATGTTCTTCACACTGCAGATGAGCTCATTGACTTTGTGGAGCTATATAACGGTAAATGTGCTGTAAACATGCTATATAATGTGACTTTTAGGCCTTTGTTGCATTTCATGTCGACGGTGTGTAAGTTAATGCTACAAAAGTTTGATTTCAGCAATGAATGAATGAATTTGTGCATGTTTTTCCCCCCCCAGTTTATGAATACATTTTCATTTTACATTTTAAAATGAAATGACAAAAAGTCATAACAACATTTTTTTTGCTACTTTAACTTACTTTCAGAAGTTACTTTGGTTTCAACTTTTTTTGTTGTAGTACACACTTTACATTAAGTTTGTTAATGTATTTGAATAGTTCAGATGCAAAAACCTCTAAGTGCTGTCTTAAATCTTTTTCTAAAATAAGCATTTTTCTCAAGATCCTATATGTTTGTGTTCAGTTATTCCGCTTGAAAGGCAATGCAAAGAACATTATTTGCTGTAGAAATTAGCTCATTGACTTTGTGGAGCTATATCACGGTAAATGTGCTGTAAACATGCTGTATAATGTGACTTTTAGGTCTTTGTTGCATTTGATGTGGACAGTGTGTCAGTTAATACTACAAAAGTTTGTTTTCACGAATGAATTAATTAATTTGTACATGTTTTTTTCCTGTTTATGAATACATTTTCATTTTACATTTTAAAATGAAATGACAAAAAGTCATAACAACCATTTATTTGCTACTTTAACGTTCTTTGAGAGGTTACTTTGGTTTCAACTTTTTTGTTGTTGTACATACTTTACATCAAAGTTTATTAATGCATTCAAAGAGTTCAGATGCGAAAACCTCTAAGTGTCTTCTTACATTTTTTCTGAAAGAAGCATTTTTCTTCAGATCCTATATGTTTGTGTTCAGTTCTTCCACTTGAAAGGCAATGCAAAGAACATATTATTTGCCGTAGAAGTGAGCTAATTGACTGTGGAGCTATAAAACGGTAAATGTGCTGTAAACATACTGTATAATGTGACTTTTAGGTCTTTGTTGCATTTGATGTGGACAGTTGGTGTGCGTCAGTTAATACTACAAAAGTTTGTTTTCATGAATGAATGAATTAATTAATTTTTACATGTTTTTTCTGACTTAAAAATTTTCATTTTTCATTGTGAAATGATATGGCAAAAAGTAATTTTTTTTGTTATTTTAACTTACTTTGAAAAGTTGCCTAGGTCCCAACATTTTTTTTGTTGTACACACTTTACAATAAGGTTCTTAAGGTATTTGAAGAGTTCAGATGAAAAAACCTCTTAGTGCCATCTGAAATTCTGTTCTAAAATGAGCATTTTTTCAGGATCCTTTGTTTGTCTTTAGTTATTTCACTTTAAAGGCAATGCAAAGAACATATTATTTGCCGTAAAAGTGGATTTCCTGAACATACACACAGAGAAAAATGTCCACTTTAGAAAAAAATTCAGATGGCATTTAGACGTTTTTGCATCTGAGCTTTTCATTCATCAACATAAACAAACAATGCCCAATACATTTATTACAGTATTTATTAATCTTTGGTGATGTTAGTTAATGGAAATAAAGCTGTTTATTGTTACACTTAAAAAAATAATCTTGCTGCTTGTTCAAACTACTTATCCAAAGTGAGCTGAAAGAACACATTTTCTGAGATTTTTTTGGGACAACTTAATTGTTTTAGGTTTAATTTTCTTAAATGTGTTAGGTTAACTTGAATATATTAAGTTTAGTTAACACATTTAGGTAGATTGAACCTAAAACAATTAAGTTGTCCCAAAAAAATCTCCCGAAAAATGTTGGGACAACGTTAATGAATTGTGTGGAACCCTGCAGGTTTTACAGTGTAGTTCATGTTAACTCTGAGAGCATTAATGTTTAAAAGCATGAATTTGGCTTTTAATAATGTATTAATAAATATTGAGCTCTGATTAAGTACACTGTAAAACCCAAAAAGTTAAGATAACTCAAACCATTTGAGGAAACCGATTGCAACAAACCATTTAAGTTCAGAAACGAATCCTAATGAGTACTGTTAACACAATCCATTTGAGTAATGAAGCAATTTGAGCACAGTAAAACCTAGTAAAAACCAGTCTTTTCTAAACCAGTCTATTCTAAAACCCTAGTAAACCAGTTTATTCATAGACTGAGCAAATTCAGTTAAATGCAGCTCACAGAGATTCAGTTTGAACAATATTATGATTATATAATCTAATATATTATATAATTATATAATCTAATATATAATATATAATCTAATATATAATCATTATATAATCATTATATTGTATAATTAACAATATAAGGATTATTCGCTCATTATGACTGTATGAACTGGGTTTCATGTTTTCACTCTCTGCTCTTCCCTCAGTGGAGCAGGAACAAATTCAGAAGAGAACCTTCACCAACTGGATTAATGCCCAGCTGTCTAAGGTGAGGGTCAAAGTTCAACCGCTCCTAAACCTGATTTAGAAACCCTACAGCCCTGTTAGAGTGTGTTATGTAATCGCCATGAACTTCATTTGCTATATTTTGAGTTATTTGTTCTGACTGACAAATAACACTTTTTAAAATGCATTTAAACTACAGATTAATGACACACATGGAAATGCTTGTTGGCCGAGGTCATTCCTGACCATTCTCCAATAGCGCAGGGGGAATGAGGGGTGGGCAGGGGGTAAATATAATCTCCTCAAACATGAGCCAGAAAGATAGACAGCAACAGGAGTTGTTCAGCGCACACATTCACCAGCACACATATTCACACCCACAGCTACTTATAAAGTGAGCAAATGACAAGACATGACTGGGACGGGTGTGTATTGTGAAGTAAAGCACGTCAGGGCGTTATTATTTTGGATAGCTTCATATGTTTGTCTCTTCCTCCACAGTCATTAGAATATTAGCTGATGTATTGCTAATGCCTGGAGCTGTCAGTTTTATGTAAAAGGTTTTAAAAGGATGAGTTCACACAAGCTTGTTTGATTTGTCCTTTAGACATGTCTGAAAATCTGCTGTGAAGAGACTCTTGTTGAAACTGACGCAAATAGATACTATGTTGTTGAATACAAAATAAATTGAACATAACTATTTTAAGATTTTAGATAAGAATACAAAAAGACCATTCATATGTGCAATCATTTGATAAAATCACTCATGAAACATATCTTTAAAAAGTTAATCACATGAAATTGACATGATTTTAATTGAATCTTTAAGGGCTAATGGGCTATATGCACAGAAAGTGTTTTTCAGCTACTGATAAACTTCCAGTAAAAGGTTTATGTGACTATTTTCAATTTCATAGGGTTCCTTTACAGTGTTGATATTGTGATGTTATTCAAATATTTTTTGGTTAAATTAGTATTCATTTAGATTTTCAAGTGTAATACAAGATGAAAGACCAAAATTTAAGTGCCGTCAGGAGAAGCAGGCGAGTGTAGAAACTCCATTTAAAATACTGTGGTAAAACAAATATGCATATTTTAATGACATGGCCTGGAACAATAGAATGGAATGGGTTCAGTGCTTCTTGTCTGGTCTGAGACCCACTTTATCGGATCTTAGTCAGGTAATGAAGATCACTGCTTTTTTAAAATAATCACACCTTAAATATTGCAATTTTGTAATGGCATGACAATTCACTTAGAAGTGTTTAAGCTGGCATATCAAAAACTGAAGTCTGTGTTCATATACAGTGCATACGTAAAGTATTCATAGCGATTCACTTGTTCCACATTTTTTTTTATGTTACAGTCTTATTCCAAATTGAATAAATTAATTTATTTCCTCAAAATTCTACACACAATAGCCCATAATGACAATGTGAAAAAATATTTTTTGAAATTGTTGAAAATTTATTGAACCCTGAAAAATCACATGTGCAGAAGTATTCACAGCCTTTGCTCAATACTTTGTTGATGCATCTTTGGCAGCAATTACTGCCTCAAGTCTTTTTGAATACGATGCCACAAGCTTGGCACACCTATCTTTGGGAATTTTTGCCTATTCCTCTTTGCAGTACCTCTCAAGCTCTATTAGGTTTGGTGGAAAGCAACGATGTACAGTCATTTTCAGATCTCTCCAGTGATGTTTAATAGGATTTAGGTCTGGGCTCTGGCTGGGCGACTCAAGGACATTCACAGAGTTGTTGTGAGGCCACTCCATTGATATTTTGGAGATGTGCTTTGGGTCATTGTCCTGCTGGAAGATGAACCGTCGCCCCAGTCTGAGGTCAAGAGCACTCTGAGGCAGGTTTTCATTCAGGATGTCTCTGTACATTGCTGCATTCATCTTTCCCTCTATCCTGACTAGTCTTCCAGTTCCTGCTGCTGAACAACATTCCCACAGCTTGATGCTGCCACCACCATGCTTCAATGTAGGGATGGTATTAGCCTGGTGATGAGTGGTGCCTGGTTTTCTCCAAATGTAGCGCCTGGCATTCACTCCAAAGAGTTCAATTTTAGTTTCATCAGACCAGATAATTTTGTTTCTAATGGTTTGAGAGTCCTTCAGATGCCTTTTGGCAAATTCCAGGTGGGGAGTGACTTCCTTCTGATGACTCTACCATACAGGCCTGATTGGTGGATTGCTGCACAGATGTCCTTCTGTAAGGTTCTCATCTCTCCACAGAAAAACACTGTAGCTCAGACAGAGTAACCATCACCTCATCTTAGCTGGCTGGCCAGCTCTAGGAAGAGTCCTGGTAATTCTAAACATCTTTCTCTTACAGATGGTGGAGGTCACTGTGCTCATTGGAACTTTCAGAACAGCAGAAATTTGTATGTAACCTTCCCCAGCCTTGTGCCTTGAGACAATCCTGTCTCGGAGTTCTACAGGCAATTCCTTTGTCTTCATGCTTGGTTTGGGCTTTGACATGCACTGCCAACCCTGGGACCTTATATAGACAGGTGTATGCCATTTCAAATCATGTCCAATCAACTGAATTTACCACAGCTGAACTCCAATTAAGCTGCTGAAACATCTCAAGAATGATCAGTGGAAACAGAATGTACCCGAGCTCATTTTGTTTCGCGGTAAAGGCTGTGAATACCTATGTACATGTGATTTCTCAGGTTTTTTTATTTATGAATTTAATTCAATTTTATTAATAAATTTGCAACAATTTCAAAAAAAATCTTTTTTTTTTTACATTGCCATTATGGGGTAATGTGTATAGAATTTTGAGAAAATAAACTAATTTAATCCACTTTGGAATACGACTGTAACATGAAAAAAGTGGAAAAAAGCTGTTACGCCCCGTGTGGCTCGGAGGATGAAAAAGGGCTTAACATAATTATGACAACCCAATATTTTAAGAATTCCTCTGAGATGTTAACTGCTATGAATCAACACAGACAACGACGTTGCAAAAAAACTGGTTCGCTTTATTACAATAAAGATAAAGATAAATATTTAAATCACCCAAAGTATATTTACAAATATGTACAATAAAACAAAATGCAAATGCAAAAAGTAAACAAAAATACCTGATGGAGGGAAGGAGAATAAGCGGTGCCAAATCAAAGAAAATAACAAATTAAACACCCGCTAACTAATCCCTCCCCCAACTCTAAATAACTAAAGAGAAATATGTAAATAAGAAAAAAAACATCTTCAGCGTCACACGCCCCTTACTCAACTGCACTGACTGTAACAAACATACATATGGTAGCACCCGCCTCTTACCTAGTGGAATAACAAAAAAATCTACTACGTGTGTGTAAAATGTAAGTCACGTGACATACTTCCCTTCACTTCCCTCTTGGTATTTTTAAATCACAAAAACTCTTTAAAGCGAACCCGAGCACAAGATAGGTACCAAAAGTTACAAAAACACAGCAGCAACAAGCAACATGGATCCCCCTCTCATCTGGGCTGAGTCATCACTGGAGCGTTCAAATAACACCCATCCTCTTCTGATTGGTCCACTCGGGAGAACTCTGCCAACCAATCGGAACACCTAGATTTTAGAAGTATAGGAGACAGCAAATAGAAACAGAGAGGGGAGGAGGGAACAACAGAGCAACACCCCCAGGCATGTAACAAAAGCGCTATGAATACTTTCCGGATGCACTGTACCCAGTTCACAACAATATAAATTAGGTATAAAGTGAGATTATGTTGGTAAATATGATGTGCATGACTGCTGTGAACATTTTTTTTCTAGCTATAATGTGTTTTGTCATTATTTGTGGTAAGATATAGCCAAACCAGTTTTTGTGTGGTTTACTTGTGGTTTAGTTATGACGTTATATACAGTACCATGTCCATTTGGGTGTTTAATATGACATATTTGATTGTGCTTCCTCAGAGGAGTCCTCCAGTTACAGTGGTGGATCTTTTCAATGAATTCAGAGATGGAAGCAGACTTTTGGACCTGCTGGAGGTCATGAGTGGTCAGAGAATCGTAAGTGGATAGTTAGTTTTCAATAACCAAAGTGTATCTATATGTATTTACTCTATGTTGACCATTTCAGATGCTATTGGCCCATGAATATTTCCTGCTAGTTTTCAAACTATTTTTTAACTGCAACAAGAGGCAATTTAATAATTTCTTAATGTTAAAACAGCTGTCAGAACATTATTTATTAATATGTGGACCTTTTTGGATTCTCAGAAGCTAGAAAATAAAAATGTAAAACAGGAAATACATTAGGACCATTGTTATTGTTTACATCCCTCAAAATGGTCTATACTGTATGAACACACGCACTCAAAATGTGATTCAAAATGTTTGAGTACTAGCAATGAGCATTGACTAGGCTTGCACAATGCAGAACAAACTTATTTGATCATGAATAATGAATCTCAGAATGGCAAAATATTAATAAAGTAAACTTATTTTCTAATAATAAAATACAACCTTTATTTCAGAGCCGAGAGAAAAGAAGAGGGACATTTCAGCACAGATCTAACATTGAGAAAGCTCTAGCGTTCCTTAAGAAGAAATCGGTAAGATGCACCAGCTATTGAAACTCAGGAAAAAAGTAACAATACATTTCAAAGGATGTTTACAGTCTTCTGTTTTTCCTCCCAAATTAAAAGAGCTCAGTTTGTAAGGGAGAGAACTTAAATATAATTGTGTGCATTCCATTTTAATTGCAAAAATATGTTTATGAAATCCTTTTTTATTGAAAAATCAATTATATTAGTTTGTTCAGGCTTGGGGTGTTTTCTGTTTAGTGTGGATAAATATATAATAATAAATGTTGAAATTAGGTGTAAACATCATTGTCCCATATATACTGTAGATCAAACTTGTCAACATCAATGTCTCGGATATCATGGATGGCAAACCATCCATCATTTTGGGTCTGGTCTGGACAATTATCATGCACATTCATGTAAGTTTACTCAATATTAATATTAAGATTTCATTATTTATAAATACAAACACTCATGGTGAGTAATTGTCAGTTTTGGTGTTTGATTTTTCTGCTGTGTCTTCTATATTGTTTAGATTGAAGAATTGGCCAGCACATTGTCCTTCAGCTCCCGTCAGTCTTCTCTGGAGTCGCTGGCGAGTTTGGACACTCGTTCGACCAACAGCAGTGCCCGCAGCAGTCCAGTGCCACCCCGTGGTTCACCCTTACATGCCCGTTTTCGCGTATCAGCCAAGAAAGCCCTGCTGCTGTGGGTCAGAGAGCAGTGCCAGCGGTGAGGAACAATCTGCTTCAATAAATTGATGGGAACGGACAAATTCTGAACCTGTACTGTGAAACCTATCATCTCATGTTTGTTTTTTCTCAGGGCTGGATGTACTCTGAATGTGAAGGATTTCAAGGTGAGCTGGAGGAGTGGAGTTGTGTTTTTGGCGATACTTCATGCTCTAAGGCCAAATATAGTTGACCTAACCAGAGCTCGAACAAGAACAAACAGACAAAACCTGGAGGAAGCCTTCCACATTGCTGAGAGAGAACTTCATATACCCAGACTGCTAGATCCAGCAGGTAAGTCTGTTAGGCCTTGAAAATGTATGCTTTGTATATGCAGTATATCAATCAAACAGCAGTTGTATATTTGTATTTCAGATGTTGATGTTAGAGATCCTGATGAAAAGTCTATCATGACTTACGTTGCTCAGTTCCTGCAGTATTCTAAAGATGCTTCAGTTTCTGATGAAGAAATGCAGGTTAGATACACACACACGTTTTATTGGTGGTTTACGAAGACTTTGCATAGGCATAATGTATTTTATGCCATAAAAACATCTTGTTATATGGCCTTACCTCACCCCTACCCCTAAACCTAAAATGACAGGAAACCTGAGGCAAAATTTGAATGTGAAAAGACACCATTAAGTATTTAAGCATTTTGAATTATGAGGACACAAGGCATGTCCTCGTAAATCACCTTAATGGAGTACAACTAGGTAATACCTTGGTCATTATACAAATTTCTGTCCTTGTAAACCACCAAAACCAGTACACACACACAGACACTGACACACACTTTAAGCACTTGTCACCGAGTTCACTGGCTTGATTGAAACAAACAGCTTTTTCATCTAAAAAAAGTGTAAATGCTGCCATCTGAACTTTGGTGTGCCTCAGAATATCAGATTGACACCTTTGGAAAAGTGTGTTTCAATCCACCTCCACATGAACTCTAGTGAGGTTTGACTAAAATATGAACTCAAAACAGGTCAAAATCACTCACTCACTTTTCCTACAGCTTAGTCCAGGGTTTATCAAGAGTTGCCACAGTGGAATTGACAACCAATTACTCTGTTATATGTTTTATGCAGCAGATGCCCTTCCAGCCGCAACCCAGCACTGAGAGTACACTAACTAGTCAAACTTCAGTGCTGGGAAACACACACTCTCTCATTCACACACTCACATACTATAGCCAATTTTAGGTAATCAAATTCACCTATAGCGCAAATTCACTTAAAGTCTTTGGACTGTGGGTGAAACTGGAGACCCTGGAGGAAACCCAAGTGAACATAGGGAGAACATGCAAACTCCATATAGAAAGACGTCCTGGTCCAGCCGGGACTCGAATCAGTGACTTTTTTTCTGTGAGGTGACAGTGCTAACCAATGAGCCACTGTGCCACCTAAACAAGTCAAAGTCCCCTAAACTAAAACAAAAACTAAAAACAAGATTTGATGTCACAAGACCAAAGAAAAGAGACGCTGTGTCCCAATTCACATTTTATCCATCCTAAATAGTATTCGAAAATAAAATTAGTATGTCCCAAATCATAGTATGTTGAAAAGAGCATGCCAAAGGTTAACGGATGGTTTACTACAGTATTTCCGGTAAAAACTTGAAGTGTAGAAGCGTCCATACTCTATCCACTAATATTGACCACAATACATTGCATGTTGGCCGTGAATTTGTTTAGAACAAACTTGGGTAAAAAGTGTTAACGAACTACAAACATGGCGGACGTGTGAGACCATCCGTCAAGTAGAAAAAAAGAGAAAAGAGGCTTCGGTAAAGTTGTTTGAATGACTGTTACTTACTGTATCTAGCCGACTGGAACATGTTTAAACCATGCTTTCCATGTTACAATGTGAATCAAGATATGTTCAAGATGTGTGGACATTAACTTCTGAATGCATAATTACTCAAAGACCTGAGGAGATTTTCCTTAATGAAAGACTTGAAAATGGCAGATTAAGGTAGGCAATTAAATATAAAAGAAATGTGGATAATGTATCGAGATGATTGACAGGGGACGTAACTACGCAACACAACAATCTGTTGAGGAGGAAGTAGTATGTGCCAAAGCTGGCATGCTCTTCTGTTACACACTCAAAAGTATATACTTTTTCTTTAGTAAATAAGTACATACTTTTAGGGCTGTAGTATTAGTATGTGAATTGGGATGCAGCAAGAGAGTGCTCAATCATACCTGTTTTTTGTCATATGCTGCTAATTATATGCAGGACACCCAGCACATAGCATTATTTTGCATGTTTAGTCAGTTTTGTTGCAAAATATATGTTATTTTATTTGTTTTATAGCTTTAGTTTTGGTCTTAATATTGATAGTGTGAATGCTAAGCGAAGCAGAACTAAATGTTTTCTTTTCTTCTTTGCTCTCACAAGTGTGAACACACTCTAAATGCTCAAATGATTCATTACACTTTCACATCTCTTTCTCTTTCCTTTGTTTCACTTTGCTTTCTTTTTTCCTCTGGATGGTGGTTTAGTTTCTCACTCCTCCTCAGCGTCTTTCTCCTGTCAATCTGCCTTCAGACTTCACTCCTTCTATTGCTGCGTCACCTGTAAGACAGGTACGTCTGTCTCTCACTGTTATTTATAAGGTGCTGGATTCATTCATTAGCTGCCTTTTTCTCTTATAGCTTGACAAAGGTGTGCTAGTTGTATTCATTCATTTATACAGTGTCAGGGTTATTCATAATTGTTTATGAAAGGTTCATTTGGACTAGTTTAGCCTGTTTGTAACCTAAATAGCGTGAGTAAATAGGGTATTTATTACAAGTGGAGTGGTTGGCACATGATTCATTTTCAAGACTTGCTTTTTTCTAATTATGAGAGTTGAAAATCTAATTTAAAAGAGTAAATAAGAAAAGTCTTATGCTTAAGTGTGTTGTCAGAAATTCTTGTTGATGGAGGCTACATCTGCATTAATGCAGATATATTTAAAATGGTGTTTTGTTTCAAAAATGTTCTTCATCCATACTGGTGTTTAAGCTTTTTCCAAAGCTCCATACCTGCATTGAAATGTTAAAAATGCTAAATAGTATAACTGAAAGCTCAATGTGATGATACTAGGACTAACTAAAAAATTCAAACTGTTGTTCTGACACAATCATATTATGTCTAATCACACTTATTATTGTGTGATTTGAACTAGGTCATACTTAGAGCATGACAGAATCTGCAGACTTTTTTTTTTCTATTTCTGCTGAGAATTTTGTGAAAAATCTGTGGATTTATGCTGAATGATTTTAGAAGTATCATAATGAAAAACTTAACATATGAAATAAAAAATAGTATGTTTAACTTTTTTTAAATGTTTACTATACAAATCCTATTAGATCCACTTATTTGTTAAACAAAGCAAGTCTCTCATAATATATCTACTCTGTAAAAAATGCAGGGTTCCACTCAATTAAATTATGTTGTCCCAACACAAATCAATTAAATTAACTTAACACTTTTAACAAATTTATGTGGATTGAACATAAAAAAATAAGTTGTCCCAATGAAATCTCAAGAATTGTGTTGTTTCAGCTAGATAAGTAGTTTGAACAAGCAAAAAAAAAATGTTTTTTGAGGGTTTAAAGGACAGAAAATATTACTTTACAAACTGTATTGTAAATAAATCAAATGAACATTTTAATATTACTATTATTATATCACAATAATATTAGTGAAATTAATTTAAAAACTGAATAAATATAAATTTACACACATTTACACAAGTAAATACAATTTACTCAATGATGGGGATATCTGGAGATTCCTGCGCATGCAGATTCTGTGTGGGCTTAGTCATACTGTACCACCATTCACACTAGTTCAACTCCCCATGTTTTGTCACAGGACAGCAATTGGAAGTACACTTTCTGTCTTCTGTTATATTATAGCATATATTTACATGTATATAACAGCCTGTACTCATGAGAAAATGTAAGTATGTTACGTTTTGTCAGTTTAGTGGCTAATTTGTTCCGAGTTCAGTTGTACGAAAATGTTCGATTTTAAAAAGAAGGCCCGGCACCCAACCACACTCCTAAACTCAACCGTCATTGGGTGATGAGCAAATCGTACTAATTTTACGAATTAGATCGTATGAATTCATGCAAATTAGCCAATAAATCAAAAAGTTATGAATTGCCATGAGATTGCGTTGGAATATACTGTAAACCACATGTATAATTTTTAAAGGCAACACTGCAATGCAAAATTATTTATTTACTTGGTAGAACATTTTCAAAAAGCTCAGGTTTTGCAGAACAAAAGCACCCTTAGTGTGGACAGAGGGCCCAAATTTAGAGACAAAGATGGTATTTCAAATGTTTCCAGATTAATGTAGTTTGTTTACCTTCTGGGTGGGTGTGATTTTGCCAAGTACGATGCGATCCTAGGTTAACATCTATTTTTATTCTGGAACGTCATATTTGTTGGAAAATGAAGACCATACCTAATCTTAACCCAATAAACCCAACCATGACTATAAAATATTCCCAGAATCAGAGGGGAATAATTGTTGGATAACAATCATGTAGAAGTACATAACCTAACTGTAAGCCTAAACTTAAAATAATCTATAAAATTTCCTCTCAATTCTGATTGGCTGATTGGAAAGTTGTTTCAGAATCAACATTTATGTTGATCCAGGAACATGTTATACTAGGTGAAATCACACTAATTATCCTTTCTGACTGGAAAGTTTGATTGTTTTGATTTTTGTTATGGTCGATTTTAATTGTTTCTTTGTTTTTTTTTACATGATTTGTTTTTGACCAGGCCCACTTGTTTATACCATGTCCAATCAAATCAGGTTCTCCCCAATCACCTGAGATAGCAGTTAAATCAGCTGCCCCTGGGGTAAAATATCAAAACCCCCTCTTTTTTCTGCCCAGTTTTGCTGCCCGATTTTGCTTGTATAAACATGCTGATAACTATAAACTCAATCATGAAGATAATCTCAGAAATTAGAAAGCTAATCCATTAAAACCAGTAATTGATGGAGATAATCATTTAATTTAAACGAAATAACTCATTTTATAAAGCAGCACTTGTGTTTGAAGACACTAATACACTGGACTTGAGCATTTTAATTATAGACATGCTGAGAAAGCTGGTGTGTGTCTAGAACTTGTTTCCTCTAGAGACCTGCAGTACTAATTTCTGACTGCTTTACTGTTTAGTGTGTAATACAGCTCGCATTTAAGATTTAATCCAAATTTAATCCATATCATTTATTTCAGATTTTGACTGATGGAATTTTTTTGTTTTGTATTACTGACTTCAATGACTAAAACTGCCCAATTGGTAACAAAATCAAGCAAAATTGGTGAGTTGTTGATTTATTTGTTTTTGTTTCTGTTTATCCAGACTTCAACTAATCAGAAGGCTCAGGAGGTCACATGCTGGTTGGATCAGGCCTATCAGGAGCTGATAGAAGGGTGGGACTCCACAGAGGGAGAGAGCTATGCTGAAAGATATCAGGTAAGACTAGAATTTAATAGTAGAATTTAGTTTAATTTAATTATTTTTGAATTCGTTCATTTATTTTATTTTCCTTAGATTTATTTTATTTTGTTTAGTTTAGTTTAAATGTTATTATTATGTATTTACTTTATTTTATTTTATTTTATTATTATTGTATATATATATATATATATATATATATATATATATATATATATATATATATAATTATTTTTTTTTAGTTTTGTTTTGTTTTATTTTATTATTATTTATTTATTCTTTTATTATTTTTTGATTTATTTTATTTTATTACTTATTTATTTTTATAATTTTTATAATTATTAATAGTTTTTTTATTTTATTAATTCATTTATTTAACTTAATTTAGCTTTATTTTAATGAGTTTAGTTTTGTTTAGTTTTTTTATTATTATTTTTATTTAATTTTTATTTAATTTAATTTTATTCATTTATTTTATTATTTGTTTTTATTTGATTTTATTTAGTTTTATTTTATTATTATTTATTTTTTATTTCATTATGATTTAATTAATTTTAATAGTTTTATTTATTTTTATTTTTATTCATTTATTTATTTTTTATATATATATTTAATCTTGTTTACCAATGCTTTGCTTCTGAATTTTGTTATATAATCACATTTTTATACCTGTTATGTCATATTGACAGTGATGAGAATGAAATGTACACATTTGCATTGGTTTTGTTGTACGCGATGATTTATTTTTGCATTAATGTTTATTTACATTTGTTTCAGGTTTTTCATACCTTTATTGTGTCATTTAATGAACAACGCCGGCCCGTGATGCCACTTTTAACAGCAATGAAGAGGACACCCCAACTCAGTGCTGAGCAGAAAGCTCTCAGAAGATCATGGGACACTCTCGCTGAAAAGGTCAGAGGTCAAAACAAAAATGCATGCACTTAGCATTTAGAGAACAGAAATGCATAGACATCTTATGCTAATTTGTACTGATGTGTGCATCTATGGTAGCTGCGTGAGTACAAAACAGAGCTGGACCTGACTCTCCCATCACCGCTGGACACTGTGGGCCGCTGGTTGTTGCGTATTGAAGAGGTTTTATCTGCTGAAGAGACAGAGCCAATGGATCATGCACGAGCAGCCGAGGAGGCCCGGGAGAAACTGGAGATATTGAAGGTTTGACTTGCTTCTTTTCATTCATTTTGTCAGCCCTATAGAGCTGTTCAGTCACGAAAATGCAAGTAGCATCATGTTTCTGCCTCATTTTTGTAGGTGTGTTTGGAAGAGATGCCTCATCATATCAAGAGGTTTAATACGTTTCAAAACACTAATGAGTTTGGAGAGACTCTGGTGCCGACAGACAAGATGGAAGAGATGAAGCGAAGGTATATTTGAAGGTCAAACAATCATTAGTCTAGTGTTCCCACACTTTTGGAAAGTACTGTAAAGTACCTGAATTTCAGACATGTGGATTCAAGGCCTGGAAAGTACTTAAAAACAAACACCCTAGCAAACAATTTTGTGTTTAAAAGATGTCTAATTGACATATAAATGTAGACAGCTTGGCTAAAACAAGTCTAAACTTGGGCTGTCAGTGACAATCTAATAGACATCTACGAATAGCCCAAAACTAGACTAGTTGTCAAATATAGCCCGTTTCGACTGATTGGTACGGGTCGGTACGGGTCACCTTTATCAGCCATGTATTTCCATTGCCTAAAGGGTACCAAGGGTACCCCTTTTGGTGGGCATGGTGTATGACAGAAAGTTTCAGTCGATGTCATTCTCGCTCGAGGAAATCTCGCTAAAGTAAAGCTGTACGCATCCTTCACAAATCATACGAGAAGCACACACAAAACAGATGATTTATACACAAATACTTATGTATAAATCTTCATTACTAACTTTTCTATGAACATAATTTGATTATAACTGCAAATCAATGATTGCAATGATGTACAACTGATGATCAATGATGTGCAAAACATAAGTAGCACACATTTTTATCATCAGCTCAAGAAGTTTACTGTTTCATATAAAGACGTATACACGAGTGATTGCAAGGTCACTGGAGAAAGTAAAACAGCTGGCACTTTTAGACGGCCTCGTAAAACAAAAACAGGACAGGCAGATTTTGTTTTTCGTGGATTTGTGGCTGTACATCAAGACAACGACAAGGTTTGTTTGAGCTCGAGTCAACCATGGCTCATAATTATTTGCATATAGTATTATAATGTAATGTCACGAATGACGTTTCTCTGTAAACCAATAGTGTTCAGCTGCGCAACTTGCTCTGCCTTTTGGTAACCTTTTGCCATGCTAGGTACCCTTTGCAAACGGTACCCAAAAAGGGTTATAGTACGGTTCACTTTTAGGTACGTTTTGACAATGGAAACGACCATAAAAGCATACAGTACTGAACCGTACTGTACCATAGCATAACACTCAGTGGAAATAGGCCAATAGACAGATTAGACAGACTTTACAGTATATGTGTAGTCATTCATTTCTGTTTATTTGATGACTAGTCTAGTTTTGGCCTATTCTTAGACATCTATTAGATTTTCAGACAATCCAAATTTGCTTAAGCCACGACAACTACAGAATGTTTAGGCATCTATTAGACATATATTAGACATCTTTTAAAAACAAAAAATGTTTGCTGGGACAGGTCCTTGAAAAGTGCTTAAATTTGATGAACAAATTTGTTCATTTCAACAATTGTTCTCAGTTGTCAAAAACAGAAAAAAAAAAAAACTGAGAAATTCTTAAAAAAAAAAAAAGAAAAAATTGAAATCTTGTGCAATATCACTGACAAATAATGCACTTTTAATCAATATTTTAGAAACCACATTTGAATATCACCAGGACTGAATTCAACACATTTTGTTAAAACTCTTTGAACATGACTGTTTAAAACTGTCTAATTTTTAAAAAAATGACTCTTACTTAACTTAATGTTTACTTTTATGTAAACATTAAGTTAAGTACAGTAAGGACTTTATACTCGGGTATGAAATACAAAGGTGCTTGATTTAAAAATTTATGGTGCTTTAAAAAGTCCTTGAATCTTTTGTTTATGAAAGCGTGGGAACCCTTTTAGTTCTACTGAGAATTCTGACATCATTTACTCATTCTCAACTTTATGTTACAAAACTGTATGAGTTTATTTCTTGCGTTCAACACAATAGATGACATTTTGAAGAATGTTGGGAAAAGTTGTAGTCATTGACTTGGATGTCAAAGGCTACTGGTTTCCAACTTTCTTCAAAATATCTATTCTTTTGGATTCAACAGAAAAAAGAAAAGCTTGAAGTTGAATAAATAGTGTGTATGTTTTAATTTTTGGGTAAACTATCCTTTTAATTATTTTTGTTGTTATTTCATGAACTTTTTATCTACTGTGTGTCAATTACTCAGGTTCACCAGTGTACGAGTAACCGCTAAATATCATGGAATTAAGCTGGAGTACCGCGAGCGCAGACACACTGTGATGGACCTGCTCAATCAACTTAACGTCAAACTACGATCTTGGAAAAGAGCTTACATTTCACAGGAGGCTGTTCGTGTGCTAATGCAGGACTGGAATGTGCGTGAGAATTTTTAGTCACAAAAAGTGACCATGCTAAATCACACTTCTTAATAATTTAAAGATTTCAATAAAATTCTTTGATTACAATGTTTTTAGGAGACTGTTAACAAACAGGAACTGACATCTTTGCTGGACGCGGCTCTCCAAAGACTCAAACTAATCGCCAACAAATACACCAGCAAGGCTGCCTTGGGTAATACGCATAAATATAACAGTGGTGTAAAGGTGTATGTTTTTTTTTTTACTGTTTATCTGTAGAAAAACAATGCTAAATCAGTTATTCTCCATTCAAAGTGTGCATTCATTGTCTGAAAATTTGTTGTTATTTTGTTCCTAAAACTAGCCTACTGCCAGATTTCCTGGTAGCCCTCAGGCAGGCACTCTTTTTTTGGTAGACCAAATATAAATTTAAGTAGCCCAAATAGAAAATACATTATTAATTAAATAAAAACAAAAACATACATTTACCAAAAAAAAAAAAAAAAAAAAAAAAAATATATATATATATATATATATATATATATATATATATATATATATATATAGGGGCATTTGTTATAAGCTATATAGTCATTTTAAATAACCACAATTATATAATTTAACTATTTAAAGATTATAATATATATTTTTTTAATAATTAAAAAATTACTTTAAGTGAATGTTGTTACAATAATGTATATATAATAAATAGAGTGTTCCCTTGTGGTTATTTGGATTATTTCTTTTCTAACTTAGGCTATTCCTTTATCTGAATCTTATGTTGGTGTAATCTCTCAGTGAGTAACGACTGTGTGCTTCAGTGCCACGCATTCGGTACAGAACAAGCAATGGAACTGGCAGAAACACTATGTTACGTTATTTAGGTGCTAGTTGATAGTATTGTGGCTTTTGTTCTTTATTATCAACAAGTGAATTTATTGCTGGTGTATCAGCAGCACAGAACATACATAATTATCCACTTTGTTAGATAATGTAAAAACATAAAAAAATAAATAAAAAAAAACAATAGCCCTGGGATGTCGGGCTACCGGATTTTGCAAGCCCTTCAGTTTAACCTATTACATTTCAGAAATACAATCTCTAGAGAGCTTTTGCAGCTTCTGAAAAGAGATGCAGATTTCTAAAAATCCACATGAGGTGGTTTTGATTTAGCAAACAATCCAAATATTACAAATGTAAACATTAGCTAATCAGCTTATAGTGTAAGGCACGCTAGCTCCTGTTGATGTCTTCAATCTGGCAACCTGCATGTGTGTAATGTCAGAGGGTGGAGGAGAGAAAAACTGTATCAATATTTTGAATTCAGACTGCAATATCCAGTTTAACCCCAACAATCCAACCCATACTGCACCTTTAAATGGAAATCAAATAACTAGATATATGTAGAAGTGTTAAAAATGTACTTGTGAATATTAAACAGCTAATAACTTGGCTGATATCTGCCTCAGCTGGTGACTCGACTCAGGTAAATCATCAAGTGGCTGATCTAGAGGCAGACGTTACAGCTACTCTGGAAGGTGTGCGTATGGTGAGAGGAACAATGGGACGTGTGCTGGCTGCATGGGACTCTTACAGCGATATCTACACCTCACTGCGTGCATGGCTAGAGCAGGGTCCACATGGCCAGCGACATGGGCAGAGAACAGAGGTGTGCAATGATTTACTTCCTTGTTGCATTTTAAAGTCCTATCAATTCACCTGTACTACACTGTAAAAATGCAAGGTTCCACACAAATCCTTCGTATTGTCCTGACACAAATTGATTAAGTTAGCTTATTTGGTTTTATAGATTTAGGTGGATTGAACATAAAACAATTAAGCTGTCCCAAAAAAAATTAAGAATTGTGTTGTCAATTTTTAAATAAGTAGTTTGAACAAGCCGGAAACATCATTTTTTGGAGTGTAGCTAGGCAAAGCTTACATATTTTAATAGCTGCTTGTGTGTTCACTGGATTGTAAACCTGATGATTTTCTTAGGTGACCTCATCAGTGATGTCAGAATGGAGTTCTCGCCAAGCTCACCTGAACGATGTGGCCAGCTACCTGATAGAGGTCACAGACCCGCAGACTAGCCGCGCTATTTCAGATGAACTCTGCAGGATCAACCTCCTCTGGGCTGACTTTGCTAAAACATCTCAGTTTGTGAGTCACCTATCATGTTCAAACTTGAATATAGATGAACTCAGATGATTTAATGCATCTTGCATATTGCATTTCAGTATTTAGCTGAGGAGCCCCGTGCTGCCCCTTCCAGCCCTCAGACAGTTCAAGCACTGATGAGAGAGGCCACTCAGTTACTGAAAGAACCTGTAGAGGTGGTTTCTGGATCACTTCGTACCTACACTAAGAGACTACAGGTACACAGTATTTGCATATACACCTAATTGCATTCATACACACATAAAAATAGACAATATATATTTCATGTCTTGATAATATGCCTATTCACCTTATTCTTTGCCGACGAGCAGGCGCAGCCATTTGAATCTTTTTGGCACGAGACTTCCGGTCTTATTCACTTCAATTCATTTTTAGAGTTTAAAAACTGCTCATTACGCTGCTTGATGTTGCAAACTGATATTTTCTTATTATATGATTCTACTTGGTCTGTATAGTAATGCAAACATTTGTTTGTAGAGCAAGTAGTTTGACCGTTTTCTACCGTTTATTATTCCTTGTCATTTCTCCCATAGATGACTAAATCAGAAGTTTTAAAACAATCACAAAAACAGGAGCACTTCCGCATTTTAGAATAAGGTCAATACAGAATGTACGGCCACAACATTTTTTTTTTTAAATTTAATTAATTTTATTGATTAACATGCAAATGTTTAGATGTTTTATGTACAATACAGTTTGGAAAGTCAAATTTTCTGTCTTTTAGTAGATGTATTATATGAGAGACTTACTGTTGCTTTGTTTATTTAACAAGTGGTCCTAATTGTTTATTTAAACCTCAAATAAAGGTTAAGAAGTTTTTATTTTTCTTTCATGTGTGAAGTTTTTAACTCCTATACTCTCAAAATCATTCTGCATCAATTCATAGATTTTTTCCCTTACAAAATTCTTCACAGAAATTTCACAGATATTCGTACTGGCACTATTTAATATTTATTACTGTAATTGTGATTTTGTTGTTTTATGTCTTGTTAAAAAATGTAAGATTGGTTTTCAACAATAATTGAGCTCAAAATTGTTTTTCTTTCAGCTTATGATGAAGAAAATAAAAGATGTGGATTTAGAAGCTATAATCCCATCATTAGACTGCTCTCCAGAAACTTTGAGCAAACTTCAACAAGCTATTCCTGAAGTAAGGAAGTAAATTGCTTTGATGACATGCACATCTACACTAAGGCCCAATCCCAATTTTATTTTTCTACGCCTACCCTTCCCTCTTCCCTTTGACCCTTGAAACAGAGTGTGAAGCGAAAGGGCTTCAAAATTTACCTCTAAGAAATGGGACAGTGCTACAACACATGCATACGTCATCATATGTCATCGCGATCTCTTACTTCATATGAGATCGACGATCGCGACTGCTGTAGTTATTCCAGTTGTGTTATTTTTTTGGTATTTATTTTCAGGAAATCACTGAAGGCAATGATATTATGTTATCATAATGGTATAATGTGGCAATAACATCATAACTGTACTGTGCATTTAGCAACCCAAGCTCATTCTGGAAACGTAGCCCCGCGGAAGTTTCTGGAGACCGTGATTTACGTAGCCAGAGGCACGTAAAGGCCGCGTTTGTTTTTTTCGAGCGAACACTGCGGGGCGGTGTGGCGCCGCTCCGCCCCTCCTCTTCGCGCTCGCCGGCCGACGGCTCGCCTCCGAGTGGAGGGCTTTCCCGACGCAATCAGTTTGTCCGCCTAGCTCACAGCGTTGCGTCGGCGGAGCGGAGGCCCCAGACGAGGAGGAGGAGGAGCCGGCCGCGGTGGACGACGACCGGGATCGAGTCCGTGGAACAGCAGGTTCCGGAAATCAGGTAAGACGAAAAACGGAATCCGAAAAATAAGGGCGAAAACGCGGTCGAAATCGTGGACGAGGGCTTTTGCTTTTTTTTTTTTTTTTCGATTTCGAGAGGCGGCCGCCCAAGACGCGAAAGCGCGCACAGCGGCCTCTCGCGGATCCGCGAAAACAAAAAAACGCTCGAATACGTACCTCCCGGGACGTAAATCGCGGTCCGCAGTAACGTCCGCGGGGCTACGTTTCCACAATGAGCCCGGGTTGGCATTTAGAACCTGGCCATATTCATCTATGTAAAACACACGAAAACAACATTAACATTATAGCAGACACTGTAAAAATGTCATTCCCAGCCACTAGACTTTTCTGACAGGGTATTTGATTGTCATCGAGTGACAGATGTGAAAGTATGTTGTGTGTTACGGAAGTATGTTACTTCCCTTTAGCCCTACGACTTCAAGCTAAAGAGTACTGGGACAACCTTACCCCTTCACGTGAACGGTCAAAACCAGGGGAAGGGCTAAGGGGTAGAATTGGGATTGGGTCTAAATCAGACTGACTTTATGTCTTTATGTACATAATAAATATAAAAAATGGCATAATCTATATCTTTGTTCATGTCTTTAGGTATTGCAGACACTCTGTGAGGCTGAACAGGTGTGTGATGAGCTGCGTGTGAGTGTCAGTGGGTTGGATGGGCGTCTTGCTGAACTATTACATTGGGAGATGGAAGCCAGAGAACTTTATCATCTCCTAAAGAAGGAAATACACAAGCAGAAAAGAGGACAAGTCCCACAGGCTCGGGTATGAATTTTAAAGCAACACAAAATGTTAATTTTTTCACCACCTCTCATTGAAATACCTCTGATTTGGAATTAAGGTTTCTTCTTTTTTTTCTGTAGGTGTTAATTTCAAGAGGGCTACAGTTAGAGGGTCAGGTGGTTATGGAGGAGCAGGATCTGCAAGTCATGGTCATGAGTTTTCAGAAGTCTTCACCGTTGCAGTATCTCATTGCATCCACCATGCAGGACAGGGTTCGTGCTGCTGTTGAAAAGTCACAGGTCTGTCAATTATTTATAGATGAAAATGGTTGCATCAAATAAAGAAAATGTACAACGCTGAAACTACCAAAAACTAATCACTAAGTAATTAGCAATCAGGATGTATTATCTAAGCATAACTAACCTTGTTTTAGAATTGTGTGCAAATGCATTATAATTTTTAAATTATGTTAAATTTTACCAGGAAGCTGTAGGGATGCTCAGCTCTTTGGGGTCTTGCAGAGACAGAAGCCCTTCCAGAGACCAGCCCCCTTCAAAGATATTTGTCCTGTATCAAGAGGCCGAGAAAGAGTCCCAAACCTCTCAATCGGGAGCCACTAGCCAACCAGAAACCCAGCCCACAGTTAGGGCAAAAGTCCCAATATCTTCTCAGATGCCCTCAGAGGTACCTTCTGTAGTCCTCAAGACCCAGCAGTGTAGTCAGCCTGTACCTATGATTGTTGTACAAGACTATGAAGCGGAGAAAGGTAGCCCACAATCACAAATACACCCCTGTGAGCAGGAAAAAGACTGTCAGTCCATTGAGCTTAAGTCACAAAAAGTTGTCGAAGCTCAAGCAAAAAGTCACATAGTCAAAGAACATTGTGTAGAAAGTCAGACAACACAACAGCTGGCAGAAAACCAGAGACAGGTGCAAGCTCCAATACCCAGCCAACCTTCACAAAATCAACAAAAAGTAGCATCTCAAGGTCATCATGAACAACAACTAACAACACAGGCACATGTGCAGATCCAACAACAAGATAAAACTCAATCTTCAAAACAGCAAATGGTTCAAGGATTAATGTCAACACAGCCACAACTTCAGGACCAATTAGAAGCACAACCACAGAAAGACATTACAGGTCAAAATCAAGCTCCAAAGCAGAAGAGGAAATCTAAAAAGTCCCAGGCAAATCTGCAGAACAGGCCTTGGCTACAACAGAGGAGTCAATTGGAAAACGTTACCCCCAAAACAGCTCAAGAGGTCCCACAGTCTCAGCCAAAACCAGTGTACAAAGGCCAAATAAGTTCTCAAGCACCACCACAGCAAATAGTTGCTGTTAGCCCTACAGAAGCTCAGGGACCTCCTCAAAGCAGTGTGACAGCACAGCCAAAATATGTTGTTGAGAGTGATGAGAAGTGCCTGAAGCAAAATCAACCTGTTGCACAGGAGAAGGTGACACAAAGACTAGCTCAAACTGAGCCAGTAGTACCCGCACAACCAATGACACAAAAACAACCACAACAGTCAATGACTGTTACAAATCATCAAGTTCTAAGCCAACCTCAACCTGCTATATTAACTCAAGCCCAAGCAGCTTTAAAAACCGCACATGCTGCACCTATTCAACAACAAAAACAACCTCACATGGTGAAATCACAGCAACCTGATGTGATGATCCCAAAACAAGCACAACCTCAATTCATGACTCCCATGCAGCCACAAGTTATGCCCCAATGGCAGCCTCAACAGACCATCCTTCAGTCTCACCCTGCAGTACCACAACCACAAAGATTTACAGTGGCCCAAGCAATGCCCCAAGGTATTTCCAGACCAGTCCAGCAGTACCCAACACCTCCCATGCAACCACAAATGATTATGCCGAGGCAACAGTCACCACATGGAGCAGTGCAAACTCAGTCACAAATACTCCACAGTCCGACGGTACTTGCCCCTCAATCCAAAGGTGCATCCCCCATACAACCCAGAATCATCTCTATGCCTCAGTCTCAGATGCCTGTTCAAACTCAGACCCAACCTCAGCTGAAAGCACAGGGAAGTGCTCCACTTATGACTCAACCTGAAGGGCAACCACTGTGGTGTCCACCCCGAGATGCCACCCAAAATTACCCCAAAATTCAAGGACCAGTTTCTGCCCAAATGCAGCCTCTGGCTCATTTCCAAACTCATCCCCAACCTCAAAGCTTCCCTCCAGCCCAACCTCAGCAATGGTCACCAACAAGACCAGGCATTGTAGCCCAGACCTATCCCACTGTTCCAGGTCAGGCAGTACAACCCCAACCTCAATTATCTGTTTATCCTAAAACCCAGCCACAACCACAGCCTCAGCAATGGCTCTCTCCAAGACCTGAATCACCTTGGGGTCAATCACAGATAAGACCTCAAGGTCCAGTTCAGCCTTGGAGGCCAGTCAGTCCAGAGAGTGTCAGCCCAGTATACCCCAGGGCTGAAACTCAAGGGCAAGGACTACATCCTCAGTCCCAATATCAACCCCTACCAAGGCCACAAAGCCCTCAACGGCAGTGGGGTCCAGTCAGGACAGAACATCAGTTTCAAGTTTCTTCCCAGACTACATTACATGGAGTTCCCCATCCAATTGCTCCATGGAATCAGCCAACTGTTAAAGCTCCCATAAGACCTCAGAGTCCACAACAGCCCCAGCAAAGCCAGCAACAGTGGGGTCCATCCAGGACAGACGCCCCATCTGAATCCCTCATCCAAAGCCAAGCTTTCCAGGGAGAATTTCAGCCCCAAGATCTGACAAAGCCACAATTGCCAGTACAGGAACCACCCCAACAGCAGTCAACTCCTCGGGTCAAGCAGCCAGCGCTTGCCCAGGCCCCTCCTCAAGCCTATACTGAGGCTTATAAAAAGGCACAGGCTCTAGTTAGGGACAGATTTGAGGAAGCCAAGCATTGTCTTCAGGAGCACATTCTTGAAGCTATCAGTGTATTTAAGGATAAGCGAATGACGGATGAACAAGTGTCGGTTAAGGAGGTTTGTCTATTTTAACATATGTTAGTTTGCCAGTTTTGACAAAAAATACATTGGTGTGTCTTGTTCTTTTACGGATGAATAAAGGACATTTTTGGTGTGTTTTTTTTTTCAGGAGACTCTCAGATCTCTGGACCCTGAGCTCCTTGAAGAATTCTTGAGGGCTGCAGAAGGCATGGAAGCTTTCTGCACCCCATCTGAACTTAGAGACATGGAGTTTTTCACACAGTCTGTTAGAACACAGTGGAAGGTATTTGCGTAGAATCTTTAGTGCTTGTTTATTTGTATCTGCCGTGTGACTTACTGTTGTTAATCATTTCACATACTAACTGAAATGCTGTTCACCATATGCAACTCTTTGTATTTGAGTGTTTGTTTGCTTGCTGTTGTGTTTTACTTTAATAAATATTTTTAGGTTGTTCGACTGGAAATATCAGAATTTGTGAGGCAACTCAGATTTGAGTTAACCCATCTGCATTTTAACTGTTTGGTTGAGGCATGTGAAAGACACTTTAAGAAGGAAAGACTCAGCTTTAGCCCTGAATCAATAGGAGAGGTAAAGTTACAATCACCCCAAATACAGAGCATGAAAAATCTTATGGACAGATGGGTGTGGGGATGATTTTCTCTCAACTGCATTTTAGTTCATCCTGTTGAAACATTTGTTTTTGGGGTCCATTAATCCTTAAATTTCATGGTCTCGTTTTTCCTCTTAACCACATCTCTACTCACTCACTTGGCATGACAAAAAACTAAACAATTTTCATCAGTGCTTGCTTGTGCAGAGTAAAGAAATAATATTAAAGGTGCAATAGGAGATCTTGGAAAATGCTAACATTAGGCTGATGGCACTGAAAACCTACATCCTATCATGCAAATCGCCTTTTAAATACATGTCTCCCAAAGCAATGAACATGCATTAGAAAACCTCACGACAATACAACACAACATTCACAACAGAGAAAACTTTATAGTACAGTTAGTATTAACAACAACAAAACGTAATTAAAAAAGATGTTTGCATGTTTTATTTGAACCCTGTCCATGAAGGCGCTGATGATTTACTGATTTCTGCACTAACAGGGTGCACATGCAGTAGGTATGCTATTACATAGTTTGACAGCTAGGCTGGACAGCCTATCATAATGTTTGGACAAAGTGTTGATTGACATACTTTTCTTCGTCTGACACCTTTTACAGAATCTTAAAAATCATATAAATACATTTAAACCACTTAATTTAATGATTGATATCAGGATATCTATTGCACCTTTAATAAACAATAAAACAAAGATAAAAATATTATTAAAAGTAACAATATGTTTTTGTCTCGTTTCCTGCAGGCTTGTTTTTCAACAGAGGGCAGTCTGGCAGAGGCAGGAAAGCAGTTAGAAGCTCTAAAAGAGCTGTGTGATACTCTGAGTCCTGAAGATGCACACAGGCTCGCACAAGCTCAGCTCAGAGAATGTGAGAGACGGCTTGCTGCCATCCAGCGTCAGTTCAGTGGAGACGCAGAGACACCTGCTCCAGACACTGGGTAACCATGAGAACCACTCTCATATATCTCATATCTCTAATACAACCTTACTAGACTTTAGTTTACTCAAAATGGAAATTCTGTCATCGTTTAACTCACCCTTTACTTGTTTTAAAACTTTATCATTTTATTTTTTTATTTTTTGATAAACACAACATGTACATTACATTTACACTCACCGGCCACTTTATTAGGTACACCTGTCTAACTGCTCGTTAATGCAAATTTCTAATCAACCAATCCCATGGCAGCAACAAAATGTATTTAGGCATGTAGACATTGTCAAAAAGATCTGCTGCAGTTCAAACCGAGCATCAGAATGGGGAACAAAGGGGATTTACGTGACTTTGAACTTAAGCGGCATGGTTTTGGGTACTAGACGGGCTGGTCTGAAGTATTTCAGAAACTGCTAATCTACTAGAATTTTCAGAATTTGCCATAAACAACATGAAAGCATCGATCCATCTTACCTTGTATCAATGGTTCAGGCTGGTGATGGTGGTGATGGTTGGGCCCATTAGTACCAATTGAGTATCGTGTCAATGCCACAGCCTACCTGAGTTTTGTGGCTGACCATGTCCATCCCTTTATGACCACAGTGTACCCATCTTCTGATCTCTAGCAAGATAATGCGCCATGTTATAAAACGCGAATCATCTCAGACTGGTTTCTTTAACATGACAATGAGTTTACTATCCTCAAATGGCCTCCACAGTCACCAGATCTCTATCCAATAGAGCATTTTTGGGATGTGGTGGAATGGGAGATTCGCATCATGGATGCGCAGCTGACAAATCTGCAGCAACTGCGTAATGCTACCCTGCCAGTACCTTTTTGAATCTATGCCATGAAGGATTAAGGCAGTTCTATAGCAAAAGGGGGTCGAAACCGGTACTAGTAAGGTGTACCTAATAAAGTGTCCGGAGACTGTACATTTATTCATTTAACAGACTCTTTTATTGAAAGTGACTTACAAACGAGGATAAACGAAGCACTTTAATCAACAGAGAGTAGCATTATATAAATGCTATGACAAGTAATTAAAATGAGGAGAAAGTGTCACTTACAGGTGGTTTGTAAACGCTTGAGAAATCCCAAATGTTTTCAAAAAGCATGGAGTGTTGATAAATAGTCTGATGTAAATGGACAGAGTGTGTCTCGCAAGTCACAAAAGATGACAATTTAAAGAAAGCTAGAAACCTGGAACCGCTGACTTCCATGGTATTTGCTCTTCCTACTATGGACGGCAATGGTTACAGTTTTTTAGCTTTCATCAAAATATATTGTTTCAAGATCAATAGAATAAAGAAACTCATAATGGCTTTGAACCACTTAATGATGAGTTAATAGTTAGTGCGTTCTCCTTTTTCGGTAAACTAACCTTTAAATGTTTCTTTTTATTAACCAATAGTTCACAAACTGAGCAAGCAAAAGAGCCACAAACTCAGAAAGCACCGACAATCCCACCACCTGTTGAGAAGCCCAAAGAGGTTAATATCCCTGAGGTAAAACTTTATGAATATTTTATATCACCTGTATATTATGTATTTTAGAACCTATTAAATTTACAAACAGAAAAGTTACCTTTTGTTATTGTATCTACTGTAGATAAGCATGCAGTGAACTGACTGTTTTACTAGGACTGAATGAAAGATGTTGAGCACTTGTGATGTTGTTTTAGGGTGTTATACCAGTTAGCCCCCAGCGACCGAGAACTGTGGAGAAGAGAGAGATAGTGAAACAAACGAGTACAGAAGAGGACAGGTATGGATTTAAAAAGAAAACAGCTTTATATGTTACTATATTCAGTACGATTTAATTTTGTGTGTGGATCTTATGGTCTACCTCTTTTTTCCTTGCACCACTCAGGTACCGTAGCTCCAGATTCGCATTACAGGGTCAGCTAAATAGAAATGAACAATGCATGCTGGGAGATCATCCCTCAGAATCAGTCACTCCTACAGACCTGCAGAAACGACTGAGAGAATTAAAGGTAATAGTTTTAAGTTAGTCATTTCAGAATAATACTTTAGAATAATGGTCCATTAGTGAATGTTAGTTACTTTATTTACTAACATTTAGTATGAACAATCTTACTAACAGTAACTAATGCATCATTAAATTCCAATGTTATGCTTGTTAACATTAATTAATGCACTCCGAGTTAACATGAACTAACGTTATTTAACTTAAATATCATGATGAATACAGATATTCAGAATTAACAGAGAATACAGATGAATAAATCCCATAATAAACAACATAGGCTAATTCTGAAAACATAGCCCTATGAACGTTCCTAGAGATCGCAAATTATGTAGCCAGAGGTACGTATGGCAGCATTTCGTCTTTAAAAGGAATGCTACAGGCGATGTGATGCTGTTCCTTTCGGGATTACTAGCTGACCGCTTACCTCCATGAGGATGGCTTTACCGCTATTACCAGTGAATTTGTCCAGTTGTGTGCTGTGTACGTCGGAGGGTTTCAGATGAAGTGCGGTATTGACCGCAATGACAGGGTTCAAGTCTAGTGAAGAACGGTTCCAGAAAGCATGTTAAAACAAAATCAAAAGCCAAAAAAACAAAAACAACAAGTAAATGACAGATTGAGTACATGGTAAAATCTGAAAACGTGGTAAAAATCAAGCTGACGCGAAGATTTTTCTTTTTCTAGATTGCTTTTGAAAACACTTTCGGTTGGGTTTAGGGAAGTGGGGGGACACTGATCAATCGGTGCTTTTGAAAATACTATCAGTTGGGCTTAGGGAAGGAGGAGGGTGGGGGGTACGGTTGGTCGATCAGTCAGTCAGTCATTCAATCAGTCAGTCAGTAGTCGATAGTGGCCGCTGGTGGATTTACGCTAGAACAGCAAGTGCGAATGGTACTCGCAAAAGAAATTTAAGACCTAAAAAAGCATACAGAGCACCCTCTGGTGAATTTGCGAAAACAAAAACGTCAAAAAATCGTAGCTCCTGGGACATATTTGGCACTCTCCAGAAATGTATATAGTGGTACGTAATCAGAATGAGCCTGAGTTGATAATAAATTAATTACTAATTGTTTGTTAATTAACATTACCTAATGGACCATTTTTATAAAGTGTTACTGACATTATTATGCAATTTTAAATGACTGAATTTGTTCCTGTTGTTTAACTATTTTCTAATGTGATCAGATATCTTGTATTTTGAGTACATTCTGCTGAATTAAATCAGATGCATGCTTGATTTCATTTTTTAAACAGCCTCTTTACCTTTCCGCTTGAACACACTTTCAACAAGCACTACTGTAACATCTTAAAGACGCATGACTTTTTCTTACATTTATGCATTCAGCAAACACTTACTGTATATTTTAGAGGGGCTCCCTTTGAGTTATACAATTTGACAACTCATGCGTTTCTTTGGGAATCAAACTCATGACCTTGGTGTTATTAGCAACAAGCTCTACTGTTTTAGCAACAGGAATTTCAGTACTGAGCATGACAGTCCTCTGCTCTTTTTTTAATCTTTGGTTTAGTCTCTGTGGGACGAGACCGAATCTCTGTGGAAAGAGTATGAAACGATGTGTATGCAGTGTGTTCAGTACAATGAGCGAGCAGTTGAGCAGGACCGCATGGAGCTCACCGTCCGGTGGAGAGAGCAGAAGTCACAGTTACAGGGCAGGTTTGTGTTTGCATCATGAAAACAACACTCATAAATCAAACATCTGAAGTGGTACAGTATGTTTTTATGTGTTACTGGGCTGAAATAAGTGTATTTACTGTAGATAGAAACACATTAGCTGCTGTTGGTCTTTCACCCAGTGCCACCCTAAGAAGCATGTGATCTGTTCAAATCAAGCAGTTCCACTGAAAATATCCTGTAGCCAGACTGCCTGTGTGTGTGTGTCTTGTGTTGTTTGTTAAACGTCTATGCACTCTGCCAGGGTGGATTCGCTGGGAGCAGCTCTTGAGCTCATGGACTCCATTACGCTGAAGATTTCAGAAATTTCTGAAAAACTTGACAAGTTCATCAAAGAGCCCAAAGACATCAAGGGATATACACTAGCTAATCCTGCAATTTTGAGAGATGTGAAGGTGAGAAACTATTTATAATTTTAGAAGATTGGATAATTAAATTAGATAATTCCATAAATAAATGTTATAACTTTCACTGAGTCCTATTTAGTTAATGTTGTTTGTTTTATTAGCTATAATAATATAATCTAACATAATATTATCTAACATAACATAACATAACAAAACATAACATAACATAACATAACATAACATAACATAACATAACATAACATAAAAGTAATTATAATTACTATATAAAGAATTTTTAAAGCAGAAAGGGTTATCAGTTTCATTCATTCATTCATTTTCCTTCGGCTAAGTCCCTTTATTAATTAGAGGTCGCCTCAGTGGAATGAACTGCTAACTTATCCAGCATATGTTTTACGCATCGGATAGCCTTCCAGCCGCAACCCAGTACTGGGAAACACCCACACACTCTTGCATTCACACATACACTACAACCAATTTAGTTTATTTAATTCTTTTATGCCGCATATCTATGGACTGTGAGGGAAATTGGAGCACCCGGAGGAGACCCACTCAGAAACAGGGAGAACATGCAAACTCCATACAGAAACATTAACTGACCCAGCCGGGGCTCGAACCATCGACCTTCTTGCTGTGAGGCAACAGTGCTAACCACTAAGTCACCGTGTAGCCATGTTATTAATTTAACACAATAATATAATTAATTATTTAAAATGTGCAAAAATATTAGTGCACTGTGTTGGAAGTAACATTACAAGTTACGTAACTTAGGTATTTAGATTAATTTTCCAAGTAACTTGTAAAGAAACATCTAATGCACTTCATTTGGTGTTTATGTGTTCATAACTTTATTTTCTTGTTATGTTAGTTGAGTTAATGAATGAGGAGTTAGGGCACAGTTGTCAAACTCAGTTCCAAAAGGGCCGCAGCTCTGCACAGTTTAGTTCCAACCCTAATTAAACACACCTGATCAAACTAATTGGGTCTTTCACGCTTGTTTGAAACCTTCAGGTAAGTGTGTTGGAGCAGGGTTGGAACTAAACTGTGCAGGGCTTCGCCATCCATGGAATTGAGTTTGACACCCCCGAGTTAGGGGATGGGATTAATATTGGACAATATATTACTGTTTACCTCTCAATAGTTAACTTGTTTTGTCATATAAAAGACCAATGAAATGATTGAAAATAGAAACATCTTCCTTTTGCAATTTTAAGCAAATATCTGATTTACATTTAGCTGAATTCCAGATCATTTATTTTTTCATTTATTGACTGATGTGTTATTTACAATGTGTAAAGGTGAAACTAAAATGTGAACATGTATTTACTCATCTCACTTGCACTAAAATATATTTAATATCCTTCAGTACCCTTAAAATTGCAGTATGATAGTTGACACCCAGTGGTTGAACTAGGTATTGCATTCTTGATCAAAACAAAAGCAAGCGCAGGTTGCCAAACTGAAGGCTAACATGAGCGCCTAACAATCGAGCCTTATGGCTGATTTAAGTTGTGTTCTAACTAAAAGCAACGACATACAGTACGATATAAGAAATAGTTTCCATATTAAAAGGAGTTTTTGTTCTAACCAACACATGAAATTGATATAGTAGCAGCCAACGTTTGGTGTAAAAGCTTTACTTTTGAATTTTTTAGGTCTTTATATAATATAAAGTTTGTTATTTTAAACAAACAAGGCGAACCCAGATGAAAAATAACTAAAAAGTAACTGATTACTAACCCAAAAGTAACTTAAGTAATTAATTTATTGTCTACTTATATGGTTTAGTTCAGCTGACACCCTTTTATCAACATTTGTGAATCATTTCTCATCATAGATTTACAGTATATAGTTTATGACTATTTGCAGTTCATTTCAATCAGCAGTACTTTGTGCAATTTCTAAGTAAAGATGATTTAATAAAATAAATAATTCAGTAATAAAAAGGTATTTTCACATCATGTTAAACTTGGCTCTCCTCCTCAATCACATATTTTTTTATCTAAAAATATACTTTTCTCTCTCTCTCATTTGCAGGACTTAGATGAAAGTATCCAGACAGAGATGGATCGGCTGTCTCGATTTGACTCCGAGCCCAGTCACCTAGAGCTGCGGGACCGTTCTCCTCTGACCCAGGTGGTTCTGAACCACAGATCCAGCCTGGATCGTCTCAGACAACAGGTGCGCAAGAGTGACGCCGCTGCCCGTGCCCTCGACCGCTTCCTCATGTCCCTTCGCACAGTGGAGCTTGACGTCACTTCTGTGCTCAGCGCCCCAAGCAATGATTCCATGGTGCTGCAGGACAGCAGGTCCAAGCTGGCACTCATCAGAAAAGGAGTCAGCAGCCTTAAGGATAAAGCACCACAGCTGGACCAGTTATTGGGTGGAGCACAGCTGGAGGTGACCCAGGACGGGAGCCCTGTCTGCTGTCTGGACATGGTGGGTGTCCTGGTTCACAAGGTGGAAGAGGCAGATGATCGCTTAATGATTCGACAGAATGAAATCCAGAAGGAACAGCAGAATCAGGGACTTGGTCTGAGGAGGAAGACCATGCAGACTGAGCTGAGGAAGGTGCAGGGGGCAGCAGAAAAACAGGGTCTGAAGGATCCCACCATGCCAGCTGTGCAGCACAGGTATCCCTGGTTCTTTCTTACATTAATTTTATGTTGTAAAATGAATATATGTAGTTTATTTGTGTTTTTTGTGGACAAGTGGAAGTTTTGAGTCTACTTTTAACTAGAGACAAAAAATTGATTCTTCTAATATTCTACTAATGACAGTTGGGTTTACGTTGTTGTAAAGTTACTTATAGTTAGCAGAACATCTAAGGAGACCATCTAAGTAAAATGTAGCCAATCAAAAAAACTGTAGAATAAAATATGTTCTTTGTGTGTCCATCTTAAAGCCACTTTCATTTACCAAAATAATGTCTTCACTTGAGCTTGATAAATGTTGATATGAAGTTATGTAATTAAATTAAATGCAATTTAATATGTAATTCAATATGTTCAATTTACAATATCTTTTTTAATAAGATAAAGCTACCAGCCATCCTGTTTTTCCTAGTCCCATTTGAGCTTTATTTTTTGTCTTGACTTTTGTATCGTAATTTTTATACTTTTCTTACAATTTATTCATTTCATTTTCATTTTAGACATTTGAGTACTCAAAGTGGTATTCTGTCTAGCAAAAATAGCTTAACAATGGTAATTACTGCCAATTAATTATTTTTTTAAAAAGATATCTAATAGATGTTGAAACAAACTGTAGACATTTTGACTAACACAAGGCTAAATTGGGGCTGTCAGTAAAATTTTAATAGACATCTAGCAATAGTCTAAAAATAGAATAGTCATCAAATACTCCGATTAGACAGACATCAAATGTGTGTGGTCCTTCATTCCTGTTTATTCGGTGATCAGCCTATTTTGAGACTGTTGGAAGTGTAAAAGATTTTCACTAACAATTCAAATTTAGCTGTGTTTTAGTGAAGACAACAATGTTTGTATACCTTTTAGACATTATTGCTGGGTAGAAAGTCATGTACTTATTATGAAAACAAAATTACCATTCATATCAATCAAAGTGTACTTTGTGAGGGCCTGAACCTGCACTTTTAAAATTAAGATTAAAAATGGCATGAAATGAGCATTAAAGAGTGTGTTTGCATTTGTGTTCAGGATACGAGCACTGTCTGATCTGGAATTGCAGCTGAACTGTCTTCGTCCTGAATACGAAAGCATAAAAGTGGCTGTGTCTGAACTGTCAGAGAACGAGAACCCTGATCCAGCAGAAGAAGAGCTGGACTTTCTTTGGGAAGAGACTGAGAGAGCTGTATCTGACAGGTCGGTACTATATGCTGAGGTCTCCACAAAAGTAAATGAACTGAATTAGCTTTAAAGCCTTTTAGTTCAACCAAAATTTTCAATTAATCATCATTTTTTCAGTCATGTAAGCTTTCACCCACCAGCCCAATGATAGAATCCAGTGTCGTGGAAGAAGCTTCTGGAAGAAGTTTTTTTACTTCATTAAAATTTATTGACCAGTTTCACTTCTGACTTTACGCAGAATTTAATCTGACTCCAATTTTGATTATTCTAAATTTGCCATTTATGTTTTTTAGCTGATCATATTTTTAGTTTTGATACAATTTAGATTTTGATATTTGGGTCCGATATTCTTAATTGTATGGTCATTAGGGACCAGACGCCTCTCAGAGTTTCACGCCCCAGCGACAAAGCGCATATGAGATAAATTATGTCAGTAAAAAAATAACCGTTTATGATTATTATTAAACTATTAATTTTGAAACCGCTAAAAGATAATGAACAAAACCTCCTTACTAGTCACACCTGAGGATTTATCAATACCAGAGGGGAAGGAAAGTTTAGGGAAGAGGGCAAGAGTGTGTCAAAATATATGCTGGGCTCTTTTCTCCAGATTCTAGAGTTGTTTTGGATTTATTACAGGGCACATTTTAATTCTGAGTAAAATCCATCCCTACAGTCATAATGTATTTCTGCTATCATGTTGTTCTGAACTGATTTTTTTTTTTTTTTGATCTTTGAAATGCAACTAAATTCAAATTATAAACGAAACCTGAGAGAAGGAAACCAATGAAAATTTATACGAAAAAACTTTGCTATTTAAAAATAGTTGTAAAAAGAAAAGTCACTATAGGTTAAATGATGGATATATGCTGAACACATTTTATAATTTTTTTTATTCATCCATAAACATTGATTAAAGCACATACGTAACGTACATAGATCATATTAAATATGGTACAATAAAAAGCACCAAAAGGTGAAAAACTTCAAACGTTTTATTGTAATGAACCTTCAGTGGATAAAAACTTTATTGAAAATTATATCAATTCATGTTTTGAAGATATGTGAAGGTTTTAAGTGTCTGTGTTGTCATTTTTGGGTGCACTAACTGGTTCTTCGTTTGTACAAAGGAACTTACTGTGATGGGCAGAACCTCAGAGTTTGTAAACTGATATGTGCATGTTTTTGTGTATTTCACAGATTAGAACAATGCACTGTTCTCATGGAACTGCTGAAGAAGTTTCAGAACTGCCGCACTTACCTGACCAACACACTCCAGAGGGCAGAGCAAACAAGCAGCGAGCAGGCATCATACATGGGCAAAGACAACCTGCAACGCCTCCTAGCTAAAGTATGCCAACACTAATCACAAATAAATGCTAATGTATTCATTTCTTATGGGGACACACCATCAAGTATCTTTCACAGAAGTTTTTTTTTTCACCACCAGGGGTCAGTCAGTGCTCACTTTTTGAACTCAGAATTGTTGATGGTTTTATTTTTAAAGTTCATACTATAATTAAACTTTTCATTAGCACTAAACTTGAGTTTTCAACATCTACATGTATAGACAGATCTTTTATTAGTCTGAACAAGGTTTCTTTCTCCATTGTTCTGACTAAACAGCTGCATTCATTTCTGTAGTGCTTTTTAGATGCTTGTTATCATCTGCAATACCCACATAGACATCTGACACAGAAATATGCAAATAAATATATATTTTTAAGACCATTGTACCTAAAAATATGCACATATATGGTCAAATATATTAGCTTTAATTGTATATACACTGGGCGTGGCAGTGGCACAGTACGTAGTGCTGTCGCCTCACAGCAAGAAGGTCGCTGGTTCGAAGCTTGGCTCAGTTGGTGTTTCTGTGTGGAGTTTGCATGTTCTCCCTGCCTTCGCGTGGGTTTCCCCCGTGTGCTCCGGTTTCCCCCACAGTCAAAAGACATACGGTACAGGTGAATTGGGTAGGCTAAATTGTCCATAGTGTATGAGTGTGTGTGTGAATGTGTGTGTGGATGTTTCCCAGAGATGGGTTGCGGCTGGAAGGGCATCCGCTGCGTAAAAACTTGCTGGATAAGTTGGCGGTTCATTCCGCTGTGGCGACCCTGGATTAATAAAGGGACTAAGTCGACAAGAAAATGAATGAATGTATATACACTCAAAAACATTACTTTTGCTGCTTGTTTTTACTTGCTGTTTAATAATTAAGTTAATTTAATTGTTTAGTGTTGCAACAATATGAATGAATTGTGTGAAACCCTGCATTTCAGTGCACGTGATTATATATGGGCATAAATCATTCCTTCATTTTCTTTTCGGCTTAGTCCCTTTATTAATCAGGGGTCCCCACAGCAGAATGAACCACCAACTAATCCTGCCCATGTTTCATGCAGCGGATGCCCTTTCAATCACTGACGATATATTTTAATAAAAGTTTAAAGGAAAGTTTTTATTTATTAAAATTTATTTAAAGTTTATTTATTAACTTTATTTACTTATTAATATGGTTTAATTATCTTTCTTACAATAACATTTGTTTTTACATTTTTCTTTAAAGGTTTTGACTTATTAAATAGCATTTTTAGCGTTTAACCTTATGTAAGTATGTATAAATGTATTCATTTATTATGGTCTTAAAATGGTCTTAAAAAGTCTTAAAGTTGAATTGATAAAACCTGTAGAACCCCATATAACATATTTCTATTAGAGTTTATATATATATATATATATATATATATATATATATATATATATATATATATATATATATATATATATATATATTAATGATTTTATTTTTTAGGTTGTTGGCATAAAAGAGGATCTCAATGGCCTTGGACCAAAAATGGAGGAGTTCAGATCTGTGTGCAGGCAGTTGCAGTCTCAGCTGAAGAAAATTCCTGATTGCTCAGAAACTCCATTTGAGACCGAGGCAGATGCTTTGGTGGATTCATGGCTGGATGTGAGGATTTGAAAACTGCTGCTTACATTTATCATACTTCTTTTGTTCAATTGGTAAAGCCGTGTCGTTTTGGCAGGTGTCGGAGAAGACTGACGGCTATCTGGATAATCTGCGTGTGGGTCTGGAGTTGTGGGAGAAGCAGCTGGTTCTGGGTGGAGAAGTGGAGAGCTGGGCTTCTACTAAACTCATCATCTTCTCAGAGTCTCATCCCTTCAGCAGTGAGGAGGAAGTTCTCAGCATGAAGGTGTGCTTTTCCAAATTGTCTGGTTAAAATGTATACAAAATGTTCTCAGGCTTATAAAGAATTTGTTTTACTGTTCAGGATTATGTTTTATAACTCCTGGGGATAAATATTTTTAAAAAGTGACAAGATTTGTTTCCATCAAAAAAAGTAATACATCATTAACAAAAGTATTCTTTAAATATAATCTGAAAGTGCCCCATTTATCATTATTATTATTATTATTATTGTTGTTATTATTATTATTATTATTATTATTATTGTTGTTGTTGTTGTTGTTGTTGTTGTTGTTGTTATTTTGTTATTATTCTAAATCATAAATCCATTTTTTTTTATTTGTTTTACTTATTTAAATTTTTAAACTTTTTTGCATAAATGTGAAAGTGTAAATAATTCTAATGAAAATATGATGGTTTAGTAATTTTGATCACAAATAATTTGAAGTCTGTGTTCCATTTTTTGTCTTTTCAAAAACAGTAAATTCACAAAAATTACAGGCAGGAGCTGTAAAAACACTCAAAATAAACACCTTTTTTTTAAAAAGTCTCCTAGATTTAAACAGTTGACTTAAACCATTTTAAAAACCATTCAGCTTAGCATAACTCATTGAATTGAATTTTATCGTTAGCATTTTATTCTAAAAAAGGTTTAAATAAATTTCCAATGGAAGAAAATGAAAAGTCATTTACGTTATATCTGTGTCTATATTATTAGGAAATATACTCCCATTCGGGCTCAATAGTCAAGAAAATCTATTTTGCGTAATGAGCTTTGTAAAATTATTCCACCTGGTACAGGCATTTTCTTGACTATTAGGCCAGAATAACAGTAAAGTTCATAGTAATATTGACCTAGAAAATAGAAACTTTGGTTTCCATCTGTCTTTTTACACTATGCACTGTAACTACAAAGGCCTCAAACTTTCAATAGATTTGTTTTTCTTTGAATGAAATGCTAATGGTCAAATCCGATTCAATGAATTTTTCTAAGCTAATAGTGTCCCCGCCAAGAAATAGACAGAATGGTTTCAAAAATAATTCAAGTTAACTGTTAGGAGTCTTGTAAAATGAGCCATTTGTTAAGAAATGTGGAGTGTTCCTTTAAAGACTGATTGATTGATTTCATGTTTTTTTATGTGTTCATTAGAATGAGATTCAGTCCCAGGAGGACAATCTTGAGCACTTCCACAGAAAGTTACTGGAGATCCAGGAACTGCTGCAGAGCAAGGAATCTCCCCTTGAGTTACAGGTGAACCTGCAGCTTACTTCTGTTTATTAAGTTAATTGTAATTCTTAACTATTCCTAAATTGTACCCACAAACACACACTGTCTTACATAGGTAATGGAAACAAACCTGAGGAAAAAAATGGAGCAGGTGAAGGAACTATTTACCGACTGCACTGACGTGTTCCAGGAGCTCGTCAAAGTTAAAGCTCATCTGATTGAAAAGATTGAATCCTATCAATCGTCTGTGGAGAATATACGCTCCTCTGTAAACATGTTCAGTTCAGAGGATCGCTTAGAGCTGGAGACCCATTTACAGGTATTGTTTGATTAAGAGACCTGCGTAATATTTATAATATTTCCCTCTTCCTATTGAAGACATGCTTTTCATGTTTTGATTGGTTAATTAAACTTGCAGAGTCATTAAAAGCATTTTTTGACAACAAAACCAGACTTAGGCCCAATCCCAATTCTACCCCTTAGCCCTTCCCCTTACCCCTACCCATTGTTTTGCGCGTGCCTGTGAAGGAGTAGTGGTGTCCCATTTCTTTTTAGCTTGAAGGGGTAGGGCTAAGGGAAAGGGTTGAATACCCCTTCAAATGAAGATTTTTCAGGACCACACTCGAAACCAAGCGGTAAGAAAAATTTCCCAGAATACACCAGCCACATCTGCACCTGGAAGTAAGGAGATCCACAAATTAGTATTTTTTGTCATTATTAAAATTTTTTACAACAAACAAACACGTTTTAATATATTCATAGCCTTCGTTTTTTATCATTATGCTTTTTAAAAAAACGCTAAAATAAAAAACGCAAAATTTTGATCTATTTGCGATCTATAATCCCTAATAATAACTTCTGTATAGCAGTCCCACAACATTCTAACACACTATGACACTGGAATACCATGTCAGAAAAGTCTAGTGGCTGTCAATGGGCTGTTTTACAGTGTCTGCTATAATGTTAATGTTGTTTTTGGTGTGTTTACATTAATGAATATGGCCACTGTGTAAAGGCATAGTACAGTTACGATCCTTTTGCCACATTAGATCGTTATGATAACATAATATATGCCTTCAGTGATTTCCTGAAGATAAATACAAAAAAATAAAACAACTGGAATCACTACAGCAGTCGCCATCATCTGATCTCTTATGAAGTGAGAGATTGCGAGGACATATGATGACGTGTGCAGGTGCTATAGTGCTGTCCCAATTCTTAGGGGTAAATTTTGAAGCCCTTCCCCTTAACCCTCGGTTGTAAGGGCCAAGGGGAGGGGGAAGGGGAAGTGGTAGGGGTACAAAAATAGAATTGGGATTGGGCCTTACTATATGTTGCACAAGTATATTTTTGCCGGAAAACCACAAATATATTGCAGGGGTCAAAATAATACTTTTCTTTTGCGCCAAAAATCCTTAGAATATTAAACAAAGATAATCTCCCATGATATTATATGTTTATATCCCATGACATTATTATATTTAGTACTGTATAGTCAATATTTTTTAAAAACTTAATTTTTGATTAATAAATGCATTGCTACTGTAAGCACTTCATTTCGACAGCTAAAAACATTATTTTCCTAATATTTAGATTTCTTTGCACCCTCAGATTCCAGATATTCGAATAGTTGTATCTTAGCCAAATAATGTCCACTCCTAAAAGCTTATAAAAAGCTTATTTAGCTTTCAGAAGATGTAAAAATCTCAATAAAAAGGTTTTGATTTCCAGGGTCAAATTTCATCATTCAAATCATTTAGCAGATTTCATATAAAGATTCAGGTTTAAATAAGAAAAATAGAACAATACAACAAAAGAGCAACAATATGTACAGTAGGATTAAAAAAAATAAAATGAACAAAGGAAAAAGTTGTAGATAGAATAGAATGAGAATAGGAAGTGCTGATATTAGAGGATCAACCATTAATGAGTTAAAAGTCTTTTAAAAAGTTTACCCTTGCATTCACACAAATTTCCTGAAAAAGCATATTTCCTCCACTCTCCTACACTCTCCAATCATAGCTACTATATGCAATTTGATTTTAAAAGGATCTATGTAAACACGACTATCTATCCCTTTGTAGGACTTGTGTGAGCAGCTTCTGGACCAGGAGGAGCAGACTGAATCTCTGCTGAAGGAAATCAATCTCATGTCTAGCATTACTGGACCGCAGGTCTTGGAGGAGCTGACCAATCAGAGCAAGCGTCTCAAAGACAGCATTGCTGAAACACGGGAGACGATTCGCCAGAAAAAGGAACAAGGGGAGAAAAGCTTCCTTCAGACTATTAAAGGTCTGAAAACCTCATTTTTTGTTTCCCTGCAAAAAAATCTTGTTTTTAGTATAAATATCTAATAATTCCTTAATAAAATAATCTACACAGGCTCATTCTGAAAACGTAGCCCTATATATATTTCTGGAGGTCGTGAATTGTGTAGCTAGAAGTGCGTATGGCTGTGTTTCGTCTTTAAAACGAACGCTACCGGGCTGTATGATGTCGTTCCTTTTCGTGCTTACCAGCTGACTACTTACCTCCATGTGGACGGCTTTCCTGCTGTTACCCGTTTGATCAGTAACTCGCCATGTACTGTAAGTCGGTGGACTTGAGACGCAGAAAGGAGTTGAACATGACGACAGGGTTTGAGTTTGGTGAAGAACAGTTCCAGAAAGCAGGTAAGATTAAAAACAAAAGCCAAATAAAATAAAATAAGCAAGTAAATAACATGGTGAGAATGTGGTAAAACCTGAAAAGGTGGTAAAAATCAGGCGCTGGCTTTTTTTCTGGATTGCTTTTTAAAAATGTCAGTTGGGTTTAGGGAAGTGGGTGGGAGCTGGTCAATCGGTGCTTTAGAAAACACTATTGATTGGGTTAAGGGAATGGAAGGGATCCATCAGCCATTCAGTTAGTCAGCCAGTCAGTCGACAGCGGCCTCTGGTGGATTTACATGTTAACAGCAGGCGCTATCAGGACTCGCAAGAGAAATTTGAGATCTCAAAAAAAAATGTACCTCCTTGGACATATTTGTTGCTCTCCAGAAATGTATATAGCGGTACATTATCAGAATGAGTCTGGGTTGAAAAAACCCAGTTTTGTTTTTAGAAATAGTAAGTAAAAAGAGGAAGTTTGGAAACATTGTTTCAAACGTTTAAGAGTTTCTTGCTTTTGTTAAACATAAACGAACAAATTTAGAAATCGGTTGCAAACCAGTAACTATTGACTTTCATAATATTTGTTTTTCCTACTATGGGAGTCAATGGTTACCGGTTTTCATCATTTCTTCAAAATATCTTCTTTTGTGTTTAACAGAAGAAAGAAACTCATAAAAGTTTGGAACCACATGAAGGTGAGTAAATTTTATTTTTGTGTGGACTATTCCTTTAAGTTACCTTTAAACATGCAAAATTATCTGCCAATGGAGCGAGTAAACATCTTATTTCAAACTGAAAACAAGATTTGGTGTTATTACTTTGGTGTTACACTTTCTACTTGTTTTAAGGAAAATTAAATTTCTTATTTCTGAAGACACAACAATCTATATTTTTTTACTTGTCAAGAAAATGCTTCTTAATTAAAGAATTATTAAATATTTAGACTGAAAACAAGACAAATTTTAATTAAGAAACACATTTTGCAGTGATTTTAGTGCTATTATTACTATATAAATAATATACATTTTAAATACACTGTTGAACAAGAGATTTTTGTTTTATCCACGTGTCCCACTGGCTCTTTGCAGAAGAGTTTCAGTCATTTGAGGAATGGCTGCAGGATGAGCAGCTCTCTGTCAATGAGTGTTTTGAGAACCCGGAGAGAAAGCAAGATGTAGAAACATCCATGCAGCGACTGAAAGTGAGTAACAACGAGGTCCCATCCCTATAATTAAGATTTCTATTGTGCTAGAACATTTTATAAATACTTTTCAACCAATGAGACTTACTGTACAATGCAGTTATTCCAGGGCCACCCGTGCAGCAGCAAGAGTCAGCAGGTGTTATCACCCTTAGTCAAAGCGTAATCATAAAATAGCAGAAATGACTCATTTAGTGGAACAATTTGTTTTCTTTAGGGTTTCCTGGAATCTAAAGACGGAGAACAGCGTCTGGCACTGTTGAAGGACAGGTTTGAGAGTGGTGGACAGACGAAAGTCCCTTCTGAGGCTCAAGCTTTGTTCTCCACGTGGCATCAGGAACAGGAAGGAGAACTGGCCACACTGAGAGCACACTGTCAGGGACGCCATAAACAGCTAGATGACATCCTCTACAACCTCAACAGGTACACAGACTGAGCTCTTGTCATAGATTTTTGCTGTTGCTGTTGATTGAGCCAATTATTTAAATTAATGTTTTTAATCCAATTCGTCTTTTTTTCTATAGCGCTTTTACAATGTAGATTGTGTCAAAGCTGCTTAACATAGAAAGAGAAGAGAGAATAAAAAGCCATAACAATATTTTAGATGGGAACATTCCAGGCAGACTGGGGAGTAGTGGTGGAATGCTGGTGTAGTTCTAGTTAGATTAAACTGTTTTAGTTCAATTTAATGACACTATTGAAGTTCAGTTCAGTTGTGTGTCTTTATGTGTTTAGCTTGCAAGAGGAACACAATCATTTAAAGGACTGGCTTCAGCAGAGGGAACAAGTGCCAGAACAGAGAGAAAAACTACGACAAATCCAAGAGGAGTTTCTTAAAGAAAGGTAACACTTGCTTTTCTAAATGTAAAGTTTGTTTTAAACATTTTTTGTTTTTTCAAACAATAATTTCAGTAATTAAATAACACATTCACAGCATATTTACTTGGTATTCCTAATTATAATTTTATACATAATAATAATAAGAGCAATACGATACTATTATTATATATACACTCACTGGCCACTTTATTAGGTACACCTTACTAGTTAGACCTACTTTTGCCTTCAGAACTGCCTTAATTCTTTATGGCATAGATTCAACAAGGTACTGGAAATATTAATCAGCAAATTTGCTCCATATTCACATGATAGCATCACGCAGTTGCTGCACATCCATGATGCAAATCTCCCTTTCCACCACATCCCAGAGGTGTTCTATTGGTTTGAGATCTGGTGACTGTGGAGGCCATTTGACTACAGTGAACTCATTATCATGTTCAAGAAACCAGTCTGAGATAATTCGTGCTTTATGACATAGCGTGCTATATTGCTGGAAGTAGCCATCAGAAGATGGGTACACTGTGGTCAAAAAGGGATGGACATGGTAAGCCACAAAACTCAGGTAGGCTGTGGCTGTGCCAAGGAAATTTCCCCCACACTGTTACACCGCCAATACCAGCCTCAAGAGTTGATACAAGGCAGGATGGATCCAAGCTTTCATGTTGTTGATGACAAATTCTGACCCTACCATCTGAATGTCGCAGCAGAAATCGAGACTCATTACATCAGGCAATGTTTTTCCAATCTTCTATTGTCCAGTTTTGGTGAACCTGTGCAAATTGTAGCCTCAGTTTCCTGTTTTTAGCTGACAAGAGTGGCAGCCGGTGTTCGGCATACCCTGGTTGTAATGAGTGGTTATTAAAAGTGGCTTACAGAACTTTTTCAGACCATTCTCTGTTAACCTTAGAGATTGTGCATAAAAATCCCAGTAGATCAGCAGTTTATGAAATACTTAGACCTGCCTGTTTGGCACCAACAACCATGCCACGTTTAAAGTCACTTAAATCCTCTTTCTTCCCCATTCTGATGCTCGGGTGAACTGCAGCAGATTGTCTTGACCAAGTCTACATGCCTAAATGCAGTGAGTTGCTGCCAAGGGATTGGCTGAAAAAAAATTTGCATTAATGAGAAGTTAAACAGGTGTAACTATTAAAGTGGCTTGTGAGTGTATATAAATCATCCATTCATTCATTCATTCATTCATTTATTGATTGATTCATTCATTCATTCATTCATTTATTCATTCATTCGTTTTCCTTTGTCTTAGTCCCTGATTTATCAGGGGTCATCACAGCAGAATGAATTGTCATATATAAAAATCAAATATTTATGATTAGTATAATATTATTAGTCTCTGATTTTATTTAATTTGAGATTTATATGGTAAAATTATGAAAAATGTTTGAAAAGAAAATGATCCTGCCACAAAATGTTTGAATTTATGTATGTGGACAACATTTATGGCCAACCAAAGCTTAAAGAAGATGAAACCATAAGATCTCGAGCCACTCATGTAAATGAACACAATGTCACACTTTATTGGACTGAAATACATTTTGATACTTTGCATGATTTCAGTTTATGTTGTGCAATTGTTCAGCCTTTTTTATTTCACATAAACCTGTATAACACTTACTTTCACCCTCAATCCACAGCGGTCGTGTAGAGGCATTCAATGACCTGTTATCCACAGTAAGGATGCGTGGCCTGAGAGGAGACCCTTTCCTTAAAGACAGCGAGACCCTAATTGACCAATACCACAGCCTGGGGGTTATTTTAGAAAATCAAGCCCAAGACCACAAGACCCTTGATGCCCAGATTGAAACATTCCAAACTAATGCAGAACAGATCAGAGCCTGGATCAGAGATTTAAAGCAAGGACTCGAACACTTGAGCACTGACACACCAATGCAAGAAAAAGATATGAAGGCTCAGGTGGGTTCCCATACATTGTCATACTTCGAAATAATCCAAAAAAGATATAAATAGTGATTACTTAATTTTTTAAAACTTGTATATATTTATTTTTTGCTTGATTTTCTGGTAAACACAAAGAATATCTTTACAAACATCCTTAATGTATTTAGGATAATATGAATGTTTATCTGTTTTTTTGTTTTAAGGCTGTTCTTAATCAAAGCTCTGATGGTGACGCTAAACTGGTGGCTCTGAAAGGTGAGGGTGTTGCTTTATGTACACATGAGATTTTGGAGGAGACCAGAAGACAAGAACTTGTTCACACACTTAAAAACATCGAGGATGAATGGAAAAGAGTTCTGGATTTGGCCCAACTCCTAAAACATCAGGCAGAACTCCAAGACACTCTTCACAGGGAACTAGAAAATCTACAGGCCCAAGAAGAGAGTACCCAATCCTGGGTGAGAGAGCAGCTGCAGATGCTACGCTCCTTGGAGAAGGAACTTCAACCCCAGGAAAAACTCAACAAATTACTGGTAAGCACAAAGAAAAATTATATTTTGACTGCAAAACCCTTTTTAGAACTCTCTAGTAATTCTTACCTTGGTTGATTGGTTTATAACATGTATATATTCTCTAGGCTGTCTTAGACCTTGCTGATGAAGCTGATTCCAGATTGGCCAGTTTACAGAGGCAAGGACAGAGTTTATGTTCTTATAAAGAGCTTGACACTGAGAGGAGGAGTCACATTGACCAAACCCATAGAGCAATAGAGGAGGAGTGGAGGAAAGTGCTGCAACTTGCTCAGGAGCTTAAGAACCAGGTCAAGCATGAGGAATCTCTCAACAGAGAGTTACAAAGCTTTTGTGATCAGGGAGAAGAGACTCAATCCTGGGTTAGACAGCTCAGAGAGACCTTGGAGACCCTTCATATGACATCTTCTATTCAAGAGAAGCTCAGTGGTGTTGAGGTAATGGAGAGTATTTTAGGGCAATTTATTGCTTGTTAAAGAAACAAGGCAATGTTTCCTGAAACAGTAAATATACACTGAAAACCAGTAAAAAATGTAAACAAAAGCATGATATCTTGGTTTTGTGTTTTTTTTAGGCAGTACTTGCTCATAGATCTGAGGGGGACTATAAACTTAGTGACCTAAAGATGAAGGGAGAGAGTCTATGTTCCTATGAAGATCTACAGGAGGGTAAACGCCAGACAATCCAACAGACATTACAAGAAGTAATGCAAGAGTGGACAGAAGTTTTGTTAAATGCTCAGGAGTTGAAGAACCAATCAGAACTTGAGGAGTCTCTTTGTAAGGACCTTCTGGATCTTCAAGAACAGGAGGAGAGCATTCAATCTTGGATCAATGAGCAGCATCTTAAGATCAAATTGCTAGGTGAAGATACTCAAATTCAGGAGAAAATGAATGGAGCTCAGGTATAGTAAGAGCCAAAGAGTGATATTCTAGTTCACTTACCAAATATCCACAAACATTCTGACTTACTCGCTGGCCTAAAATGTTTGTTTACTCTAGGGCATCCTGAACTCAGAATCAGAAGGAGATTATAAAATAGCCACCCTGAGAAGAAAAGTGGACGGTTTGTGCTCTCGAGAAAACCTGAGCGAGGACAGAAAACAGGAAGTCCAGCTAAACTTGAGGTCAGTTGAAGAGGAATGGAAGAAGGTCTTGGCTGGTGCTCAGCAACTAAAGAACCAGGCTGAGCTCCAGGATTCTCTTGCAAGGGAGCTTCAGACTTTTTATGCCCAGGAGGAGAGCACCTGGTCCTGGGTGAGGAACCAGAAGGATGTCCTGTACTCACTGGGGGAAAACACTCATGGTACACAAGACCAGCTTGAAGAGAGACTAAGCAGAGCACAAGTAAGTATTAATATAGGCTCAGCAGTGGAAGTCATCACAGTTGGGTAAACTTGGAGAGCAGTGAATGGGAGTTCTTTTTTCGCTTTCTAATTTGTTTACATAATAAAAGATTTAAAATACTGATAACTATATAATTATATCAATAGCTAAATTCTCATTTAAAATTACATTGCATTGTACGTGATCAAAATTTTCAGCTTATGCTAATTCTGAAAACGTAACCCTATATTAGTTTTTGAAGATCGGGAATTATGTAGCCAGAAGTACGTATGGCTGCATTTAGTTTTTAAAACGAACACTACCAGGCAGAATGACGTCGTTCCTTTTCAGGCGCACAGTACTAGCCAACCAGTTTGTCCAGTTAGCTTGCAATGTACGATGGTGAACTTGAGATGCAGAGAGGAGCTGACCATGACAACAGTGTTTGAGTACAGTGAAGAACGGTTCCAGAAAGCAGGTAAAACAAAACAGACGCCGAAAAATTTAATAAACAAGTAAAAAACAAGGTGAGATTGTGGTAAAACGTGGTAAAAATCAGGCGAAGGCTTTCTATGAATTGCTTTTTAAAATTAGCTGGTTGGGTTTAGGGAAGTGGGTCGTCAGGTCGATCTGTGATTTTTAAAATTCTATTGGCTGGGTTTAGGGAAAGAGGAGGGTGGGCCAGTCGAACGGTCAGTCAGTCATTCAGTCAGTCAAACATTTAGTTGACAGCGGTCTCTTTTTGATTTTTGAGAACAACAGGTGCAAATGGCACTCGCAAGAGAAATCTGAGATCTCAAAAAGCATACACAGTGGCCTCTAGTGGATTCGCGGAAACAAAAACTGCAAAAAAAACGTAGCTCCTTGGACATATTTGGCAGTCCAAAAATATATAAAGGGACATTTTCAGAATGAACCTGAGTTTAAAATTTTATGATGAAAATGTGACAGCCAAAAACAAGTGTATGTCTGTGTCTTTCAGGCTATTCTAAGTCTTTACTCTGAAGGCAACTCCAAGATTGCAGACCTGAAAAAGACAACGGACCATCTATATAGCCGTGACGATCTTGATGAAGATACTAGACATTCTCTTGTTAATAAAATGAAAAACATAGAGGAGGAGTGGAAGGCAACACTACAGCAAGCACACAAACTGCAAAGGTTTGATATGATAATTCTCTATGTCTATAGTAACTCAAGGGGCAGTCCACCCAAAACTCAAAATCACCTCATTGTTTATTCTCCCTCATAGGATTGTAAACTTTTATGAGTTTTTTTCTTCTGTTGAAGACAAAAGGAGATATTTTGTGCTGGTTTCTGGCATCCAATACTATGGAAGTCAATGAGTGCAGAATTCTTCAAAATATATATTTCTTGTGTTCAACAGAAAGAAAGAAAGAAAGAAGTGAAGGGAGGGTAAATGATGGCAGAATTTACATTTTTAACTCGACTATCCCATTATTCTAGAACACACATTCTTTGGTAATGTAATCAGGCTACTTTTTAGTTACTTTCAGATTACTTTTGAACTAATTAGTTTATCACATCAGTTGGGATTATTTTGTGCAATATTTATCTAAAAAATAAAAGAAATACATTCCATTCCTTATTAATATTTTTAAACAATCTTATTTATAATAATAATAGTAATAATAATACATTATCTTATTCCTCAGTCTTCTGAAAGGTTTAGTAGAGCGGCTGGTATCCTGTCAGTGTCAGAAGGAACAGCTTCAGTCTCGTCTGGAGCAAGTCAAAGAGCAGATATCTGCTCTTCCAAGGCGCTTCCCCTGGCCTGGTTTAGGGGATCGAAGACACACAGTGGAGCAAGCAAAGAGTCTGCTGGACCGCACCAGAGCCCTGAACCCATCTCTGTCTGCTGTCCGAGCACTCGGGAGGGAAATGAGCCAGCTGACCCGTGACTCCAACTGGATTGATCCATCATGGGCCACTATGGAGGAGTGCATACCTGTCTTAATCAAAGAACTTACAGTAAGACATTTTTAGAGGAGTGCTGTGTTAATTATTTCTTACTAATTATGACTAATAAATAGAAACCTGATTTACGTGTATGACCAATTTTTTGTTTGTGTGCTTGTGTAGGAGTTTTGTGTAAACCTTGAAGAGGAAATCCGGAGGGAGCGAGTTTGTGCTCAGTTGGTTGAGCAACACACCATGGCTCAGGATTGGCTGAGAGAGCAGGTCAAATGTTTTGGTGCTCTGCCCACTGAACGCCATGGGTTACAGGGCTCCATTAACACTCTTAAGGTCTGATTAAATTCTTATAATATATCTGGACTCTCACTTTTACACACAGTTGTAACAGTTTTACACAGTTTGCTAAGTTATACACTATAATACTCAGCTTGGAATAAAATTATCATGTTAATCTTTTAAAAATCTACTTTCCAGGCTCTTCTTCAGACTGTAGACAGGGAAAAGAGAGAAATGAAAGAGCTGAATGCTGTTAAAGATTCTCTGATGGACCTTTGCACTCCAGGAGGTTGTGATGCCCTGACCTTAGAGGTCAGCCATCTTCATGACCTCTGTGTGTCCTCGGAGAAGGAGATGAGGGAACGGTTAGCTGTGTGTGAGGCCAGATTGAATGATATTGACCGCAGGCTTGCTGGAAGGGCACAGATCCTCAGGGAGCAGGCAGAGGGCCTCTTGGATGAGCTACGTGCTCAGGACCACTCTTTAGGATTTCTGGTGGCTAGCCAGAACATTACCCAGCTACAGGAGAACTGGCATAGCTTCAAGGTATAGTGGGAGTATGTTAATTTGTGTGTTAATGTGGTATGTTCTGTAAAAGGAAAGTCATTAAATCCAAACCATACTAATTTCCTGTTGAATGCTAGACCTGTGAGAGAGACATTGAGGCTTTAGAAGGCAAAGTCCGTGACCTTGGTCAGGCTCTCAGAACGGTCCCGATAGATGAGGAACCCCCTAGTGATGTCATTTCCATAGTGGACACAGTTACACAACAATATTGCAGGTACATGCAGTACAGTGATTTGCCAAATTAATTAATTTATGCTTTCAAAAAAACAAAATGTGTAAGATAATATGCTTGAATCTAAATCCTGTAGGTCCTGTAGATGATTGATGTTTTACACAGGTTTCAAAGCCAGTTCCTTGAGGGCCGGAGCTCTGCACAGTCAGTTCCTGGAGGGCCGGAGCTCTGCACAGTTTAGTTCCAACCCTGCTTCAGGCTTGTTTATAACCTATAGGTAAGTGTGTTAAAGCAGGATTGGAACTAAACTGTGCAAGGCTGCAGCTCCAGGAATTGGCTTTGACACCTGTGATGTATCACAATTATAGTGTAATGCTGCTTTAATTTAGAGTTAAATATTTATTGGAAAATTATTGATTTCCTTCAGTCTGCGATCGAAACTATCAGAGAGGCAGAATGACTGCGCAGACAGCACTGTGCAGTGTGTGAGACAGGCCTTACAAAACATTCAGTCATGGAACCAGATGGCAAATGCAAATCCTCCAACCAGCTCAGCCACATCCATGCAGGTGTGTTTGTGTCTTAATTTGCATGCAGTATATGAATACATAACAACACAACACACCTGCCTTATACATATATATATTTGATAGTAAGGTTGTTGTCACCTTGTGAACTGTAACATTTTTACTTCTTAGACTGCAATTGAGGAAGGAGCAAAACTGCGTAAAAGCCTACAGGTGGCACTGTCTCATAAAGAACTGCTGAGGGACTGTCTAGGCCCTGACTTGGCTGGAAAGCTTGAAAGAGATGGCCTAAAAACACTAAGTGAAGCAGACGCTTACATGAATGACATCAAACAGGAACTTAGGGTAAGTACATCTCATTTCTGTAGGATGATGTGATGACTGAACAAAATTTCTAGTGAGGTAAACAGAGGAGTTTGTGTTTCAGAATCTTCAGGAGAAGGTTGAGCAGGAGGCTCTGAGGTTGTCATTAGAGGCTCAAAACATTCAGGTTCACTCACAGGTACACATTTTAAAAAATGAAAGTGTATTTCTAGACTTTTAAAGTATTATTATGTGCAGCACTAATGTATGTTAAAAACAATTTGAAGGTTTCAACTGTGACACCATCAACAAAGGAGTCTGATCAATTGGAATTAGTTTCTTTTTCATCTTTTATTAATGAAAGCTGCAAAACAACGGATTACAGCGAACAGGCTAAGGTACAGCTATCTGAAAGCCTTGACAGCAATATACCTACATGTGTTATATCAGAAACTACAACAGAAGCAGAAGTTCATACTGCAAGAATATCACCACCAATAATAGAGAAAGATGTTAAAACATCTATACCACAGATTGCCACAGAGCTGCTATCTGAATCAGACACAAATGTTTATGAATCGGATGTTCCTGCTAGCAGCTATGGAGCTAATGAAGGTGAAAATGAGAAATTAATTTCTGTTGCTTTGGAAACAAAGGCTGATGAGAATGCAGATAAAGAGATGCCCACTTCCTCATGCGCAGCTCCTGATAGCTTGGAAACCACAGTTCAAGACACAGACATTTGGAGCCGTGGAATTACAAGTCTGAGTGCAAATGGACAAGAAAGTCAGATGTCTTTTGAAGTTGTGGGTTCAGACTTTTTTGCTGAAAGAGTGGAGGGTGAGAGCATCCAAGCAGTGATTGCAGAGCCGAATAAAGAGGAAGAAGGCTCATATATTTCACATTCTTTAGAAGAACCTGTTAGAGATAGTGTAGCGCAAACCAAAAAGGTTGCTTCGCTCATTTTAGATGAAGATACTGTATGCATACAGAGTTTAGACATACCTCCAGACAGTAATATTGCGAGGACAGACTCTGCTAGTGCCATGGTAAATGAGAAGACAGTGAGTCTTCAAACTATGGGAAAACAAGATGAAGAATCTTTGGCCCCTATAGAAGCTGAAATTTCTGAAAGGGCAATAGAAGCAATCCCCTTGCCATATTTTCCTAATGAGGCTGGTGTCATCAGTTTATCAGAAATTAGTTCTACAGTAGAAGCAAAACAGCTCACTGATATAGATCCTAACAGAGAAGTGCAAACACCTGCTGAAACACAAGATAGCGGAGATGCTGCTTCAAGAGGTATTGGAACATTTTCCTCAGACAATGGACCAAATGCTACAATTGCTGACAGTGAGGGCAGCTGGACTACAAATAATGGCCCCCGTGAAATCCAGCGTCGATATATTATTCTAGACTTGCCTGAGGGGGTGGAAATGCAGAGACATCACGCTCATGAAGGTACATCTTTAAGTGGATCCAGCGAGACACAGATTCAGGGATCAGGACATTCAGTAGCAGAAAGAATGGAGACAGAAGATGAGGCAGAATCTGCTGAAACTGAAACAGGTGCTTTAGTCAGCACAAACACAGTTTTGGAAGCACCAGAACAACATAAAACAATTGAAGCAGACCAAAACCTATCAACAAGGCAAGTTGAAGAAGATATGCATGTAATTCTAGATAAAGACACAAGAAAGACCCCATCAATGGATAAAGAACGATTTATAGAAACTGATTCTAAACTTAAACCTTCAGTCAAACAACCAAATGAGGGAGAAACTGAGGTTCAAACAAACAAGGTGGATATCTCCGTAACACCTGAAATGAAACCTGAAGGTAATAAGGCCATTGATGTCATTTTAGAAGCAGACACAATGGCTTCATCAGGTGGTAAAGCAAAATCCACAGTTATTGAACCTAAACTAACACCTCTGTTTCAGCAACTGACTGACAGGGACACTGAGATACAGTCCAAAAGAATGAATGTCATAATGACACCAGAAGAGACAAACAAGGCCCCATTAGTTGATGAAGCACAAATCATGGAATCGATACCTAAACTGATGCCTCCTGTCAAACGACAGGATAGTAAAACTGATGTCCAGTCAAACAAGATAAATGCATCAATGCAAGAGGAAAAAGCTGAAAATGAAAAAGGGATGGAAGTCATAAAACAAGAGACCTCATCAGGTGTAAAAGCACAGTCCATAAAAGTTAAACCTACAGTCATGCAATGGAATGATCAGGAAACTGAGATCCAGTCAAAACAGTTGTATGTTTCACAAGATGGAAAGGCTAAAGATGAACAAACTATTCAGATTGCTGAGGAAAAAGATATGTATATGACTCCATTATGTGAAAAGACTCATTCCATAGAAGCCGAACCTAGACCAACTCCACCAGTAAGACGGAAGAATGACAATAAGGTTGATGCCCAGTCTTACAAGATGAATATCTCAACAACATCAGAGGATAGACCTGAAAATGTAGAGACCATGGCTCCATCAGATACTAAAACAAAAGCTTTAAAAGCAGAATCTGAACCAACACCACCAGTCAGGCAAAGGAATGAGGGGAAAACTGATGTCAAGGAACAATTCTCAACAACTCCAGAAAAGACACCTGAAAGTGGGGACACTGTTCATATGACTATGGAGGAAATAAATAAGTCAACATCTGCTGATGAAGCACAATCAATAGAAACTGTAACCAAACCAACACCACCAGTCAGACGGCAAAAGGATGATGAAACTGAAGTCCAACTTGACATGGCGGATGTCACACCGACACCTCCAACCAGGCGACGTAAAGATGATAGGATGTCTTTGAACCTTGAATCACAAATACAGGGCGAAGTTCTTCCCACCCCACCAAACAGAAGACGTAGAGAAAAATTGAGAAGTGACAGGTTTTCGTTTGATATAGAGTCCCAGCCCACACCACCAGCAAGAAGGCGTAGAGATGATAGAAGATTATCACTTGATTTAGAGACCCAACCCACACCACCAGGAAGACGATGCAAAGAAAAAGACGATCAAAGATTTTCACTTCAACTGGACACTCAACCAACACCACCAGCAAGGCGGCGTAAAGAGAAAGAACAACAAAGATTGCCCGTTGATCTGGAAATTCAACCTACTCCACCATCAAGAAGACACAAGACTAAGCTTGGTAGTGAAACATCATCTTATAGTGATGTGATGAAAAGTATGGATCTCCAAACTGTTGAAGGTAAAGACTGTGAGGATCGAAGACTATCAACTGATCTGGAAACTCAGCCTACTCCACCATCAAGAAGATACAAGACTAAGCTCGGTAGTGAAACATCATCTTATAGTGATGTGATGAAAAGTATGGATCTCCAAACTGGTGAAGATAAAGACAGTGAAGATCGAAGATTATCAATTGATCTGGTACCTCAACCTACTCCACCATCAAGAAGACAGAAGAGTAAGCCAGAAAGTAAAACATCATGTTATATTGATGTGATGAAAAATATGGATCTCCAAATTGGTGAAGATAAAGACAGCAAAGATCGAAGATTATCAATTGATCTGGAAACTCAACCTACTCCACCATCAAGAAGACAAAAAAGTAAGCCAGAAAGTGAAACATCATGTTATAGTGATGTGATGAAAAGTATAGATCTCCAAACTGGGGAACATAAAGACAGTGAAAAGTCAATCGTTAAACCAACTCCACCTGTCAGACGCAAAATTAGTCCGGCAGAAAGTGATGTAACGTTGGCGATTTGCAAAAAACAAGAGGAAATTGAAACCATTGTGAAGCCAACACCACCAACAAGAAGAAAAGATAGCAATGAAATAATTCCAGGCAGTTCAAAGCTGAAAGACGAACCAACTCCATCTCTGAGGCGGAAAGACAGCCAAGCAGAGACTGAAATGGTTTCCATTGTAATGGTTGAGGACGTTCTACCAACCCCACCAACCAGGCAAAAGAAAGATCAACTAGCTGAGAAAGATCCATTAATGGCAGAAGAGCCACAGGTCATACCAGGTTCAACAACAAATTCAGAGAGTGAAGATGTTTCTGTGTGCACAAAAATGGAAGTGGAAGCTGATGTTGAACCAATTACTAAACAGGAAGATGAAGATGAGTTAAACCTAGAGCCTTTAATTGGTCAGAGGCAGCATGAGGAAAGGAAGGACTCTGATACATTACTTCCAGAACCCATCAGTCAAGCAGAGATCATCAATGAATCTCAGGTAACTCCCAATAGGAGCGGACCTGCATGAAGCATGATGACATGGTCTCTGCATGTTGGACTCTAATGCAGATTTTTATGTGCACAAAATGGGGTGTCCTTGAGCTATTTTTTAGTTGCTTTGCAGGGTGACATTAATCCTCTTACTTTGAGGATTATCAAGCACAGCTAACAGCTAACTTTGACAGAAAAAGCAATCTTCTTGCAAATTTTCAACTAACAAATATGACTCTAGAAATAACCATCCACTTTGCATCTTTACATATGTTGGTGTGGCTCTGGCTGCCATGTATAAAGTAGCTACTGCCCTCATTGTCACACACATAGAGTGGGTGTGAATTATTTTATTTCTGTTCTCTTAGATTTTATGTCACTGTGTATCTTGTGAATCTGACCTGCTAAATTAATTTTGAGTTACCAGTAAAACCATGAGTGAGTTGATTTCTTTCATTGACTTTGATTACTGCTCTAACATCTGTTATGTGTGTACAGTTTTGTATATTTGAAACTGTAGTTGCTAGTTTTCAGTTCAGTAGATGTTTTATGTTAATCTTTCATGTGTTGCAGCCACTGGATCAAGATTTGGATGCTTCTCCCCAATCTGGTCTTTCTACTGAAATCATTGAGAGTTCAGCCAAGGAAAAGGATGAGCCTGAGGGACCCACAATGAAGGACATCTTCACAGAGATTCAACAAATGACTGAAAAAGGACCAAACAATGTACTCATGGAGGTAACATTCAAAAATAAAGCTTCAAAAATAAAATTATTAGTTCAAAATATCCTGAATTTTTACTCGCCCCCTTGCCATCCAAGATGGATTTTTCCTTTTTATGGTTTTTAGGGTGTTTGCAGAAAACTTTCTAGGGTTTTTATCCATATAATGGGCATTTATAGTGATAAATGTTTTGTACTTCTAAATTAAAGAAGTATCATGGCCTGTTTCCACCGAATGGTACAGTACTGTACGAGTTGGTAGGGGTTACCATTATCAGGCTTGCATTTTCACTGCCAAAAGGGTACCAATGGCACAACACGCAACATATAGCCCACAGTCAGTGCAAATCTCTCATCTGTGTCTTTAATCTTCACCAGCACATGTATCCTCTTGTTAGAAAGTAATTCCGTCATTCCGAGTTCATAATAATCCAAAAAGTGATGATAATAGTTAAACATGGCAGTTTGTTAATGTTTTAGGTTGCTGAAAAAATCATTTGCTCCTTTGTTTTTTCAGGCTTCTCCTGTTCTCCACTGTTCACACGTCACTCTTGGGTTTGTCCCTTTCTGAAAGTATCAGATATCAGAAGCGCTTCAATTATCACTCACACGTTATTATTATTATCAGGACATTCGTTAATTCAAATATAGACACGCTGCAAGCTCTGAAAAGTAAAACCACTCACGCTTTTAGATGACCTTTTAAAGAACTACAGTGCACAGGGTAGATTCTGCTGTTCTTTTTGGTTTTGTGGCTGTTCATCAAGACAACGACAAGGTTAGTTTAGGCTCGGGTCGACCATGAGTCATTATTATATGTATATATTTTTACTGTGTAATGTCTTGGCTGTGTATTTAGAAATGTCGGTTCCTTTGTTTTCTTTCTCCTGCTTGTGTACACGCTGGGGACATTTGTAAATGTATTAAAGCTCAGCCTTTTGGTACCCTTTTGTCATGCTAGGTACCCTTTCAAAAGGGTACTCAAAAAGTGGTAAAGTTCTGTTCGCTTTTTGGTACCTTTTGACAGTGAAAATGGCCATAAAGGCATACCGAACCATACCCTATTGTACCGTACCACTCAGTGGATACGGGCCATTACAGGCTACTGTTGCAATGAGGGTCTTCTCTAACAAAACATCAGTTTATTTTACTTGAATCTGCAGTTCAAACAACTAAACACCATAGAAGTCAACTTTATTGAGAAAAATCTTGAAATGTTTTCCTAAAAAGTTATTTATGGCTGCAGGAACAAATATATGAAGGTCTTGACAAGGTGGTGAACTGGGCTTTTCTGGAATTGATCTAATTCTTTAAGTAGGCTTAAGAGAATTTACATATGCAGTGAACAGTGTTTGCTATCCTTCCAAATTACTTTTTTTTGTTGGCAGGGCCTACCATATGAAAGTACAGAAAATCTCTTTGACACATGCAGCACTGATCTTGAGGCTCGGTTGAAAAGGCTAGTGTTCCATTTACTCGAACTTCGATCATGCCCAGCTGCTCTAAACTCCACAGACATGGCCAAGCAACTAGAGGAGGCAGAGGTGGGTCAACAACATGAAAACATTAGTCTGTTATGAACTTAACTTTTAAATATTATATATTTTTCTTTGGCCTGTTGCGAATTTAATATTTAAGCTAATTGTTACTGATTTTTCTGATCAGTTATATAAAAGTGTTCTGGTCGGAGGCTGGCTCATTTTGTATTATACTGTTGTATTATTTTAGGAATGTAGAAAGTCTGCCCAGATACACGTATCTATAATGTCTAGTCAAGACCAGGTTAACGGAGTCATCAGTGCTGGCACTAATGGCACAGTTCATGACCCTGAGGGCATGCAACAACTAAGCGCCCAGTGGAGTGCAGCTTTGTGGGATGCAGCAAGCTCTGTCCACTCTAAGGAAGCTCAACTACAGATTGTTGCAGATTTTGACAGACAGACCCAGAAAGTCAAAGCTACTCTTGAAAGACTCCGATCTGAACGTGAGGGACTAAAAACGTAAGTAATCATTTTTGAATAACAAGTTTGTTGTTGGACTAAATCTGGTACTGGTGCTAATAAAAAAAGAAAAACAATATATTTGCCTTATATATCTCAAGATCTCCAGCTGTGAGCAGCTTTGCTGAGGAGGAGAGGTTACACACTTTCTTGAGAAGTATGGAACAGGAAAGGACAGTTCTTGGTGACCTAATCCAGACTCATGCTAAACTGTCCCCCCACCTCAGTCTTCCTGAGAAACAGGCCGCAGAAATACAACAAAACAGCTTGCAAAACCAGTGGAGGGCGCTGGAAAAGGATGCAGAGATTGCTCTTTATATGGTTACTGCCTATGCTAAGGAAAGTGGGAGTCTTCTTCAAGAGGTCAGTGCCTTAAAAGACCATCTTCAGGACACTCAAAAGACCTTGGATGCTTTGAAATCCTCACCAGTTTTATGGGATGGCAAAAGAGCCCAAGATAATATGAAGATAAATGCTGATCTCACTTCCTCCCATCAGCAGTACCTCCACTTTCAGCAGACTTCAGATATGCTTGCCCAGAAATTCCAGTTCAAGGAAGAGGCATCCAGCATAGAGCAGCACCTTCAGCATATTAAACATCAGCTGGATCAAATGGGTGAACAGTTGGCATCTGCAACTCCTATCAGCAGCAATCCGATGTTAAATAAAATTGTGAAGGTGATGACAGATGCTCTAGCTTGGGCCAAGCAGACAGAATGTGATGTCAAAGGACGACAAAAAAAAGTATCTTTGCTTCCAGAAGAAGTCCATCGACAGATTAGAGATTTAAAGAAATTGCAGTCTGAGATGAGCTCCAAGAAAACCCAGTTAAAGGCATTGGTTGAGGAAGTCGGTGAACTGATTAATGGCCTGGATGAGGCTGACATTTCGATGGTGAACTCTTCCTTGGCGAATCTTGAGGATTTGTCCAAATCAACTGAGCGAAAACTGGCCGAGGCAGTTCGCGAGATGGAGTCAGGTCTTCAGACCAGGGAGAAGATGTCAGAGCAGATAGCAGATGTCGATTCATGGGTTGTTGGACATCTCCGGAGGGAAGCGTTGAGAAGAGAGGATTTTCAAAGCTTGAGTTTGGCAGATCTGGATCGCAGGATGAGACAAATCCAGGACACTCTTGGAGAGGCAGAAAAGCAGTCTTCTGTCACTGAAGCTCTACTCATGAAGAGCAAAGACATTGCATCAGAGCTAAGTGTCTTAGAGAGTACTGAGCTGAACAAGAAACTCACCAACCTTCAAGAGGACATCAAGGGTGTTGTTATATATGAGAAAGCATGCTGTCAAAAGGTTATAGATGCTAAACAGAGTCAAGAATCCTCTCAGAGGAAAGTATCATCTCTCGAGTTCAGTCTGAGACAAATGTTAGTTGATGTAAAGAGACACAGGTTTCCTGTTACTAAGGATTCACTTTCTGTCATTGAACCCTTTAAACAAATGATTGTGGAGCGTAAATCTCAGGTCGAGCAAGTCAGTCCATGTGCAGAGGACAAGAGAAGAGAGCTATTATGTGTTATCAGTGAACTGCATTATAAAATGATTGATTTGGATCTCAAAGCACAAGCTCACGAAAAATACTTGAGCCTCATCGAGCATGTTGAACAACTTAAGGAAGAAATGGAAGCTCAGATTCCCAGGACCAAGGATGAGAGCATTAACAAAGAGGAACGCTACAGAGCTTGTCAGACCCTACTGATCCATATTCCTTTAATAAGACTCTTGTGTGAGGAAACAAGAGATGAACTCCATGAAATCATAGCAGATCTTTATCCATCTCAGCTGTCCGCTGAACAAAAAAGACTCAAGCAAATCCTAGAAGGTATCCGAACGTCAGAACTGGCAGTTAACAACAATCTTCAGATACTGGAGTGGGACCTGCTGAAACAAATTCACTACCCATCAGAAAAGACAGTATTGCAGCAGTTTCTCAAAGACACCAATGAAGAGCTGGAAAAGCCTTATAGTGTTGAACCAAAAGACAGAGTGATTGAAAAACAACTAAGAAAGTTCATTGTGCTCAAAAGGAATGTTGAATCGCGTATAAGAGTGCTTGAGTTTCTTGAAAAAAAGATTGGAGCTCAACTTCCAGAGGACTCCACACTTACTTACATGAAAGATATGATTTTGCAAAAGTGTGATCAACGAATGGTGAGTTTTTGATTTGTTTTATCTTTGCCTCAATTTAATTTCTTTGTAATATAATTGGTGCAAGTGTTTACTAACAACATGCACAGAAACGTCATTTATATCATTCAACTTAACATTTAGAATTCAAGGGTAAATTCTGCTCTCTTTTTTTAGGTTGGTCTAACTGAAGCCAAAGAGCTCTTGAGGAACTACACCAAATCAGTAATAAATACTATTCGGTTCCTCCAAAGAGCCGAGTTGGTCCTTCTTCCCTCAATCTGCTCTGCTAGGAGCTGCTCTGAAAGACTCAAAGACACTCAGCAGGCTTTACTGACTCTAGACACAGAGTTCCAGTCACATATTTCCCAGCTTCAATCTCAAATCCCGCAGCATCCTTGCTTCAAGCCAAATGAAACTGAATGTCTTCACACAGAGGTTCTAAGCCAGCTACTGGTCAGGATATCAAGCCTCAAGGCCCAGGCCCTGATTCAGCTAGAATCTCTAAAGAGGTATATAGTACGAAAGCTCATTTTTACTACAGATCACTGATTTTCTCAGTAAACAATCATAATTACCAATCAATCTAGGCTTATAACTTTAAGTTTAAAATAATTACTTATAGCTGGCTCCTGCTAGCTTAGCTCCATTTGACTCACCTTCCTAAGCCTCATTGCCGTCCGGGTCATTGCACCAATATAACCACTAAATACTACAGCTAATAAATTCTGTTAAATCTTGAAGTTTGTATGTGACATTTACACCCAATTGGCTTGTTCATTTTTTACATTTCATTTTCAATATGCTCACAATGCTCAACACATCTCAAATCTTTCATTCTCTCATCAAATTCTATATAGTCACTGTAGGAATTAACCAACTTCTTGTCCATAACAAGGTGTGTCGAGTGCCAAAAACATTCTCGGAAGTGCTATGAGGAGCTTTGCCAGCAAGTGAGAGACTCTGAAACACTGCTATCGCAATGTGCTTCCAAAAAAATTACTTCACACAAGGACTGCAAAGATCAGCAACTAAAACTCAAGGTAAAGGCAAACACTTAATCATCAGTCGGAAGGCTAACACATTTTAGCATTATGGCCCTATGTAACATTTACCTGCTTTTGTCAAGTGATGCAATGAGATAGATATTCCTAATTTTTAGGCTCTAGTGGAAGATGTTGCTACGCTTCCTGGAAAACTGGAGAATCTGAGAGAGTGGTGTTTATTGTATGGGTGTCGAGCCAACCGGGAAGAGGCAGCAAGTGCCATCTGGGGGCAGGTAGCAAGATTGCAGCGTTGTGCTGATGATCTGCACACACGCTCAGAACAAATGGAAGCAGAGTGGAGCAATGTCACAAGGAGTGTAAGTGCCATGATTAAAACTGAGTATTGGTGTTTGTTAGCTTCTGTACATCAACCTACATGTTAAAGGTTTTTACTTGTCTAAATCCTAAAAATACCATGTGTCTGCAGATATTTCCGAAACATGCTAAATCAACATACTTTTTTATCTGAAAAACAATGCTAAAGTCAGTGATTCTCCTTTTAATATGTGTGTTATCTGTTGAAATGTTTGTCATTGTTTTGATCTGCGTAACTCCGCCCACTGCAAGTTTACCCATTTATATTTAGGCACCTTCGGTTGCCTTTGTTGGAAAACTCAGTATTTCATTTCAGTCATGAAGGCTGCCTTAATATATATGGCCGCGACTGAAAATACGACTACCAGTAGCAGCTTGCAAAATGAGACAAATTAAGATTTTTAAAATGTATTTAGCTTACAGTGTAAGACTCAATCATCAAGCATGCTTGCTTCTGTTTGTGTCACTTTTCTGGCAACTATTCTGCCTGTGCATCTAGTTGTCATAGGATGGGCCAGGTGAAAAAAAACCCTCTCCAACATTTCAACATTTAGAATTTGAACTGCAATACCTTGTTCAATCAGTTGTTAATCCAACTGCACCTTTAAGTAATAACTAAATATATTTTATCCAGTTTACTGTGTTTAAATGAACAATGACAGATTATTGTGTAGTTAAATTTGAACTGAACATCTTTTGATTTTTTAGGTGGAGCATGCAGTCGCTGTGATGGAGCAGGTGTCTGCTGAACTTCCAGACAGCAACAAAGATAATAGGACTGCTGATGAGCTCCAGGAACTTTTGCTATTCTGGTCTCAGTACCAGGACAGACTGGACTGTGAACACAGAGCAGTCTCTGCATTGGAATTAAGAGCCGCAAGGTTGCTTGGTGTTCCCCCTTACCTGGAACAGGCCCCATCCATTGAGCTGTGCCAACAACTGCAGGCCCTACAGGAGCGATACCATAGGTCTACATAGTCTATTGTTAATTATTTCATTTTTATTTTTATTTAGTTTTCTAGACAGAACAGAAAAACAAAACCAAGAGATGACAGACAATCAAACAAACCCCATATAACAGTCAGACTTGAAATAAACTGACATTTGCTGTACATTTAGCACAATTCTTTTGCAGTATTCTCCACAAAGGTTAGAAAATGTTGCTGAATAGTAAAGAATCTCTTATATGACTATTTGATATAACATCTTTAATGCAGAGTGAAATGTTGAGTTTTTCTATTTATACAGAATAATCTAGAGCTAATTTTATTCAGAGATATTTCAGTTATGTTTTCTTGTAATCTTGTCAGTTGGGAATTCCGTGTTCAAGTGCTTTACATATTAATTGGTTTACAGACTAAAGTAGATCAACATTAGATATCCGTGTCCTATCCCAGAGTCCAAGCAAAAACATACATTATTCAGAACTATAAACTGCACATTCTCAAATAAATATTTAGATTGAAATAAAAGCTTATATTGGGCGACACGGTGGGTCAGTGGTAGGCACTTTCGCCTCACAGCAAGAAGGATGCTGGTTTGAGTCCCGACTGGGTCAATAGGCAGTTCTAAGTGCATGTTCTCCCCGTGTTTATGTGGGTTTCCTCTGGGTGCTCCAGTCCACAGTCCATAGACATGCTATAGGTGAATTGAATAAAATAAATCGAATTGTATGTGTGCGGATGAGTGTATATGGATGTTTCCCAGTTCTTGGTTGCAGCTAGAAGGGCATCCACTGTATATAACATATGCTGGATAAGTTGGTGGTTCATTCCGCTGTGGAGACTACTGATGAATAAAACGACTAAGCTGAAAGAAAATGAATGAATGAATGAATAAAATATTAAGTTATGTTGAACAAGCATATCTTAATGCATAAATTTCAGGATGTTTTCCTCCTTGCTTTTTAGCATATATATATTTGCAGTGTGTTATTTAAATGGAAGTTTAATATGTGTTTTGGCTTTTGTGTCCTGCAGTCTGAAGGAGAGGAGCACTCAGGGTCAGAGGACAGTAAGAACAGAGGTGGAGGAGAGGGAACGAGTGCAGGAGCAGCTGGAGGGAGTGAGAGAATGGCTGGATTCTGCTGTCTCTCTCCTTTCTGTGCTGGAGCAAGAACCTAGCAAGAAACAGCTCCAGGTTAGGCAACTGTTTTGTGACTTTTGTAATTATAATCTTTCTTTAACCAGGTAAGTCAATACCAGTTCTTATTAACAATGATCACCTGGCCAAAAAGCAACATAAGTTACAGTTTAAGTCACATTGTTTAAGTTTAAGTTACATTGCATCTACATGCCAACTAATTCTTATTAGACTGTTAGCTTAGGGTGAGGGTTGAGGTTATTGTAGATTGACATGTACTTGTCTGTTTAGCAACAGAATCAACAGATATTAAGCAGACAGTCGACTAATACTCAAATGGACTATCAAAATAAAATATTACCATATTACACAAATATTTCTTGTGCTATAATTTTTAAAGGAAGATAATGGAATAAAAGTATTGAACTTTAAAGTCTGCTGCAGATGGTTCCAGGCATCAGCAGCGGAAAAAAAGAAAGGAATAGCAACCAAAAGAAGTACAAACTTACGTGTACAAATGTTTAAAAAATGAGAAACTGAACGCATGACTCGATTTTTGGTTAAACATTTAGTTAAATTCTGATGTTAATTACTACAACCCGAAATCAGAAAAACATTTCTTTTCACAACACTTAAAATACATGACTCAAGACACTAAGTAATGAAGTGTTTAAGGTATAAATTTGTCCCATTCTTCCTGCAAACATGTCTTAAAGTGGGCAACAGTACAGGGTCTTCGTTATCGCATTTTGAGCTTCAAAGCCCAGAGAAGTTGACGGCACTTCTGGACACACTGTTAACATAGGGCTTCATTTTTGCACAGTACAGTTTTGACTATCATTTGTGGATGTAACTACATATTGTGGTGCTTGACAAAGGTTTGCCAAAGTAGTCCTAAGACATGTGATATCGCTTTGGGGTCGCTTTGATATATTTTTTGGGGTCTGGATGACAGGAAAAGATGTATATTTACAAATAAAATTAAGTTAACAAGACAAAACATGAAGTATGTTGTGTTCATATTGTCTGCAATGAAATACAAATTTGGAAATCACTACTTTCTTTTTTTTTTTTTTTTCAAACTGTCGCATGTTTACATTTGTTTTCCAAACTGTCCCATCAATTTCTGATTTACGGTTGTATGTTTTGCACTAATTTAAGTGTCTACTAGTGTTTATATAAGTTGCAGGCTTTTAGTGTAGATTTAATGATTTGGTCTAATTGAAATCTTCATTGCTGCTGTGCCTGATAAATGATTCTCCCTGACAAGATATTTTACAAGAGAATAAACACGAATAGGCATAGATAGAGTATTGAATGCTTTAATGAGGTTTATATCTGGGCAACAGAGATACTTTAGATCCTTGCATGGTTAATCTTAGGTTTTATTGTTCAGCATTTATTGGTCTGAGGTGGTTTTGAGAGAAGCAGTTTGTAGAAATGGACACCAAGCAGAAAAAATATTATCCTGTTGTTTATAACTCAGCACCACATGTTGCTGGTTAAGACAGACTTTTATTTGCTTTATTGTGTTTTATCACTTCACGTCCAGTTGGAACATTATGTGATGGAGAGAGAGTCTGTTTTTGTGCTGAATTTCGGGCTGCTCCATCCAATCAACTCAAACTCGCATTCTCAAAGATTCAAAAGCTTTTAAACAGTTATTTTTTCTCAAACACACACACACATAATGCTGTAGACATCGCTATTTTTCTCCTTCATTACCTCTTCACCAGACACACAGATGAGAGGGCACTGCATTTGTGTTCTGGCGAAATAGCTGAGTCATGTCCAACATCCTCACACAATCTATCTTTTCTTTTTCTCACACACACTCGTTCTCTCTTTCTCCCATTCACTTTCTCAAGTAGACACTTTTGGTTTAGATTTTCCCACACACACACACACCTGTAAGTGGATCTTGCAGGTTTGATCCCAATGCCAATGATGATGTCAGCTAATGCACTCTCTCTCTCTCTCTCTCTGTGTTTTAGTCAGTGTTTTATGGGGACTTCCCATAGACTTAATGGTTTTTATACTGTACAGACTGTATATTCTGTCCTCTTACCCAACTTTACCCCTAAAACCAACCCTCAAAAAAAAACCTTCTTCAGTTTTACATCTTCAAAATACTTAATTCTGGATGATTTAGTTCCCCTTTTTAGATGGGGGACCAAAAATGTCCCCACAGAATCAAAAAGTACTCATATTGCTATACTTGTTAAGAATTTTTTTTAAAGCATTATGGAAAACAAGGCCAAACAGAATGATCTAAAAGGATAGTCTCTCTCTCTCTGTAATGCATGCTCCTTTCTCTGAATCCCTCTGGGGTTTTGGTAATTTTGGGATCTTGTTTATGCAGCTTTTCTTCCCGTCTTAAATGGCTCATTATAATATAAATAGGGGTTAGAAGCTTTATCTCACTAACTGGAGCCGGAGAGGTGAAAAGGGCTGAGAGAGATAGAGAATGCTTTTTGAGAGGCTTGTTCTGGTTTGAGGGACTAGAAGCATCATCGGTGATTGGGTCAACCAGTGAGACCAGTGCAAGAGTGTGGTGAAGATATAGGAAGTATTGATATGCTTACATGAATATCTGATTGCTCATCAATTCACGATGCTCCTATAGATGTAAGTTGTTTCTTTATTTTACCTGTATTGCAATTTTGTATCCATTGGAATCTCTGCATAGAAGTTATCTTTCCACTATTACATGTATAACCTGTTTATATTAAAATACATTTCAGCAGGAAACAGGAAAACCAGACTAAACTACAAAATAAAAAACAAGATACCTTGACACACGATACATTTCCAAAGCTGATGAGATAAAGTTGAAGAGATTTGCTGTTGACTGCAATGTTCTGATTGTTTCTAACTGACCAGCAAAAATCATTATGTCTTCGCTATGCATGATGAATTGTAAAAATGAATGCAGTGAAAAAGAGAATATTAAATTAAAGAATGAACGGACATAAAGCGATAAATCACAAAACAATTTGAGGTCTGTTTTAGCCAGCAACAGTATTGCTATTTTGCAATCCATTACAATATCTACATATAAATTGTCTGTCCACTATTAAATTGATAACCTGCTAATATTAAAATAAATCGACTAAACTCGCTGTGAATTTTTAAGTACATTGGAAGGAAAAGTGAATGATTTTAAAGAGAATTTTTGTTATGCCTGGATGTAATGATTTTTTTTAAGTGAAGTTTATCTACAAATAAATTTCAAGAGGATCACGTGCTTATGATTGACCACAGCTGGTCCCGCATTAGCTAATACATGATTCACCTATCGGATGATTCCTAACTCACTATAAATAACCGGAAGTTGCCAACCTCAGTTATCTTCGTCTAAGAGATTCTGAAATACCCCCGTCCACCCCTACTCCTCCTCCTTTTTCCTTGATTATAGCGGCCCAGTGCTTAGCACTGTTGCCTCATAGCAAGAATGTCACTGGTTCAAGTATTTAATTGGCCAGTTGACATTTCTGTGCGGAGTTTACATGTTCTTCCCGTGCTCTCGTGGGTTTTCCCCGGGTTCTCCGGTTTCCTCCCGCAGTCCAAAAACTTGCAACATAGGTGAATTGACCGAACCAAATTAGCACCATAGATGAGCTCTTAATCAGCAGTATATTTCTCCATAGCAATCCCTGATTGGTCATTATCCATAAATAAGCATGGGAGTTCTCAAGACCTACCTGAGCTCAAACTCCCCTCTCGCCCTGCAAATAGGAGGGAGCACCGGGCTTGAGGATCTTCTGAGCTCAGGGCTCTCTCCTGGGACAACATGCCAAACACGCTTTATAATCAATCATCAGCTAAGTGTGAACTCTTAAAAATGCTGAAATTTATTAATTGAAATTAATATCTGAGTACATATCTTGCTTAGTTATCATGTTTTTGATGTCCTAAGTAATAAGGATTTGAAAATATTATACAAAAAAGGTACATACATTAAATCTTCTTTTAGGTTTAAAAGTTTTAACATTTGGAATTTAAAATGTTAATTGTATTAAAAATGTTTTGATGATATGGTAAGTTGATCAGGTAATTTAGGTAGGCAGAAACAGCATTTCTTAAACCTAATCTGTCTCTTTTGATTTGATATCATAATTAATATCAGTTCATTTTGCTGACAAAAACAACTCCAGTATTTCAGATCTTTTGCCTGTGTCTCTACGTTTACAGTACTTTGTGTTCTTGTTTATGGCGTTTTGATGAACTTTAGTTTTATAAAAATAGTCTTGTACCGAAAAGTGATTTTGAAATTAAATGGATGGCATGGAAAGAGGTTATTTGTGCAGTACATAAATGTACTCTTTGCTAATGTACCTTAATTGATGAGTAATGTCCCATTTCGCTCAACAGGAGGTTCACTCACAGCTGTGCACCCGGAAGGCTGTTCTGCAGCGTATTTCAGAAAGCTTGAAGATGATGTACTCTGACAAAAACACATCAATTCCCGAAGAGATAGAGGGTCTATTACAGGAAGTCTCACAGTCATTACAGGAAGTGGAGGAGCAGGTTTGATGCACTCTTTAGAGTAATTCCCAAATTGTCTAGTTTCAAGGCTCAAATTTGACATTCGTGTAAGAGTTGAGTTGAGAATGCTTCTGTTAAATATAAGCAACAGTTGTTTAAAAATTGTATATTTTGTGAGTATTATAGCAAGATTAGCAGTATATTCAATGTTTATTCATCAATGATATGTCCGACACACACACACACACACACACACACAGTAGTTGTACTCTATTATGGTGGTTTGTGAGGACATGTCTGATGTCCTTGTAATTAAAAATGTTGAAAATCATAGTTAATGGGGCCTTTTCACATAAACATTTTGCCACAGGTTTCCTGTTAGGGGTTTTGTTTTACGGGTACACTGCAAAAATGCTTTTCTTACTTAGATTTTTTTGTCTTTTGTTTGGTTTAAATGTCTAAAAAAATCTTCAAGAAGCGTTTTCTTGGCAAGCAAAACATAAGATCTTGTTTTGAGAAATAATATGCCAAATAGAAGTGCGTTTTTCCTTAAAACAAGCAAAATAATCTGCCAATGGGATAAGCAAAATAATCTTGTTTTTCCTTTTGACAAAAGATTATTTAGCTTGTTTTAAAGAAACTTAACATTGGCATATTATTTCTTAAAACAAGACTATTTGTTTTGCTTGTAAAAGAAAATTATTCTTAATATAAGAATTTTTAGATATTTAGACCAGAAACAAGATGGAAAAAAAAATAAGTAAGAAAGGCATTTTTGCAGTGTACCTGTAAAGCAAACCCCTAACAGGAAACCTGTGTCAAAATGTTTATGTGAAAAGACCCCATTAAGTATGATATTTAAACATTTTTAATTACAAAGACATCAGACATGTCCTCACAAACCACCATAATAGAGTACAAGTACTGTAGGTCATACCCATGTCATTATACAAAAACTGTCCTTGTAAACAACCAAAACAAGTACACAAACACCTACAGTTGAAGTCAGAATTTATTAGCCCCCCTGTTTATTTTTTTCCCCAATTTTTGTTTAACGGAGAGAAGAGTCTTTTCAACACATTTCTAAGCATAATAGTTTTAATAACTCATTTCTAAAAACATGATTTATTTTATCTTTGCCATGATGACAGTAACTATTATTTGACTAGATACAGTATTTTTCAAGACACGTCAATACAGCTTATAGTGACATTTAAAGGCTTAACTAGCTTAATTAGGTTAGCTAGGCAGGTTAGGGTAATTAGGCAAGTTATTGTATAACATAGCTTAAACAGGCTAATAATTAGGAACTGCAGGTGGAAATTAGCAATCCTGCCACAACCTGGCACAATCTTTCCTCTGTGAGGTAATGCAATTTTTGTGGATTGTCCCTGTTAAATAAATAAAATAATTCATTCAATTTTGACCTTAAAATGATATTTAAAAAATTAAAAACTGCTTTTATTGTAGCCGAAATTAAACAAATAAGACTTTATCCAGAGGAAATTATATTATAGGAAATACTGAGAAAAAAAAATCCTTGCTCTGTTAAACATCATTTTGAAAAATATATATATATATTAAAGGTGGTTTAATAATTCAACTGTACATTCCCACACACATGTAATATAAGTTAATTGTTAACTTATGGTGTTAATTGCAGTTTCTGTTTCTAGAGTTTTGTCCCATAGACACTCATGTGTTTTATTCTTTTCAGAACTTCAACTGACATATGTGTGTTTTTGTGTCTTACTCTTCTGCTCTTGCTCACAGGTGAAGACAGCCATTGAGAAAAGTGGCCCACTTCACAGGCTGGGTGCAAAAATCTCAGAGATTAAAGCAGGTCTGGGATCAGTTCAGAGCTGGTTGGAGCAGAAGAGTCTGAACTTTCCTGAAGCGGAGGTCACACAGAAGGTTGGTCATCGAATCTGCCGACATTTATGCTATTTTTTTTATTCTTTGTTAAAATAAACACATCTTTGTAACTTTTAAGTATAATGCAAAAACAGTTATAGTCACTTGTTTATTAAACAAAGTCTCTCATATAATATCTCCACTGAAAAGCAGAAAATATTTCTTTACAAACTGTATTGTACATATTTATTTCCATTGCGCTTTTACATGGCAGATTGCATCAAAGCAGCTTAACATAGAAGTTCTAGTAAGTTAAAACTGTCAGTCAAGTTTTCAGAGTTGAATTTCAGTTTAGTTCTGTTTAGTGTGGGTTAATTTTTGCTGCTGAAAGTCCAAACATTGAAGTCCATCAATGTGCAGCTCCACGAGTCCCAAAACCAAGTAAGCCAGCGGCGACAGTGGCGAGAAACAAAACTTCACCAAATGACAAAAGTGATTGAAAAAACCTACATAAACCATATAAACATTTGCATATTATTCAATAATATTACTGAAATAAATGTAAAAAAAAAAATGAATTCATATTTTTTCACACATTTATATAAGCGAATAGACTGAATGATGGGCTCAAAAATCTGTGGAAATTTCTGCACATGCAGATTCCCTGTGTGCCTGGTCATGAGTTTAGATGTATTTCACATTTTGTGTTGCATATTATTCATTGTATTCATTTTGATTTACAGTTTACAGAAAAGTAATATACAGTTTTTTATGATTAAATAATCTATTTAAGGTTTTATTATAAGTTGATTATATGTTAATTATATATTACAAGCTTTTCATGAATTCACAAACCCTCAGGTTTTTGCTCAATCTTTTCATGCTGTTAATTTTTATTTCATGTCTTGTATAAAATGCATTTCTAAAATTTGTTATCTTATGATTATGTTGCCAACTACAATTTCCATCATCTCAATAATGGACTACAGTCCCATTGTAGTAATCTACCCTGTAAAGTGAAATTAAGACAGTTATGTTCATATTTTATTTGAGGTCACTATAGATTCTTTATCAAACTACAAAGTACTTTGACCTTCTTACTATTCATGACCATCAAATTAGTTGTGGTGATAAATTAGTCTGTTTGACTATGAACCAATTTGTCTTCATATTAACAGTTTGGTGAAGTTTAGAAAATAGTTTAAAAAGCTTCAGAGATTGACTGTGTTTTCTGTATATTATAGCGAGTGTGGGATGAGCTGGACGGTTTACATACTTGTCTGGCTGCAGTCGAGGTGGAGCTGCAGGATGTGAGTGAAATGCATCCAGACGAGACGCGACTGATTCTGGACAACCTGGTCAACTCACAGCAGACCCACACACGCCTCACCAAACAGGCCGAACAAAGGACCACCTTCCTCAGCAAGGTATCCTGTGATGCTTTGCTGCTTGCTGATAAAACTTAAAGGAATAGTCCACTAAAACCATTTATTTTCACATTTTAAGTCCTTCATAACACACAAACGTAATTGTTCCTGTGATATTATGTTAAGTAGACTTTATAGTTGGTCATATTATTTACCAGGGTCATATATACTATTGCTATATATCACATTTCTTTATGGGGTGTGAGTTATAATGAAATGCTTTTTACTTTATTGTACACTTTTAATGAATTTTACTTAATGAAATAATAAAAATTAGCATGCACAAAACAAAATAACAGAAATAGAAATACACATCTAAATTAAATGAACAAAAAAATTACAATTTTAATAAAAAACTTGAAAGACAGTGACGCAGTGGTGCAGTAGGTAGTGCTGTCGCCTCACAGCAAGAAGGTCTCTGGTTTGAGCTTCGGCTGGATCAGTTTCTGTGTGGAGTTTACATGTTCTCCCTGTGTTCGTGTGGGTTTCCTCTGGGTGCTCAGGTTTCCCCCACAGTCCAAAGACATGGTACAGGTGAATTGGGTAGGCTAAATTGTCCGTAGTTTATGAGTGTAAATGAGTGTGTATGGTTGTTTCCCAGAGACTGGTTGCAGCTGGAAGGGAATCCGCTGCATAAAACATATGCTGGATAAGTTGTCAGTTTATTCAGATTAATAAAGGAGCTAAGCCACAAAAGAACTGAATAAATGAATGCTTAAAAGACTGTGGAACATAGGGAAATAGGGATAAACTGTAAAAAAATAGAGTCTATATATCAATCCATGTATTGGGCATTGTTTAAGGAGAACTTTGTTCTTTACCCTTTAACCTAAAAAGATTAGTTTTTTGTTTTATTGTTCCGCCGTAGGGCATCCGCTGCATAGAACATATTTCAGATTAACTGGCAGTTCATTGCGCTGTGGCGACCCCTTATAAATCAGGGACTGAGCCTAAGGAAAATGAATGAATGACATTTGTGCAGGTAGCTACTTTAATGACCTTATTCTAAAATGCGGAAGTGCGCCTGTTTTCGCGATTGTCTTAGAACTTCCGATTCAGTCGCCTACGGGAGAAATGACTAGGAATAATAAACGGCAGAAAATGGCCAAACTACTTGCTCTACAAACAAATGTTTGCATGACTACACAGACCAAGAAGCATAATATAATAAGAAAATATTAAATTGCAACATCAAGGAGCGTAACGAGCAGTTGTTAACGTCAAAAAATGAATGGAAGTGAATGTGACCGGAAGTCGCGAGACAAAAAGATTCAAATGGCAGCGCTCACTCGTCAGCGGAGAATAAGGTGAATATAGACATGTCCAGGGCCAGACTGAATCTGCGGACATTTTTTGCTATTTCTGCTGAGAATTTTGGTAAAAATCTGCGGATTTCTGCTGAATTATTTTGGGATTTTACAGCGGAGTATCATAACTAAAACCTTAATATATTAAATAAAAAGTAATAAATTACTGAATAAATTCAGATTTACACATTTACTCAAGTAAATAAACTGAATTAATAATGGGCTAATAATCTGCAGAAATCTTTGGAATTCTGTGGAAAATCAGCGGAATTCTGCGCGCGCAGATTCCGTGTGGCCCTAGACATGTCTTGATTGTTGATCAACAAGAGATGATGATTATTGGGTTAAACTTTCAGAATATGACTCCATTTAAGGGTATATTTCAACACTTTGGAAATGGACAGCGACTCCTAACGAGCACTTAGAACAAGTTCTTTTGGGGAAATGCACACAAAGTTTCAATGAGTGTTCAGATGCTCTTAAGAGCCAATATGCATTGTTATTGAGAAACCCAGCCCACGTCATGTAATTTTGATGCATCAAACAAAATAATTCATTTTCCTATGTGTAAGTTGGATTTCTTGCCCAAAGATTTTATAACTTCCAGAAATGATTGTAACTGGTTGGACTGGTTGGAAAGAAGTTGAAGATTAAAGTTGGAATTCAAGTAAAACAGGAGAATAGAAAATTAATTCCTAATTGAATTGTGTATGTGTGATATACTGTACCTGCTGTAGGTGCGAGACTGGCTGCAGGAGCATGATGACATGGTGAAGGGCTCACAGAGCTGGATCTCAGAGGCTCAGTCTTGGCTTACGACACCTTGCACATACACTACGGCCAGATGCCTGGACAGTCATGTGAATGCACTGCAGGTACTGTATTATTCTCAAACACATCATTATTTAGCTGATAATCACTTATTAGAGAGTAAGAAAACCAGAATCTTCGCATTAGCTATTCTTACATTCCCAAGAAATTATCTTGAAACGTGAATATACAGTAGAATAGTTTGTGTCCCATGTGTTCAAGTGAATACAAATGCCATTTCTTGGGGAACTAGCATGGCAAATCAATAATAATAAATATTAAATTTCTCCATAATAACTTTGCTGTGCCCCTGCCAGACGTCATATTCAATAGCAATTTATATGAAAAATATGTCTCTGTTGTAGTTTATGCTTGTATCCTTTTATCTGATACATAATTATCAAACTTGAATGGATACATACGTTTTAATGCACATTGTTTTTAATTATGTACATCCTGGCATTCCTATCCAGTGTTTTTACTTGTTATATAAAAAACTTTAAGGAGACAGTTACTGGCCCAGATCTTCAAGCATAAGGCCAGAGGTTCCCAACCTTTTTTCCAGAAGATCCCGTATGGACCTCTTTAAAAGAAAACTAGCTGGCAAGAATTGAATTATCAGTTAATTATCAACAGTTAATTAATAAAAATAATAACATTAACAACAATGGCCAGATTTCAACTGAACAAAAAAGCTGGTTGGTTGATTTATAAATGTTACCCACTAAGATTTACTGAAATGTACAGTATTTTCTAGATATTCTTTAAGAATCTATAATTATATTTTGTTTTGTTTAATAGTTTAGAAAAGAGATGAGCTATGGTCTATGGTCAGAACAAAAACTGCAGACAACTTGAATAAAAATGCAAATCTTCTTTCTGACAGTAGGTGGTGCTTAAATAGAGGCAGAAATGCTTGAAGAAATTCACTTAAGGCTGTAAGCTTTTTGTTTCAAGAAGCTGTAATTAAAATACACTTTTATTATTATTAAAAAGATCAAATAAACTTGAAACTATGAGTGACCCCTCATGAATCTTTTGGTGACTCCTACGTTGGAAACCACTGTTCTCATCATTATAATAATTACCTCATGTGTGTTTTTTTAGATGGTTTTGGATGATTCTGCTCAGATGAGACGGACTCTACAGGGTTTTGGTGGTGTGCTGACAGAGATGGGAAGTGTGTTTGATGTCAGTCCATTAGAGGAACAGCTCTCCAATGCAGATCGACGTGTGGCAGACATGCAGCACAACCTGCTGGGACCTCTCTCTCAGCTGGAACACGCAGCAGCAGTGAGGATCTATTATCGTCCATTAATATATTACTGCCCATATCACTATAACCAGATGCTTTCTTCACTACTGTTTTCTCACTGCTGTCATTTTTGTAGTGTTTGTTATGTTATTCAGAGCAAAGGGTTTTTAAATATTTAAATGTTCATGATGATGTTCTTAGTCCCTCGACATTATATATGCAGTCAAGCCTGAAATGATTCATGCCCCTGGCAAATTCTGACTTAAAGTTTTTTGTTCAAATGTAAATAAAAGCTGAGAAATGTTTCTTTCACAATGATCCCTCTTGTACATCATCTTATTATCTTTTGGGAGAATCCTGTGTCATTTCCGGTTTAAAAAAAAAAGCGAAAAACTTTCTGATTGAATATAAGTAACTTTAAGTCAGAATTTGCCAGGGTATGAATAATTTTGTGCTTGACTGTATCTAAACAACAGCAGTTTAGATGACGTCAGCATATTAGTGATGCAGTATATCACTGAACTGTTTTCAACAAACTATTTCCCACTGAGTATGTAATCATATTCAATATATTGTACTTTACATGTTAGGTGTGCAAAAATAAGCAATATTTTCACTGCTGTAGTTCACATTATGGCCACCAGTGTTCTACATACAGTATATCCTCTTTAACTTTAAATGTATGTGAAAATCTGCTTATGTGTGTGCTTTTAAGGAAGTGGACGCTATTGAGTCAGAGGTCAAAGTCATGGAGAAAGATGTGGCCAAGATCAAATCTACACTAACCACCAAAGAGGACATCAGCCAGGACAGTCTTAAGGTAAAATGTTAATGCATTTCAAGTTCACATGAAATCAAGACTAACCAAATAGATCTTGTTTGCACACATTGCTAGTTTTGTGATGAACACTTTATCTGTGCATGCAACATTAAGAAAACAAAATTGTTTGCCCTTGTAATGTAAAATTGAAAAATTATGAAAATGCACTTCCTGTTTGTTTTTCGTTAAATTCTCAGATTGCGTCTGTCTAAGGGAATTGGGCGTGGTTAACATAATTAACCACGCCTCTCTAACTGTCAATTCTGACAGTGACTAAAAACAGAAATGGTGAGGAGGAGGAGGTGTCTGTTGGGTTGTAATAATACTCCCATAACCCTTCTCCTGATCTTTCTGAATGAAATGTCTAATTTACTACATCCAATCAGCTCGCAGTGAAAACATCAAGCCAAGTCCACTGTTTTCTCATTTAATATTCCATTTCTCTAGGAACTACATCATAATACAAAGAAAAAAATGGTTGCAGGTTCCAGTTCATGCAGACTGTAAACCAGGGGGTCTCAAACTGCTGCAACATGGGCCATTTGCAGTCCTCCCTCCGGCAACTGACGTCAAAATATAACAAGATTTGGCCCACCAAAACATATATTTTTTAATCTCTATCGATTTGCAGTCGCATATAGCCACTTGTAGTTTTGACCCCCATCCACTGGACAATTGATGTATTGTACTATATATTCGGGTTAATTTCGATTTCTCTCAGCTTGTGGTCGAGAGTAATGCACATGCAGATTATTTTTAGAGCTGATTTAAACATTGAAATATATGTTCGCAAGTGCTCTATTTTGACTAAAGCTCTATTTTTGTAAATATACAAGGGTCATTTGATTATTATCATTTTTGTACCACCTGTATTTTGTTTTTCAAACACCTCTTCATAGCTTACAAGTTATGCTTTTGGTGTAAATATGATAATTTTCATAATATTTAATGCAAATAGTATTATTTAATAGATTTAGCATATTATGCATATTAAGATTTGTATAAAAAAATGTGCATTAGTAAAATTTGACTGCTGGCTGAGTTAAACATTCATTCATTTTCTCTTCAGCTTAGTCCCTTTATTCATCAGTTCAAGAACCTGATTTCAGTTGATGTATTGTTTGTGTTTGAAGGCAACTGAAGACCGTATTGACCTGATGAAAAGGACAATAGCTGAGATCCAGAACTGCAAGGATGGTCTGTGTCTTCCTGACAAAGCTGAAAATACACTCCTAGTGTTCAAAAGAGCAGAACTACTGCAGAAACAACTGCTGGAACTGGAACAGGTATGGATATTAGTGTTAACCTTTGCAGATAAACATAGTTCACACACAATGCTCACTGTGTTTGTGTGCTTTCAGTTGGCTCTAGAATACACCATTGAGGTGCAGGAAACATCTGACCGGCCCCTCTGTACCACACTTCTAAGTGCCCCACCACTGAGTGCCCCGCCTCTCAGTGTCCCGCCTACTATCACTGAGGAAGAGACACAGGTTAGACAAAATATTGTACTACAATCTAATGATCAAGAGTTAGTGATTCAACATTGAGAATAATATGTGTTTAGGAGAGCGGCCAGATACAAATTGTGCACGTAGAGGAAGATGTGTTGAAAAAATCTGGAGCATCGCTGATGACCGTGGAGCAATCCACACCAGAGCAAAGACTCACCTGGATCTCTGAGAGGAACAGTGACACTTTGACAGAAACACAGGTGTGTGCGCATACACACAGACACACACACATACACACACAGTATATGCATTAATATATTAAAATGCAACACGGGCTCATTGTGAAAACGTACCCCTATATACATTTCTGTAGAGTGCAAATTATGTAGCCAGAGCTGCATATGGCTGCATTTCGTCTTTAAAACTAACTTTATGGGGCTACCGGTTGACCGCCTCCATCCTTGTAGACAGCTTTTCCCCTGTTACCAGTTTGCCCAGTGGCTCACCACGTAAATCGGTGGACTTGAGATGCAAAAAGGAGTTGACTGCGACGATGGGGTTTGAGTCCAAATAAATAACAGAGTGAAAACGTGGCAAGATGTGATAATGTGGTAAAAATCAGGTGGCCGTGGGTGCTTTTCTTATACTATATTGCTTTTGAAAACACTGTCGGTTGGGTTTAGGCAAGTAGGTTGGCAGGTTAATCTGTGCTTTTGAAAACACTACCGGTTGGGTTTAGGGAAAGGGGTGGGTGGGCGTTAGGGTTGGTCGGTCAGTCAGTCAGTCAATCAATCAATCAATCAGTCAGTCAGTCAGTCAGTCAGTCAGTCGACACCTGTTTCTAATGGATTGTCACGAGAACAACAGCGTTGGATAGCACTCCCAAGAGAGGTTTGAGATCTGAAAAAGCATACACAATGACACTCTCCAGAAATGTATATAGGAGTACGTTTCAATAATGAGCCTGGGTTGTTCACATACATTTGTCATTGTCATGTGATCTGCCAATGCAAACTCGCTGCAATTCGTAACTTTTTTATTTAGTGGCTAATTCATATGAATTTGTACAATCCCATTTATACAGTTTAGTATGATTTGCTCATACTCTTTGGCGACCCCTGATAAATAAGGGACAAAGCTGAAGGAAAATTAATAAATGAATGAAAGAAAGAATGAATGAATGAATAAATGAATGATGGTTGGGTTTAGGGGTGGGGTTTGGAGCACGCCTCCTTCAAAAATTTTTATTTTTCGTATTAATGAAATCTGATAAATTTGTGTGAATTAGCCACTTTTCTGCAAATATGTAAATAAGTTATGTTTATTCATGAGATCAGGCTGGATCTGCCATTCACAAATGTTTTCTCACAGGATATTAAAGTGTCCATTTCATTATAACTTACAGTTCATTATTACTGCTTGAAGTAGTTGGTCATCCGAGTAATTTTCATTTACTGTTTTAAAAATACATTCATTCATTTATTTTCTTTTCGGCTTAATCCCTTTATTAATCAGGGGTTGCCACAGTGGACTGAACCGCTAAATTATTCAGCATATGTTTTACGCAGCGGATGCCTTTCCAGCTGCAACCCATCACTGGGAAACATCCACACACACTCATTCACACACATACACTACGGACAATTTAGCCTAACCAATTCACCTGTACCACATGTCTTTGGATTGTGGGCGAAACCGGAGCACCTGGTGGAAACCCACGCGAAAACGGGGAGAACATACAAACTCCACAGTTTTACAAATAGAATTAATTTATATAAACTGCAAATATTTTTCACCTATTACATAAACTGTATAGTAGTAAATGATGTGATTTCAAATGCATCAAAAAGAAGTAATATTACAATAAATGAAAAGTAATATTATAAATGTAGTTACACAATGAATATTGTTAGCTGGCTGCTAGCTCTTTGTAACTCTCACATGGTCGCACACTGAAGCTAAGCAGGGTTGCACTGGGTCAATACCTGGATGGGAGACCACATGGGAAAGCTAGGTTGCTGCTGGAAGTGGTGTTAGTGAGAGCAGCAGGGGCGCTTAACCTGCGGTCTGTGTGAGTCCTAACGCCCCAGTATATTTATGGGGACTCTATAATGCGCGCTGTCTAATAATACACTCTCTGTGTATTCCAGAGAAAAAAAAAATTCCAGGATGTCCTTCGAAAAAGAGTAGGGGTTTAACCCCGGCATCCTGGCCAAATTTGCTCACTGGCCTCTGTCCATCATGGCCTCCGAACCATCCCCATATCATAATTGGCTTCATCACTCTGTCTCCTCTCCACCAATCAACTGGTGTGTGGCATGGGGTCTGGCGCAATATGGCTGCCGTCGCATCATCCAAGCGGATGCTTCACATTGGTGGTGGATGAGGAGATTCCCCCCAAAACTGTGTAAAGCTCTTTGAGTGTCCAAAAAAGTGCTATATAAATATGAGGAATTATTATTGTTATTATTATTAATATTAATATTATTATTATTGCTTTCTCTACAACAGTTACATCAAAGATATTACAAAGACATCATCATTCAGAGTTGTGCGTTTCCATTTGAACATCTTTTTATTATAATATAATTCACTATGTATGGAAAAGGTTGTTATTGTATTGTAACTGGTTCTAACCACATAGTAATTTAATTTGTGTTGAAAAATGTGTTTTCCTCCTGTGCTCTTTTCAATTTACAATTCATCCCTGTATCTATAAATACAGGAATAAGCTCTCAGGAAGCAATGCTTCATGTCAGGTCAATGCTGACGATGTTTCAAATTAAATGTAACTTTTGAGAGGCTCGGACCTTGTGTATGCTTTTAGGACAGATGTATTAAAATTCAGAGCTTTTGTATGTCTGCTAGAGCCAAGGATTTAAGAATCGACTTCTAATGGCTTTCCATAATTGATGTTATTAACCTAGAAACATCTTTAACCCCGTATAAGCATAACCGTTAGATTTGTTTTCTTTTTCTATATCTCAGGGTTTATACTTTTCTCCAGGCTACTAATTCATTCATTAATTCATTAATTCTCAGTGTACTATAGTAAACCCTGTGTTTATGTCCTTTGACTACTTATCCAGTGCAGCTAATGAGGTGTGTGTATATCTGCTTCTTCATTGCTCAAGTTAACGCTGTCTATGTGTGTGTGTGTGTGTGTGTGTGTTTGCATGTTATTTGTGCTTCCGCTGCGCATATGTGTGTCTCTAATGTGATGAGACAGCAGGAGTTTGAGGAAGAGGAGGAGCTCTATGAGGATGCAGGAGATTGGGAGGAAGATGCTTCTGAGGAAGACAATGACATTTATGAAGACTGTATGAAAACTGAGGATGAGGAGTTAACCATGGAGGTAATGGAGAGGAATCAGAGACTTCAGCCTTCACTCCTCCTGATGTTTTTCTTTGCTTTCTTCCTTCACTCTTTTATATGCTTGCTTTTGCCATCACAACCTTTATAGCTTTATAGCTGTAAGGGATCTTTATAGCTTTATAGCTTTTCCACCAGTTGGCATAACTCTGTGCTTTCTGGATCTTTTCTCTTGTTCTGTGCTTTACCACATTGATCACTGCCATCCTCCTCATCCTCACCTGGTTTTTTCCTCTTCCAGATTCTGTTTTAACACTTTCAATTTGATATTTTTTGGCGTTTTAAACTTCACTGAAAAGAGATTATTCTGAACTTTGTTGTTTCCAGACTATTTGATTCAATAATGGTGTATATTTCATTCTGTGTCCTGTAGGGGGCAATAGGACTTCATTTTTTTCTACAGAGGATCTGAAAAAAGCACCCTGCACGAATCAACTACATAATACCTTTAAGCATTATGCTAATTTTGTATATATTTCAATATAGTTTTTTATGTACAAAGATTAAAGGAGTAGTTCACCAAAAAGGAAAATACAGTGCTCAGCATATATAAGTACACCCCTTAGAAATCTATCTTTTAAATTCATATTTTAATAGGAAGCTGTACAATATTATATTTGTGCATAATCATTAGATTAGTCAGTACTGAAGCCAAATCTGGAGCTTACATGTATCTAACAAAATAACTTACGATAACGGTCCAAAAACTATTACAGCCAAATTTATGTTATAAGAAAAGATTAAATACAAATTTATAAAAGAGAAAAAATCAAAAGAAGCCAACATATTTTTTTTTTTGAAAAATTTAGTTAAAAATTTGTAGGTTGTTATTATTATTATTATTATTATTATTATTATTTTGTATTATTTTGCTTGAATTTAATTGTATAATTCTTCAATTTCTAAGTATGTTTGGTGACTAAAATATAATTTTTTAAAAATAGATCTGTTTAATAAGTCTGTTTTATTTAATTGGACCAATATACATTGCCTATATTCACTGAGAAATGGATGAAAATATTTATTTTCAAAATGGGGTGTACTTGATTATGCTGAGAACTATATCTATTTACTATATTACTCATTTTCAAGTGGTTCAAACCTTTAAATTATTTATAGTCTGTTGAACACAAAATAAGATATTCTGAAGAAAGCTGAAAAGATGCAATTAATGACTTCCATAGTAGGACATAAAAACAAATACTGTGAAGTGAATGGTTACAGGTTTACAACTTTTTTTCAGAATATCATCTTGTGTTTGTAAAAAGTGAAGTAGAAAAATTTTCGGCTTTGTCTGAACTATCCTTTTAAAGGTTAAAAATCTGTGTTATTAAAAATCTAAGAGTTTATTAATCTTTGTTTAACCACAAGTGATGTATGATACTGTGATTGTGTCATGGTTAAAGTGCCCCTGTTATGATTTTTTTGGGTATCACGGCTGTCATGCTGTGTGTAATCTAGCTGTTTATGAATGTAAATGACCTGCAAGGTTTTAAAGATCAAACTGCATTATAAATGGAGTTATTCTTCCCAAAAGAAGGAAGTTGTTCTAAAATGCTGAAATGAGTCGTCTGTAATTTCAATCTCCTTTGCTGTGTTTAGTGTGTGTTGTTATGTCAAGAAGACACTGCTTTCTTCTCTTTGGATGCAAGGATCTGTAATTTGGCTTGAAATGTGATTGGTAACACCAACGCCATTTCATTAATTCATTCATTTTCCTTTGGCTTAGTCCCTTTATTCATCCGGGGTCGCCACAGCCAACTTATCCAGCATATGTTTTACACAGCGGATGTCCTTTCAGCTGCAACCCAGTAATGGGAAACATCCATACATAATCATTCACACACACTTATACACTATGGACAATTTAGTTTATTCAATTCACCTATACTGCATGTCTTTGGACTGTGGGGGGTGAGGGGGTTGGGGGGGGGGGGTGTACCAGAGCACTCAGAGGAAACCCACATGAACACAGTGAAAATATGCAAACTACCACACAGAAATCCCAACTGGCCCAGCCAGTTCTTGCTGTGAGGCTCCAGTGCTACCCACTGAGCCAACGTGTCACCACAATGCCATTTCTATTGTTCATATTACTGTATTTACAAGTCCAGAGAAAGCTGACATTCAGATACAGTCATTTAATATCTGACATAGGCTGTAAAAGGTAGACCAATCACAACAAAACAGCCCATCTGACCAATCAGAGCACCATAGACTCTTAAAACGAAGGGATTTGGAGAGTGCAGATTCTTGAACAAACTGTTTCTAATACTGTGAAAGTTGTAGAAGACTTCCAAAACTAAACTGTGAAGCTTTAAAAAATACATAATTGGGGCACTTTAAGAGGTGCTAAAAGCACAAAATGAAAAACTGCCATTTAAGAAATCCCTTTAATGCAGAATGTGTTGCAAACTCTGCCAATTAACACAGACATAGTCCATATCTAGGTAATAAGTCATGTGGTTTACGTTAATGAATGTTTTTTGTCTGCAGGTTTCTGCAGATGTGGTTTCTTCTACAGAGCAGATTTTGGAGATAGCAGAAACAACAGATTCAAAGGTATTGCTTGACTGTGTCCAATAATGACCATTTAAAATGCATCATATTAAAATACATGACATTTAAATACATATTTTTCCAAAAAATTCATAAGGTTTTAAAATTTCAGTTACAATTTTCGCTTTTAATAAATCATTTACTATGACTCTTGCCTCAATAAACTCCTAATTTGCTGATTATTAATAGTTATTAAGGTAGTAGTTAGGTTTAGGTATTGGGTAGGTCTCACGTGCGGAGACTAATCTCGCACGACAAAAGTAAGGAGCCAAGTTCAGTTTAATAAAAGTATTCATGTAAGCAGGCAATAGTCAAAACGGGGGCAAAACAGGTACTGAAAAGACCTTCAAAACGTAATCGAAAACGGGCATAAGGTCAGAAACTCAGAATATAACAAAATAGCAAAACTAAGATCAGGAACACAGCAGGCAAAAACAAATAGCAAACAAAGCTAACACATGATGACTGCAAACAAAGACTCAAGGTGCGTCCCAAATCACATACCCATGCACCAATCTTCACCATTTTTTAGTGTAAATAGTGCAAGTAGTGCACACTGAAAACTCTTAAGTAGATAAGTGCACTTTAATTACCCGGAAGATGCACTTATTCAACTGTTAAAATAAAGTGTGTAACGATGGACACTTCACGCACTCAACAGCCACAGCTTTGTTCACGTAGCTGAAAGGATGAAGCTTTCTGGCGCTCATGTTGAATTACTTTATTTTGGATTGTGAAAGCGAAATTCTCCTACGAGAATGATTATAGCGCCTCCCGATGGTGAATGCAGTTTTACTCATGGCAGCTATTATTCGGTAGTTTGGTCATTTATTTTACTAATCTAGCAACCGTTAAACATCATCAGGGAAACTATTTGAATTTCCGCTTTGTAAAAACCCCATTAGTGTTCCATTTGGGACGACACTATACATATACTGTACTGTTCAATGTGTACGTGCATAAGTGTATGGTGTGACATTTGGGACACAGCTTAAGTCCTGAACTGATGTATGTGTGGTGTATAAGTAGTCCAGGTGATCAGTGATTACGGGATTCAGCTGTGTGTCAGTCATCAGTGGTGAACGGCAACTGGTGTGTGTGAAATGGCATGAAGGAAATTGTAGTTCGTTAGTGTGACATGTGTAGTTCATCAGAGATCTGCCAGGAGTGGATTGCTGGTGATCATGACAGTAGGATTAGGGATGTTGAATAACATCATACTTTATAAACCGCCAATGATTTAATGCCAATAGGCCCGCATGGAATCTGCACGTAATATGTATAGTAAGTGTCTTTTAGTAGTAATTATGTTAAGATATATTCATATTTAATAGCCTTTTAGTAGATATATTATATGAGAGACTTGCAGTGTAGTGGATCTACTTGTAATTGCATGGTAGGCCTAAAATAAAAGTTGTTATTTTTTTTATTCCATTTTATAAGTTTTTAGCTAATATACTCTCAAAATTATTCTGCATAAATCTGCATATTTTGTACAAAATTCTGTGCAGAAATAGCAAAAAATGAATCTGTCTGGCCCTGCCAATGGGCCAGGTAATAAGCCACTAGTTAATAGTGAGAAATGGTACTTAAATGGCCCGTTTTCACCGAGTGGTACAGAACGGCATGGTTCAGGTCAGTACGGGTCACCTTTATTAGGCTTGCATACACTGCCAAAAGGGTACCAATGGTTTAAAAAAAACATGAAATATAGCCCAATCAGTGCAAACCTCTCGCCTGCATCTTTAATCTTCCCCAGCAAATGTAACCTCTTGTTAGAAAGTAATTCCGTCATTCCGAGTTCGTAATAGTCCAAATAGTTCAGGCTTCTCCTTTGTTTTTTACGTGTCACTCTCACGTTTGTCCATTTCTGAAAGGATCAGATGTCAGAAGAACTTCAATAATCACACGCACATTATTATCATCGGCTCAAGAAGTTAGTTATTTCAAATAAAAACATGCATGCGAGCTCTCTGGAGAAAGTGAAGCCACTCGCACTTTTAGACGGGCTCGTAAAACAACAACAGAACACAGCAGATTTTGTTCTTCTTGGCTTTGTGGCTGTTCATCAAGACAACGACAAGGTTTGTTTGAGCTTGGGTCGACCATGGCTTGTTATTATATGAATATATTATAACGATGTAATGTCTCGGCTATGTTTTTAAAAATAGTGGTTCCTTTGTTTTCATTCTCCTGCTTGTCCGCGAGCGAGTGACGTATCTCTGTAAACCAATAGCGTTTAGCTGCGTATCTAGCTCTGCCTTTGGGTATCCTTTTCTTGTGCTAGGTACCCTTTGCAAAGGGTACCCAAAAAGTGATATGGTATGGTTCGCTTTTTTGGTACTCTTTAACAGTGGAAACAGCCATAAAAGCAAACCGTACCACTCAGTGGAAACGGGCTAAAACTAAACTGTTACCGCTTTCTTTTATTAAAACATGAATTAAAATAGTTGTTTTTTACTAATTTTATAATCTTGTAGTTTTTTAGAAAGGTCAGCCTGCATCCAGATATCAGAGTATGCAACCTCTCTTTCCCTGTATTTGCAGGTAGAAGTAGAGTCTCCTTCCGCCTCAGGAACAACCACGCCTGAAGCTTTATCTGAAGTGGACTCTATGATGGAAAGCCAGTCTCTCCCTGCAGACATGGTAACCAATACCTCTGTTACAGAGATCTCCACGTCTCCTTCCAGAGGCCAGCAGAGGTGTTTGGTCTCCTAGTTGTAGTTCTCTCCTTACAGCGCCTTCATGTCTTAACTTTACTGTAGATGCAGACCTTTCTAGTGCTAGAACTCTCTTCTCAGTGCATTTACATGGCAGATGGGTAAAAATCAAGAGTTCTGAGGAGAGGAAATCTTTAGATTCGAGACCCTAAACACCAAAGCAGAGAAATATGCAAACTGACTTTCTTTTATTTGTTTACAAAGTTCTGTCAGGACAATCTGCAGAACAAGCTAGAGAACATTTAGTTGCCAATTGTTTTATAATATCACTGTGTACACCAACACAGATGTGTGTTGTGTGGTATGATTAAACAGGATTTTATATATAGCTGGGGTGTGTGAGTAAATACCATCAATGTGAAATAAAGATAATAAAATAATATTAACCTAGAGAGACATTTTATTGAATCTCTTCATAATTGAAGTGTAATGTTATGGAAATCAACACTGCTAGAATGAGCACCTTTTCCATTGTTTTACTTTTTACTCTGTTGCAATGACAAAGCTTCGCCCACACAACCAAGAAGGTTGCTGGTGTTCAGTATTATGAGTTCTCAAAGTTTACCAAGTCTGAACCATACCTGAAATTTGCATATTTACCACTAGAAGTGCATCTAGCAAAATTCTCAATGCAACAATTTAAACTAAAATAACCATGCATTTACTCTTCAAATACACTTTTTATCACAGTTTACAGTTGCTTCAGTCTGGTCAGATATCCATCAGATATACATTATTTTATTTCTAAATGTCATTATACTACACTAGTCAAAACCTTTCATTAATGCAATCTTTTTCACATTTTAGTAGAATTTCTATATTATATGTCTTGAATTTTTTAAAGCAGGAAAAAATCTGTGTATTTTTTCATTGCATGGTATTTTGTCCATGATTTTTACTTACTAAATGCAATATTATAAAACCAAAAAGATACTAAAATCTTTTATATGGCATGTATTTTTCTGATTTTTGTATAGTAGTGTGTTTATTTGAACTTTGTCTTCTCCAAATGCAAGAAAATACAGTGACTGTGAAAGAATTGTTGAAACAGATTTTGTTGGGAGTGAAAAAGTATGTGATATTGAAAATCAGCTGACCTGTTGGCTGCTTTTCCCTGCACAGTTGCATGTTTATCTCAATTAATTTATTCTTTATCGTGAATGATTGTTGTTTACGTGACGCTTTAAAAAATAAGCTTTGATGAATGGCAGGATATGATATATGTTATTTATGTTTAGTATTTTGTCTATTTGTGCCATGTAAACGCACTGAAGGCCCCGATATACCTCAAGCAAAATCAAGAGTGTAACAATTTGATTAAAATAAATCAAACAAATCAGCTCAAAACAACATTTGCTTTGAGTTTGAAACTGGAGCTAGGAAAAGTTAGCTTGAGCTGGTAAATGGCTTGAAACTGCTCCATAGTGATGTTGTAATAAATTGGTGTGGTGCTCCGCCTTCTTCTTAACGGTTACTTCCTAACAGTTTATGGCCACTTTATTTAGTAAAATGTAAAAATTTTGGTGAGCCTGTAGCTGACAGGAGTTGCACCCGGTGTGGTCTTCTGCTGCTGTAGCCCATCCGCCTCAAGGTTGGACAAGTGATTATTTGAATTACTGTTATCTATCAGCTGGAACCAGTCTGGCCATTCTCCTATGACCTCTGGCGTCAACAAGGCATTTGTGCCCACAGAACTGCCGCTGACTGGATATTTTCTCTTTTTTGAACCATTCTCTGTAAACCCTAGAGATGGTTGTGCGTGAAAATCCCAGAAGATCAGCAGTTTCTGAAATACTCAAACCAACCCATCTGGCACCAACAACAATGGCATGTTCAAAGTCACTTAAATCACCTTTCATCCCTATTCTGATGCTCGATTTAAACTGAAGCAGATCGTCTTGACCATGTCTACATGCCTAAATGCACTGAGTTGCTGTCATGTGATTGGCTGATTAGAAATTTGCGGCAGTTGGACAGGTGTACTTAATAAAGTGGCCGGTGAGTGTATTAAGCATGAGCATATTGGGGCCTTTACTCTATATACACACCTGTGCATGTTCTCCTGATTTCTCCTTCTCATACTTTCTGTCTGATCATCATCTTGCTCCTTTCAAGTCTGAAAGAAAAATAATAAATTTCAACAACGAAAAAAAAAATTTACACTTGCCCGTCTCTCTCTTTCTCTGTCTGTGTCAGGAGCTGGGTGCATGGAGGGGGGAACAGACGGCACACACCAGTGACACACAAACATACAAAACAAACAATCACCCAGAGTCACAAGCCCCTCCCACTGATGAGGGAGTGGGCGGGGCTTTAGAGCAGACTCAGTTAGAAGAGACCCTCTGGGTGTCTCAGAACTTCAGAAAACCAAGACAAGAGCACCACACACACACACAAGAGCAGTCAGGCACACACGACACACTGATCACCCATCCGGAGAAGACAGATTCATTGGCTGCAAGCACATCTTTGGTAAGCACAACTGAATATGATAGATGATAGTGAATCTCACCCCACTGACTCAAACTTTACACGGATCTTGTGTTCAACCCACTCACCTCCTGACATTAGATGGTGTGTGCTGCATTTTATCTGCGCATCTTTTATTCCCTTGTCTTTTAACTGAAAAGTCAGTTAAGGGCTATTCTTGCAGTTTGAGATTGGAAATTGGAATTAGTTCCAGGAATAAACCTTTGCAACTAAGTAATTCCTTCAAAATAATCTTTATTAATCATTAATCGTTGAGTATTAGTTATTAACATATTGACATGCATTATTTTGTATTATTAATATTTGGATTTAATATTAATAATATTAAGTATTATTAATATTAGTAAAAAATATTAAATTTGAAGAAAAAAGGGATAGTTCACCCAAACATTTAAATTTACTCACTATTTACTCACACTCTAGTGGTTCCAAAACAAAAGAAAGCTGAAGACCATTGACTTCCTTAGTAGGAAAAACAAACACATGGAAGTCAATGGTTACATGTTTTCAACATTCTTTAAAGTATATTCTTTTGTGTTCAACAGAAGAAAGAAACTCATAAAGGTTTGAAACAATGAAAGGGTTGGTAAATGGCAATTTTATTTTTAGTTTTGTGTGAACTATTCCTTTAATAAAATTTATTTTATTAATCGTTTGTACTGTTTCACTATAAAATGCTGGGTTATTGTAATGCTGCAGCATACAGTATATTAGCAAAGCCAATATTTGGGTTAAAAATGTAGTTTAGATTTGATGTAAAAAAATAAAATTAAATTAACCCTTAAAATTAAAGTTTAAGTTTGCCCATATTTGACCCAGTGCTGGGTTAATACAAGCCAGTATTTTTAGTGTGTACTGTTACTGTGTGTTAAACTAAAAGCTAGAAAATATTACACAGAAAATATTTAAAATTAAAGCAATAATATTAATATTCTCTGCTCCACTTGTGGTTATACTTTTTTGTCCCCTTTCTTCCTCTAATCTTCATGATTTAGCAGATTGTTTTAAGCCATGCATTGTGCCTTTAAGACTTCTATTTAAATAACATTTTGCATGGAGGTTGAAAATGAACACTAGGCAGCAATAATCATTAAGATTTCTGGTATTTACTTTACGAAACACTTCCTGATTAGCTGAAGATTGCTGTACACAGAATAGCCAATTTGTTTTTGTTTTTTACAAAGCATTACAAAATTGTAACCCAATGATGAATCATATATTATCAATCCCAAGATTTGGGTTACAAAATGTCATTTAGATTTGATGTAAAAAATAAATTAACCCAAGTTTGAGTTTGTCCATATTTGACCCAGTCCTGGGTTAATACAACCCATGATTTTTATTGTCTACTGTTACTGTGTGTTAAACTAAAAGTCAGAAAATATTACACAGAAAATATTTAAAATTAAAGCAATAATATTATACATTCTCTGGTCCACTACCCTTTTTGTCCCCCTTTTCTTTCCCTCTAATCTTCAGGATTTAGCTGATTTTTTGAAGCCATTGTGCCTTTAAGACTTCTATTTAAATAACTTTCGCATGGAGGTTGAAAATGAACACTAAGCAGCAATAATCAATAAGATTTCTGGTATTTACTCTACAAAACACTTCCTGATTAGCTGACCATTTCTGTACACAGAATTGCCATTTATTTGTTGATTTACTATTATAAAGCATTGGGTTACAAAATTGTCTGTCTTTGGCCCAGTGCTGCATTAATATAACCCAAGATTTTATTGTGTACTATTACTATGTGTTAAACTAAAAGTCAGAAAATATTACACAGAAAATATTCAAAATTAAAGCAATAATATTATAATTCTCTGGTCCGCTTGTAGTAATACTTTTTGTCCCCCCTTTCTTCCTCTAATCTTCAGGATTTAGCAGATTTTTTGAAGCCAATGTGCCTTTAAGACTTCTATTTAAATAACTTTTTGCATGGAGGTTGAAAATGAACACTAAGCAGCAATAATCATTAAGCTTTCTGGTATTTACTCTACGAAACACTTCCTGATTAGCTGACCATTTCTGTACAGCGAATAGCCAATACTTTTGACGAAGCATTGGGTTTCAAAACTTCCTCATTGACCATTTCTGTACACACAATAGTGGTTGCTGATGTAAAAGTGGGCAGTCTGGTATTGAAATATGTCAATACATGAAAAGAAAATGTGTGACTGTGGATAATTACCACCAAAAACATTGATTTTCTGCACACCTATACAGTCTTTTAGTGGTTAATTTGGTAACACTTTGTTTTGATGTAAGGTTCATGCCAATAACAAGCTATTTACTAAAGCTACTTATTTAAAAAACTACTAGCTAGTGTTATTAAAATAGTACACTCAAAACATTACTTCTGTTGCTCGTTCAAACTACTAAAAATGAGTGGAAACAACATAATTCTTATGTTTTTGTTTGGACAACTTATTTTGTTTTGTGTTGAATCCATTTAAATTTAAGTTGGCTAATCAATTTGTGTTGAGACAAAATGAAGGAATTGTGTGCTTATATTAGCGTTTTGAGAGTGTAGTTGGGTTTAGCTATTGGATGGGTTTAGGGATGTAGAATACAATCATACTTTATAAATACCTAAAGCAGTTAATATATTGTTAATAGGCAGGAAATAAGCCAGTAGTTAATAGTATGAATAGTGACAAACTAAAGTACTAGCATTAAATCAGTGATCTCCAGTGACACTATTAAGTTAAATAAGATATTCTGTGACATCTTCACTCTCAGAAATAAAGGTATAAAATCTGTCACTGGGGCTGTACCTTTTCAAAAAGTGCACTTTTATACCAATCAGTTCCACATTTGTACCTTAAAGGTGTATATTTATACCTAAAAAGTACAACTGTGTTCTGCATAGTACCCTATATGTACAAAAGTATACCCTTCAGGTACAAAAATGTTCATTTAAGGTACCAATGTGCACCTGTAAGGTACAAAAGTGTATTTTTTATAAAGGTACAGCCCCAGGGACAGCTCTTGTACCTTTATTTCTGTGTGTAAGATGAGCAGACACAAGATTCTTCTTTCAAGTTTGAAGGAAATGACAATGTAATCGAATTTAAGGAAGGACAAAAAAATACTCTAGGTCAACTGAGGCACTGCATGGCAAAAGTTACAGTTCCTCTTTTGGTGTATGTGTGTCACACAAGCTGCCTTCAAAAGTGACGACATTTCAGGAAGTGGCCGTAGCTGCAGGTGGGTGGAGTAAAAGCAGAGACAGACAGAGATAGAGAGAGAGAAAGAGAAGCCGGGATGAAAGCTGAGACTTTGTACTGAGAGAACCGGGGGCAGAGAAACACAAACAAAAGAGTTGGGCCTGTGCTCCACTGACAGAGAGAAAGAAAGCAGAGTGTGTAAGAGTGTGAAAGTGTGTTTTTGTTTGTGTAAATGGACACACCCATTGTGTGACAGAGTTTGTGCTGCTGTAAACTCAATGTTTCTGCTGCAGTCAGTCAGAACAGGTGTGCTGACTCTTTCTCTCTCTCAGTACACCTGTACACCTGATCTGGCTCTGAGCTGCTGCTGTGTGTGATTGTTCAGGCCGTAGGTGAAGCCGGGGACTGGTCTAGATGGATGTCTACTGACGGGCTGCTTCATGTCTGCCGTGAGAGGGCTGAGCAGCTGGAGGTGTGTCTGCACAGAGCACAGGTCAGCCTGGAGGACTCGAGACAGCAAGCGCAGGACTCAGACATGCAGCACAACATTGAGCAACAACTGCACACCTGCCAGGTGCAACACGCACACACACACACACATAAAAAAAATGTTAACGCCTGTTTTTTGCTATTTAATATTTTAAAATAATGTAATGATTGAAAAATGTTACAAACATCATGTATAATTGTACTTAGCATTTCTAACTATGTTTAACAATACAATATGTAAACATTATATGAATACAGTTGAAGTCAAAATTATCAGCCCTCCTGTGATTTTTTTTTCTTTTTTCCAAATGATGTTTAACAGAGCAAGGAAATTTTCATAGTGTTTCCTATAATATTTTTTCTTCTGGAGAAATTCTTTTTTGCAGTTTTTAATAAAAAAAAAAAAAAAAAAACATTTTAAGGTCAATGAATTTAGCCCTCGATAGCATTATTTGTTTTCGATTGTCTACAGAACAAACCACTGTTATACATTAACTTGCATAATTAACCTGGTTAACCAAATTAAAATGATATGGGTCACACTTTACAATAAGGTTTATTAGTTAATGTTAATTAATGCATTTACTAACATGAACAAACAATGAACAATACATCTGCTACTGTATTTGTTCATGTTAGTTAACGTTAGTTAATGAAAATACAGTTGTTCATTGTTAGTTTATGTTAACTCATGGTGCATTAACTAATGTTAACAAGCATGGACTTGGATGTTAGAAATGCATTAGTAAATGTTCAATTATGATTAATAAATGCTGTACATGTGTTGTTCATGATTAGTTCATGTTAGTAAATGCATTAACTAATGAAACTTATTGTAAAGTGTTACCATGATATGTACTGTCATCATGGCAAAGATAAAATAAATTAGTTATTAGAAATGAGCTATCACAACTGTTATAATTAGAGACGTGTTGATAATTATCTTCTCTCCGTTAAACAGAAATTGGTAAAAAAAAATAAAAATAAACAGGGAGGCTAATAACTCAGGTGGGCTAATAATTCTGACTTCAATGGTAAATATATAGAAACACACATTCACAAGAGTAGCAGAGAGGAAGTGAGATGTCACACTTTATATATTTGTCTCTGTTAGAAAGGCTCTCGTCATCATTATTTTACATGCAAACTTTTCTTTTTCATAACCTACATTAAGCATTACTTTTACAGAGAAGTCTGACAACTGAAGTATTTTCTTCCCAAGTTTTAGAAGTAATGTTCTTTTAAAGGGGTGGTCCACAATGATATCATATTTTAAATTTTAGTTGATGTGTAATGTAGATGTGTGAACAAAAACAACATCTCTGAATGTAAGATGCTCAAAGTTCAATGCAAAGGGAAACATTGGCTTTTACAGAGTTAGCTTAGCAAAGCCTACAGCCAATGAATTTGGGGACTACAAAAAATACATTTGAGTTAATGCGATCATAAACCCTTTAGGTTATGCGCATTCATCATGCACATGCAGTGCGTGGCCAGAGGCACTGTAATGTTATAGCAGAGAAAGTTAAAATGGCATCCAAATGCTGCTTTTCCACAGAGCTTCTTCTGTTTCTGTATTTGGGCTTCCAAAGGACACGACACAAAGACAGAAGTGCCTAAAATTTAATTTTAATTGTGTTCCAGAGAATTTAAAATACTATATAGCATTTGACAAAGGAGAACATCCACAATCTCTCCCAGTTCAGTGGTGAGTTTGGTTAAAAACTCCTCCAAACGACAAAGCTGTTGATTGTGAGCCGCAACCTGCAAGTATTTTTATTTGTTAAAATGTATCAATTACATGTGCAGTTTCTAGCATTACCGGTATGTTGTAGCAATAATGTGAACAATAATGTAAACAACGGGAAATGCTGTTTGGCACCACTAACAATTTAGATACAAATTCATATTTATCCGCTAAACCACTGTAAACATCACCCACAATCTTCAGCAGCGCTGCAGTGTCTCTCTATGCGGAAACTTTTTCTGTGTTCAACATCTCAAATAACAAACTCGCAAAAGATATATGAACGTTTTATATTACTTACACATGCTTATTCTGGATATATGTGAAAGACACTTGTCAGATGTTATTTTAGAGAGCAGGAGTGAGGTTCAGCTGTGTGTTCTTCATTTTCTGTCTGATTCAGCCACTGTTTACACAGCACAATATGTTAGCTGACCAAGCAGAGCCTCTTGAGGCCAGCCTTTTGGAGAAATTAGAAAATATGACAGTCGTTTTCATGTTAGCGGAGTAGCTGTATATAATTAAAGTGTCTACAAATGAAGCATGAGCTTCATAAACACAACCAAGCCTTAAAAACACACTGTGGATCACCCCTTTAAAACAAAAAAGAAATGACCTTTTCTGTAGATATCAGATCAGACCCCCCTAAATGACCAAGTCACTCTCTTATTTCTTTGTGAATTGCTCTCTGTCTTTTATTTGCAGTGTTTTACAGCCCTGAACTCTTACACTGCTCAGAGATCAAAGTGTTTGTTGATGACTGTAATCACAGGTCACAAGCTCTGATAATACACATTTAACACATCACTTTTATTGATGATTGACAGATTTTCAAAATGCATTAGGAAATGTTTATTGACCTACAACATTAAATAATGACCATCTAAAAATTCAATAGAAAGAAGATTATTTTAAGTAAGTTTGGATTTAGTTTGATGAATGGTTATTTTGTAGCGGCACGGTGGCTCAGTCAGCCCTGTTGCCTAACTGTAAGAAGATTGCTGGTTTGAGCTCCGGCTAGGCCAGTTGGCGTTTCTGTCTGGAGTTTGCATGTTCTACCCATGTTGGCGTGTGTTTTCTCCAGGTGCTCTGGTTTCCACCACAGTCAAAGACATGCCGTACAGGTGATTTAAATAAGCTAAATTGGTCATAGTGTCTGTGTGTGAATGCAAGAGTGTATAGGTGTTTCCCAGTGCTGGGTTGTGGCTGGAAGGGCATCTGCAATGTAAAACATATGCTGGAATAGCTGGCGATTTCACTGTGGCGACCCCTGATTAAATAAAGGGACTAAGCCGAAGGAAAATGAATGAATGATTATTTTGCTTATGCTTTTGCACTGAATCACTGCAGTTAAGCTCTGATGTATACGCTCTAATGCTTATGTGTGTGTTCATAAGCATTGGAAAGGTAAATAATGTATAGTGGGTAAGTGAATGAGAGGGCAGTACTGTACACTATGCCTCAATCAACCACATAATAGGAGTCTGTTGTTTACCTTAAAGGTGGAGTTAAAGCATTGAAATGGCTGCTTTACCCTTATTTTATTCTCTATGCAGTACATACACATACATGTCTTACACACGACATGCAGAAGCAAGTCTGTGGCTATACAGTGCTGTATTTCAGAAGCATGTATGCGTCAATGATTGTCAACTTCTCTTTTCTTAAGGAAACTCTCTGTGCAGATACTTTTCACTTATTGAGAACTCACATTTCCTCAGATGAAAGATATTCAGGACAGCGATAACTACTGATTATTCTGGCCTAGCTTCTTATAGTGCTAACGCAGTATTATTTGTACAATTTCCGTATAGGTTTCCCAATTAAATTCAGTAATTTAGATCATGAGGATCAGGAGGAATGTGGATCTTTGTTCTCTTCTGATTTGTTGAACTTAGCATTGGATGTTTAGTCTCAGGATGTTGTTTTGGATGTGATGGCGTGTCTCATTAATGCTGGTATTGTAGATAAGGTTAGCTGTAAGCAAGGTTTGCTAATGTCTGCCGAGGTGTGGTCATGCTAGACTTTGAGCATGCAAATTTACTTTGGATCACACAGTGAATACGGGCAGCAGGATATGATGCGCACCATTTATTTTGTGTATTCAGTATTCAGACATACTGACGTCTGTCACTTTAAAGAGGTTGAGCTTGATATACCACTATCTCTCTTTCTCTCTCTCTCTCTCTCTCTCTCTCTCTCTCTCTCTCTCTCTCTCTCTCTCTCTCTCTCTCTCTCTCTCAGTTCATTTCAAGCTTGCTTTATTGACATGACAAATATGCTTTTGCAAATAATGCAGGCCTTTGTAATGATTACTTTAAATTGATCATATCAAAACAAATTACATAGTAGTAGTTATTAAAAATTAAAATACACTGAAAAAAATAATTCATTGTATTTGCAAAATTTTAAAGGTAAGTTGTTGCAAACAATTTATATGAGCTGAATTTATACAAACAAATTGGGTTAAATACATTATTAAATTTATTTTGCTTGTTTAAATTTAGCCCATATAAATTGTTTGCAACAACTTACTTTTGAATGTGTAATATGTAAATGTGTAAATCTATTTTTTTTTTCAAAGTACTAATACAATAATAATAACAAACAGTAAATTTAGCAATCCACATTTTTGGATTCATTTATAACTAATCAACAAATAATCTAGTATTTATATCTCTGACTCTAGCTATAACTCACTCTCTTTCGTTCAATTCAATTCAATTCAATTATTGCTTTATTGGCTTGACAAATGTTACAAATGTATTTCCAAAACATTTATAAAGCTTACATTAAAAAGAACATTAAAAAAGACTATATATATATATATATATATATATATATATTAAATAGAATCAAAATACAAATAATAACAATAATAATAATAAATCAGGATAAACTGTACATTTACAATTATCATTTTAGAATAAAACAATAATTATAATAAATAATAATAATCAGTATAATTTACAATGATTCATTTACAATAATGTAGGTGTGTGTCTGTACGTCTCTCTTAATTCAATTCAATTCAATTCAATTCAATTCAATTCAATTCAATAATTGCTTTATTGGCATGACAAATGTTTCAAATGTATTGCCAAAGCATTTATAAAGCTTACAATAAAGAACATACATATATAATAAAAAAACATAGTACACAGAAAATAGTAGTTGTAAAAATTTAATGTAAAAATTTTTTATATATTATATATAATAAAATAAAAACAAATAATATATCATATTATTCAACATATGATATTATTGTTCAAAATCTTATATATTATTCAGTATATCACATATATCAATTAAAACAATATAGTTAAGAATAAACTGTACATTTAACAATCATCATTTTAGGTTAAAACAGTAATAAAACAATTATTTGTAAATTTACAATGATTTATTAAAATAATGTAGATCTCTCTCTCTCTCTCTCTCTCTCTCTCTCTCTCTCTCTCTCTCTCTCTCTCTCTCTCTCTCTCTCTCTCTCTCTCTCTCTCTCTCTCTCTCTCTCTCTCTCTCTCTGTGGGTGTGTTTGTGTAATCTGATACCTTCATCATCAAACATTCAGAGATTGAGCTCCAGTAGACTGTGCTAGTAACTGCTAAACTAGCACGCAAACCAATAACCATTATATAATTGAGTTAACAAAGTGTTAAAGTGATCTTTTATAGAAAACGACACATTTTGTCATTATTGTCTATCACGGCATCCAAATCTGTTTTATGTTTTTCTGTGTAGCGCAATATCAATGTATACACCTTTAGACAGTCTTGATGATTAGAATATTTTTAACCACGTAATGTCATCTAACTGTCAAATAAGTAGTAGATGAATTTAGAGCAAGGAAGTTGTTTGGGGGTGGACCAACATAAAGTGTTATCAGTATTATATTCATAATGTTATTGAAGAAATAAAACTAATTTAAAAATCTAATAATGTAATGTAATATAAAATAAAATAATATAATATAATATAATATAATATAATATAATATAATATAATATAATATAATATAATATAATATAATATAATGAAATATAACATAATATAACATAATATAATACAATACAGAGGACATTAATAAGGTTTGAAAAAAATAAAGAATACAAAATATCATTGGTCCCTATAAATAAAATTACTGTGTGTGTTATTTAGTATACTGGATGTATAACTATTATATTAAATAGATTTAATTAAATAAGGTGTAATCATTAAAAGCTTAAATTAAAATGTATTAATAAATAAAAATGCAAAAAAAAAAAAAACTTTATAAATGAGATTAAGCTGAATAATAAAAAATATTAAATAAAAAATGTAAATAAATGTGTAGTTGTAAATATATAATTACAGAGTTATAATGAGTATAGGGGAAACAAATAAAATGTAACTTCATATAAATGACATATTTCTCCGGGGTGCCGCAGTGGGTAGCAATGTCGCCTCACAGCAAGAAGGTCGCTGGTTCGAGCCTTAGCTGGGTCACTTGGCATTGCTTTGTGGAGTTTGCATGTTCTCTGTATTTGTCTGGGTTTTCTCCAGGTGTTTCGGTTTCCCCAACAAGTCCAAAGACATGCCCTATAGGTGAATTGGGTAAGCTAAATTGTCCGTAGTGTATGAGTGTGAATGAGAGTGTATAAATGTTTCCCAGAGAGGGATTGCAGCTGGAAGGGTATCCACTGCGTAAAACATATGCTGGATAAGTAGGCGGTTCATTCCGCTGGGGGGACCCCAGTTTAATGAAGGGACTAAGCTGAAAAGAAAATGAATGAATGAATAAAATAATTCCTCATTAAAGTTGTAGATCTATTTATAATTAAAAGCATTCACAGTTTAATTCTGATATTTATACATCAGACTACAGAGATACTGTTTACATTTTAAACAAGGATGATCAGGTTCAATAAAAAAAAATTTTAAAAAGTAAAAACCACTGCTGTTGGATGTTCAAGTCAACAAACACTAATCGATCTCAATCTAAAGTCTGTCTGTTGGATTATTAATGAGATTTTTGTTCATATTTGTTTTTCTAAGACTGAGTCTTGGTTGAATGGAGCAGCATCTGTCAGCATCTTTAGTGCTTATTACTTTCCATTGTATCCTATTGTACCATGAACACCAGTAAGCATTTCTGTTTGCTTGACTGTATTCCTGCTGATTGCATTGGTTGTGTTGGAGTGATGCAGAGATGTTGTAGTTAGATGTTAATTGTGTGTTTGTTTTTTTTCATGAATCTAGACGACTCTGGTGGAGATCGAGCAGAGGATCTCCAGTCTTCCTCCATGTGGACTGAAAGAACAGGAGCAACACGAGGCTGAATCACTCAACACCAAACTCCAGCTCCTGAAGAACAGACTGGTGACGGTCCAGTTACAGCTGCAGGACAGACACAGCAACCATCAGGTACACACGCACACTCTAATGCACAAAACTTACTTCGCTTGCAAGAGCAGTTCCTATACAATATGTTTCAGTAACAATTCATGCTACCTTTGTATATATACATATATATACAATTGAAGTTTAAGTTTAACGGAGATAAGATTTTTTCCGACACATTTCTAATATAATAAAAACATAATGCAATTCTAAGTATAATTGTTTGAGCTTTGACATGATGACAGTAAATAATATTTTACTAGATATTTTTCAAGACACTTCTATACAGCTTAAAATGACATTTAAAGGCTTAACAAGGTTAATTAGGTTAACTAGGCAGGTTAGGGTAATTAGGCTATTTATTGTATAACTATGGTTTGTTCTGACTATTGAAAAAATAGCTTAAAGGGGCTAATAATTTTGTTCTTTAAATGGTGTTTAAAAAATGAGTAACTGCTTTTATTCTAGCTGAAATAAAACAAATAAGACTTTCTCCAGAAGAAAAAATATTGTCAGACTTATTGTAAAAATTTCCTTGCTCTATTAAACATAATTTGGGAAATATTTAAAAAAGGAAAAAAAATTCAAAGGGTGGCTAATAATTCTCACTTCAACTATATATAGTTGAAGACTATATAAAATATTTCCCAAATAATGTTTAACAGAGCAAGGACATTTTCAGTTTGTCTGATAATATTTTTTCTCCTGAAGGAAGTCTTATTTGTTTTATTTCGGCTTGAATAAAAGCAGTTTTAAATTTTTTTTAAAAAAAAAAGTTTTTTTAAGGTCAATATTATTAGCCCCTTTAAGCTATATATTTTTTTCGATAGTCTACAGAACAAACCATCGTTATACAATAACTTGCCTAATTATCCTAACCTGCCTAGTTAACCTAATTAACCTAGTTAAGCCTTTAAATGCCACTTTAAGCTGTATAGAAGTGTCTTGAAAAATATCTAGTAAAATATTATGTGCTGCCATCATGGCAAAGATAAAATAAATCAAATATTAGAAATGCGTTATTAAAACTATTATGTTTAGAATTGTGTTGAAAACATCTTCTCCCTATTAAATAGAAATCGGGGGAAAAATAAACAATAAATATTTCAGAGGGTTTATTAATTCTGACATCAACTATAGATACTCTGCAAAAGTCTAAGGCCACTAGTGTTTTCACCCCAAAAAAAAAGTTTAAAGTCAGTTATTTCTATATTTTTTCTGTAGCATGTTGGTTTGCAAAACTACCTGAAAAACCATGGGCTTGTGGCCAGGTGTTTTAAATGCCAAATATGGTCATACCAAATATTGATTTGATTTAGTTAATATAAGTCAGTTGATAAATAAAAGGAATTTATGCATTTTTGAAAGCATCCTGAAACTTAAACTAGACTTTAAACTTTTTTTTTTTTAACTCTAAACCTGTTTTTAAGACTTACAGTATACTATATATACTGTACATACTGTGACACATACTATATATACTGTGTTTCTTTTTTATTGCTTATGTTACTGCATAACTATATGGACTAATTATATCCTGACATTATAATTTATGTTTTAAATCATTATTGCTCACATGAAAAACTACTGTTGTAATTTATAGTAAATACTGTATTGTTTTTGAACCATACTATAAACGAATGCTTGAATTAATCTGTTGTTTTAATTATTTATTTGCTATGGTAATCCAACAACTCTAGTACTGTAAACAAACAGCCCAATACTTAGTTTTCTACATGTAGATATTATACTGCACAGTATAATGTAGTAAATGTATTATGTAGTAAAAAAATAATAATACTACAGTATTTAGCACAGTTTATTAATTCACTATAGTTAATACTACACACTTAAAACAAATATTTTATTGAATTTTCAAGCTACTTATTTAAAATGAGCTGAAACAACAAATTTTTAAAATGTTTTTGGGACAGCTTAATTGTTTTATGTTCAATCCATTTAAATTTTTTAAGGTAACTTAATAGATTTGTGTTGGGACAACCTGAATAAAATGTGTAGAACCCTGCATTTTTATAGTGCAGTATGCTGTAGCATTCATTAATATAGTATAATTGCTATATTATATACCGTATAATACACTTTACTATACTCTAAATGTTGTATCGTGCAAAAACACTATAATAAATTACTATAGTATTTCTTTTCATGTTGGAGTCATATAATACACTTTACTTTACATGTATTATGTTAGATTTTTTCCATGTGGTAGTCAAATGCTTTAACATTACCGGGAAAGTCTTTCATTTTCTTTATATTTACTAACATGGGATGGTACTTGTGTGTGGCATACTATATAGTACAGAATTCTACCATAAATTACATCCTTTAGCAATGGAATTTGTATTGAAAACTAATCTTCTGTGAAACTGATTGTGTCTAATAAGCCGAACTTGATACTTATACACTCATACCTGAATTTCAAGTGTTGCCGGTATTCTCTGTAAAGCTGCTTTGATGCAAGTTATACTGTATTAAATACGAATTAAAAATTACTTGATATCAAAAACTAATAAAATTGGTTAAATCTTACTGACCAAAAAAATAAAAAAATCCTAATCATAAGAGAAACACTGCACTTAATACACACAGAATTTGTAATGCCTGTCTGTTTGTTTTTTTTTAAGGTTAGATCAGATGCAATGTAATCCAGGTGTCGTGAGGAACTTAATGAACAGATTGCTTGCGATGACACTGTTTGTTAGCATGCTAATTGCGGCTGGTTTTTACATTAGCAGATTCTGAAGTATTAAATCCAGAAGTGTTGCTAGTGAGAGGCTGCAAAGAGGCTCTTTCTCTTTCTCTCCCTCTTTAGGTGTGTGTTGAGAGACAGCGTCCCCTGCAGGCCCGGTTAACCAGAAGTGCGAGTGTGCAAGAGATGCTGAGCTCCTCCAGAACTAAACTGTTCAGACAGAGTAGCCTTCAACAGCAAAGGGTAATACAGAGAATATTTTTAACATTATTTATTGCTCTGATGACTGCAGATTTTTAGCAGCCACTGCTTAATAAAAATGTATAAAAATATTTTTTTGTCTTTAATGTTTTTTATGCCAACTACAATACATTTTTCATCATTGCCTAATGAATAGAACGTTTAAGAGAACAGCATTTATTTAAAATAGATTTTAAGTATCCTTACTAATATTTTTAATCAGCATATGTCCTTGAGGAAGGATTTTTAAAAATCTTTTTAAAAAATGCTGTTTTTAAATATTTTTAATGTCATGTTTCAGGTAGAATTAAATTAAATGTAAAAGTAATTAAATAATTACTAAAATATAACCATAGATATAATAATAATAATTTTATTAATAATAATAATTATTATAAAAGTAAAACAAATTAAATTAAATTAAATTGGTGGTTCATTCAACTGTGGTGACCCTTGATAAAGTAGTGATTAAGTCGAAGAAAAGACAGTGATTTTTATTTAATTTAATTTAATTTATTTATTTGTTTATTTTTTATTTTGTTCCATTTTGTTTTGCTTTGTTTCATTTTCATTTGTTTTATTTTATTATTTATTTTAATTAATTCTGTTTTGTTTTACTTTGTTTTGTTTTATTTATTTGTTTATTTATTTAGTTTATTATACTTATTTTTTATTTATTGTATTTTTTTTTTGATAGTGTTTATCTATTTATTATTATTTATTTATTTTATTTTTATTTTTTTTTTATTTTTTATTTTTTTTTTTACTGAATTTTACACTGACACAATGTAATTTAATGACAGTTACAAATCCAAAGACTTACACATAGTGCTAAGCAATACCTGTAGTGTAAACATAACATTGCTCTTATTTCTCACCCCGTTTCATTCTTGTTTTCAGGAATTGGAGCATGGTTTAAATGAACAGAGGGATCTAACTAAAGCTATCGCAATTCAAGGCAGCAGAACCCAAACACACAACCAGACCACAGATGAGCATACTGGGTATCTAAACACACACACACACACACACACACATTTTTGTACAATATATACAGGTATATCCACACTTTGCCATCATTTAACACTCTCTGACTGCCTGCAGCGCCTTGGCAGCAAATGAGAATGACGACAAGAGAGAGGAAGAAGAGCTAGCAGTTCACAGGAAGTGGACACACCTCTGTAGCAGACTGAAGGCAGAAGAGACTGAGCAAGATCATGGAGATAACAATCAAGTTGAATCTGAGGTCTGTGCACTCCAGACTCTATTATAAATGCAGTCCTTCCTTTTTAACTCAATCTGATGCTACTTTACGTTTTGGTTGGCTGTTTGTATTTTATGACTACTCAGTTGTAGTCAAAATGATTAGCCCTCATGTGGACTTTTTAAAATGTGTGCTTTTTTAACACATTTTCACCAAATCAGTTTAAATAAGTATGTTCTAATTTAATAACTAAAAATTGTAATAACGAAATTCTTGGCCATGATGACAGTACATAAAAACGTTTTACTTATTTTTCAAGATACTAATATAATAAAGTCCATAAAATGGGTTTTAAAACAAAATTAAACTGCATTTAATCCAGCCAAACTAAAAGAAATGAGACTTTCTCCAGAAGAACAACTACAGGTTTGGCCATTTATATGGATACACCTTTAAAAAATGGGAATGGTTGGTGATATTAACATCTTGTTTGTGGCACATTAGTATATGTAGGGGGCAAACTTTTCAAGATGGGTGGTGACCATGGTGGCCATTTTGAAGTTGGCCATCTTGGATCCAACTTTTGTTGTTTTATTATTGGAAGAGGGTCATTTGACACATCAAACCTATTAGGAATTTTACAAGAAAAACAGTGGTGTGCTTAGTTTTAATGAATTTTATTCTTTCATGAGTTATTTACCCGTTTCTGACCACTTATAAAATGTGTTCAATGTGCTGCCTGTTGTGTTGGATTGTCAAAGCAACCCTCTTCTCCCACTCTACACACACTAATAGCAACACTGCAGGAGAAATGCCAGCACAGGATTCCGTTATTCGTATTCTCAGGTGCTGCACATCTTGTATCTTCACACCATAGACAATTGCCTTCAGATGACATCAAAGATAAAAGTCCAAGGAGGTCAGATCAGGAGACCCTGCGGGCCATTCAACTGGCCCACGACGACCAATCCACTTTTCAGGAAACTGTTCATTTAGAAATGCTCGGAACTGACACCCATACTGTGGTGGTGCACCATCTTGCTGGAAAAACTCAGGGAACATGCCAGCTTCAGTACATAAAGAGGGAAACAAAAAGTCCTCATGTAGCAATTTCAAATATCCAGTGGCCTTGAGGTTTCCATTGATGAAGAATGGCCCCACTATCTTTGTTGTCTATGACACACCATTGTTTTTCTTTTGAAATTCCCAATAGGTTTGATGTGTCAAATGACCCTCTTCCTATTGAAAAAACAAAAGTTGGATCCAAGATGGCCGACTTTAAAATGGCCACCATGGTTACCACCCATCTTGAAAAGTTTGCCCCCTCACATATACTAATGTACCACAAACAGGACATCAATATCACCAACCATTCCCATTTTAATAAAGTGTATCCTTATAAATGGCCCACCCTGTATATTGGAAATACTGTGAAAGTTTCCTTGCTCCATTTACACATTACTGAAAAGAAAAAAATACTCACATGAGGACTTCAATTGTTAATTATTTTACAATGCTTATTTAAAGTTTCCATGTGTATAATTAAAAACAGTAAACATAAAAAAGTGAGCTAATTTATTTTGTGTTTGTGGGTATGTGAACAGATTCTTGGGCCATCTGTGTGTTTGTGGAGCGGAGATGCTGTTTCTCTCTGCCTGCAGGAGATTCAATCCAGCATCACACAACTTAAAGAACTGCAAAGCTCAGCAGCAACACAGGTGTCAATAACAAACACACATCCTATCATATACCACACAGAAGTAATGCTTATAATCAATACACTGCACATGACACACACTCTCCTACACTGAGAACACACTCAGCTTCGAGATGTCAGAATAAACTGTGTGTATCTGTGTGCAGGATCATCAGTCTCTGGATGAAGTTCTGTTTGAAGTGTTGAGTGGAGTGAATCTCACTCTCCGTTCCCTCACACACACCCTCGTGTTTCAGCCAGCAACCTCTCATACTGACACATTGAACCAGCTGCAGCAGCTACAGGTATCCATCCATACACTCATCCACACATCTATCAGTCTAGATCAACTTGAGCCAGTATACCATTCACACATTTATCCATCTATCCATCCATTCCATCTACAGCCCCCCATACATTTGACTCAATACATCCTTCCATCTATTTGCCTGTGCATCCACACGTACTGTACATACATCCATTCACACTTTAATCCAAGCCATAAAAGCACCCATACACTAATCCTCCCACCAATCCATCAATCATCCATTCATCGGTTTTCCAGACAAACCATCCCACCCATCCATCAAGTATATACTGCACATATACTCTCCCACAGACAGACGATTACACTCTTGTCTGTCAATTCATCCATCCATCCATCCATCCATCCATCCATCCATCCATCATCCATCTATTCATTCACCATTCCAATTATTGAAGTATTTATCCATTCATCCACTGACCATCCACTCTCTAACCCATATATCCAATTCATCTAAACACTCATCAACCATCCATCTATTCATTCATTCATCCGTCTATTCATCTATCCGTCTATCTATCCATCCATCCATTTATCCATCAATCATCTATTCATCCATACATCTTTTCATCCATCTGTCTGCCTATCCATTTATCCATCCATCATCCATTCATTCTGCCATCAGTCTATACACCCTCTCGCCATTCATTCATCCATCTGTCCATCTTTTCATCAATAAATCATTGCGTCCATTTTGTCCATCCAACTATCTGTCCATCAATACAATTCCTTCCTTCAGCTGTCAGTCCATACACCCTCTCACTATTCATTCATTCATTCATACATACATCCATTTGTCATTCTATCATGTTGTCCATTTGTCCATACAACAATCAATCCATCCATCCATCCATCCTGCCATCAATCCATATACCCCTCACCATTCATTCATTCATTCAATCATTCATCCGTCCATTTATTCATTCATCAATCCATCATTCCATTCAATATGTCCATCCAACTATTTGTCCATCCATTTCTCCTTTCAGCCATTCATCTGTCTGTTCATCCACACACCTACTTATTCATCCAGTCAACCATGAGTCCATTCACCCTCCAAACATTCATTCATTCATTCATTCATTCATGCAAACTATATAGCCACCCTCACATCTATCTATACCTCCATCAACCCTCCTTCTTGCCATCTGTTCTCCAATTTCAATCCATTTATCAATCCAACCACCCTCCCCCCATCCCATCTATTCATTTGTCAATCTATCATTCTGTCAAATATGTTCATCCAACTATTTGTCCATCCATCTATCACTCCTTTCAGCCATCTCTCTGTCTATTCATCCACCCACCTACTCATTTATCCAGTCAGCCATCAGTCCATTCACCTTCAAAACAATCATTCATTCATTAATTCATTCATTCATTCATTCTCTTTTTTCATTCATTCATTCATTAATATATACAAACGATATAGCCACTCTCACATCTATCTATACCTACATCAACCATCTTTCTAGCCATCTGTTCTTCAATTCCAATCCATCTATCAATCCATATACCCACCTTCCCACCTATTTATTCATTAATACGTTCATACAACCCCACTTATCCACCTCTGTCGGATTTAGGGCTGTGCAGTACAGTATATTAGAATATTCTAAATATTGCCAATGTGCATATCGCGATAAACATAGTGCAATTGTTTGCAATAAATGATTCAGTACAATTGGTTATATTTATTTGATTTGTGTATTTGTTTGTCTGCTTTGTTTTGTGCAACAGTAAAACATGGCTGTTTGCTTTCAGAAGTTGTATTTTCCCTGAACACACGCTCATTGAACCACGAGTGACAGAGACAGAGGAAATTAATTAAAATATGGGCTAGAATTAAAATAATTAACTTAATTTACATCCTGTGGAAAAATTATTTGTATTATAAATTATAGTGATCTGCTTGAAGTAGGTAAATTTCCGTGCAAATTAAAACCATGCGCTGGACCGTTTCTCCGTTTCGCTGGTATGTCTTTAAACTAATAATTATTAAAGCCTATTTAATTATTCATTTATTATTTATATATAATAATTACAATATAAAATGTGATAGTAAAATACAATCAACAACAAAAATGTAAATAAAAACTGTAAATGAAAACGTTAATAAAAAAAAAGCTTATTTATTAACTGTCACTATAAAATAACACTGTACATTTCTATATTTAGGCTAAAACCCTGCTTTATTTATTTATTTATTTATTTAGGCCTACTTATTTGTATGTATGTTTGTACTTTAATTTTAGTTCTCTTTTTTTTCTTTAATTATACTTTTCAAAATAAATCCTCATTTCACTTAACAAGTTTACTATGATAATAAAGCTGGTTAACAAGTTTTTATTGTTTAATGAAGGAATTATAATGCGTTGTTTCATTATTTTACCTTCATTTACAAGTAGCAGAGTATTTACACAACTATTGTATTTTTCTATTTTGTACCTTTGTGCCCCCTGATGGCATAGTCGCAAACTGCGGTTATACCTAAAAACGTGTTAGTGCAGTGGCAGTGCCATTCACGTCGGTAATGCTCCTTTTAAAGTGTCACCCACTGTACATGAAACACAGTGATTACATATTGCTTTTTAAGTCAAATAGCATATCAAATATCGCATTATTTAGCATGCTATCACATATCGCGTTTTCCTTCAGTATCACACAGTCCTAGACTGATTTATCTGTCAGTCTGTTTACCACTTTATTCATTCATTTATTCATACATTACTCTGGTTTTCTTTGAATTTCAGAGTTTATCTGTAGAGCTGATCTCCTTAGAGTCCACATTGAGCTCTCAGGGGTCAGAGATCATGAAGTTATTAGTTTCAAGTTCATCGGTATCAGAGACATCCACCTGTTTTGATCTGCTGATGCAGCATGTGTGTGACATTCAGAAGACTCTGGCTGAGAAACAGGAGCAGCTACAGGAGAGAATAAAACACACAACTCAGCATCAGGTCAGATTTCTGTCTGCTTCAGTTTATTTCTTACCCATACAAACTAATGAGATTGATGTGCAGTTATGTAAAAAATGTTTGAAATTCTTGTAGCTTACAAGTTACTAGACATGCTAAAATTCAGGAAGTTGATTCTCATGTGTTAAAAGTGCTAATATTTCAGCAGTTTTAGCAGGCTTTAACACCCCAAACCCTCAATGCCTCATCCTAATAACTGTCATGAGCACTCAAACTTGTTTGGTTTGAAAAACACCATAAAACTTGTCTTCAGTCTCATGTTTAAAGGGATAGTTCACCCAAAAATGAAAATTTATTCACTATTTACTCACCCTCAAGTGGTTGTACACCTTTTTGAGTTTCTTTATTCTGTTAAACACCAAAAAAGTTTTTTTGAAGAAATCTGAAAACTTATAACCATTGAATTCCATAATATTTGTTTTTCCTACTGTGGAAGTCAATGGTTATAGGAATACAGTGCATCCAGAACTTATTCGTATAGCGCTTCACTTTTTCCACTTTTGTTATGTTACAGCCTTATTCCAAAATGGATTAAATTCATTTATTTCCTCAACATTCTACAGACAATACCCCATAATGACAATGTGAAAAAAGAGTTTTTGAAACTGTTAATTTGTTAAAAATAAAAAAGCTGAAAAATCACATAAGTATTCAGAGCCTTTGCCATGAAGCTCTAAATTGAGCTCAGGTACATGTTTCCACTGATCATTCTTGAGATGTTTCAGCAGCTTAATTGGAGTTCAGCTGTGGTAAATTCATTTGATTGGACATGATTTAAAATGGCATACACCTGTCCATATAAGGTCCCAGGGTTGACAGTGCATGTCAAAGCAAAAACCAAGCATGAAGAAAAAGGAATTGTCTGTAGACCTCCGAGACAGAATTGTCTCGAGGCACAAAGCTGTGGAAGGTTACATTTTTTGCTGTTCTGAAAGTTCAAAAGAGCACAGTGACCTCCATCATCTGTAAGTGGAAGATGTTTGGAACCACCAGGACTCTTCCTAGAGCTGGCCGGCCATCTAAGATGAGTGTTCGATTGAGAAGGGCCTTAGTCAGGGAGGTGATCAATAACGTGTTGGTCACTCTGTCTAAGCTCCAGAATTCATCTATGGAGAGAGAAGAACCTTACAGAAGGATAACCTGTGCAGCAATCCACCAATCAGGCCTGTATGGTGGAGTTGTCAGATGGAAGCCACTCCCCGCCGGGAATTTGCCATCAGAAGGACTCTCAGACCATATGTAACCAAATTCTCTGGTCTGATGAGACTGAAATTGAACTCTTTGGAGTGAGTGCCAGGCATTACATTTGGGGAAAACCTGGCACCACTCATCACCAGGCTAATACCATCCCTACAGTGAAGCATGGCGGTGATAGCATCATGCTGTGGGGATGTTGTTCAGCAGCAGGATCTGGAAGACTAATCCAGACTAGTATGGCTGTAACATAAAAACGTGGAAAAAGTAAAGTGCTATGAATACTTTCCGGGTGCACTGTAGATAGTCTCTTTAATTTAACAACATATTATTTCATATCATAAAACAGCCTATCCTATCATACCATAAAACATGTCAACTACATTTGTAAAGACATACAGGATAATAGTTTATACTATAATTTTACTCTTGGAACTTTTTGCCTGGCATCTTAATTGCAACATTTCCTTCCTTGTGTGTCAAATCCTGCAGAAAAAAGCAAAAGACCTGCATGACTCAGTACTAACTAACACATTGATCCTTCACTCTACAACTAATGGAGAAATCCACCATGACCTTTACACACAGCTGCAGGTGAGCACTTTTGCCTATTGAGAAAACTCTCTATTAAACAAGGCAGAAAATAATGTGCGTATCTGTTAAACACTAATAATAATGGTAAATATTATAAATATATCTGAATGAATGTACATTCTAAACGCCTCTCAAGTTACAGTGTTTGTCATGAACATATCAGCAGGGGACAAAATGCTGATGTTTACATGGTACATTTGCTGACTTCAATGCCACTTTTACAATGTTATAGCATTTCATATTTCTCCTGAAGACTCGTAAAGTCATAAAGTTTGGTTTCTTGCACTAAAAACATCATATATTTTAAAATATGCGGTTTTCTCATTTGATTGGACAACCATCATTCAAGGAGTCCAGTTAAACATGATGTTTTTGATGTTTAGGAGGTTTATGACTTTGTTCTGCATGAAATCTGGGATGTTTACTGTACCTGTGCTGTGTTTACATGTGAAGGCTGTCACCAGGCAGAAACAAGAAGTGGAGCAGACTGAGAAAGAGCTGGCAGAACTCAGAGATGAGACAAAGAGTGGAGATCAGCCTTCGTCCCTTACACAGCAGATCAGCACACTGGAGGTTCAGAAATTAGTTTAGTTCTGGTTCAGCAAAAATGTGACACAATCGAAAGTTTTATCTGATTGTACAATGGAATTCTGAGGTATATTTTAAATATGCAAACTAACAAGGCTTTATTTAATGCCATATTTAAAGTTATTTTTAATAATGAATGTTTTTCTCCTCGCCTTTATTTATTTATTTATTTATTCATTCATCCATCCCTTTATTTTCTTTTCGGCTTGTTGGGGTCTCCACAGCGGAATGAACCGCCAACTTATCCAGCACATGTTTTATGAAGCGGATGCCCTTTCAGCTGCAACCCATCTCTGGGAAACATCCATACATACTCATTCACACTCATACACTACAGACAATTTAGCCTACCTAATTCACCTGTACTGCATGTCTTTGGACTGTGGTAGAAACCGGAGCACCCGGAGGAAACCCACGCAAATGCAGGGAAAAGATGCAAAACCCACACAGAAACGCTAACTGACTCAGCCGAGGCTCGAACCAGCGACCTTCTTGCTGTGACGCGACAGCACTACCTACTGCGCCACTGAGTCGTCCCTTATTTGGTCATTTATTTATTTATTTATAATTTTTTTTATTTATTTTTTACTTAAAATAATAAATAAATAAATAATACATCTGATTTCAAAGTTGATAATAATTGAACAACATCTACTTGAACCACAAACCATCATGTCATCTTTTGTACGGTACTGTGGTAATCTAAAAACTCAGCTTTGCCTTCAGAGAAATAAAGAACATTTTAAAATATATTAAAATAGAATGTAGTTATGTGAAATAATGTCTTTTTGATTGTGTATATTCTAATATAATGGACACTTTGTGTAGGAGGTGTTGGAGAGTGTTTGGAGTGATCTAGAGCAGCGCTGTGGAGCTCTGCAGTGGACACTTGATCAGCAGCAGATGAGCCGAAAAATACTGAAGGCTCTGCAGATGCTATTGAATCTTGGAAAAGAGAAACTCACCAGCATGCCTCAAATAGAGCTTGGAAATACAGCACAACTACAGACACAACTCAACACACACACGGTAAAGCCTATCACTTTAAATGCACACATACAGCCCTTAAAACAGCAAATCAACACTATCATTAAAGTGTCTGTGATCTCTCATTCATCTCTTTGTAAATATAGTCGTTTTTCCAATCTCTGAGTGGCCACCTGAGGAGACTTCAGCAACTGAGTGTACGGATGCCACACAGCGCCTCCTCTGGCTGGGAGACTGAAGTGTCTGAGATTGAATGTCAAGTTTCCAGTGTTTTACAGCAGGCTCAGGCTGTGGGTACATTGCTGCACTCAGCACTGCAGGTACGAGAGCAAGGGGATTCTTCTATAAGCACTTCTGATGCACAGTCTATGCGAACCAGTTCTAATGCACAAAATGGGTCTAAAATGACATATTTATTCCTCTATTTCATATTTATTCCATTATTTCAATCATGGCTAAGTGTTTCCTTGATAAATCTTTGAGAAGCATGTATTTTATCAATTATTATTCCAGAAACTCCACACATCAGGTATATTAATTATATAACAGAGATTATGTATTCATAGACCAATTTTACACATGTTCAGTAGAAACAGGACTTTGATAATCACAAATGTTTGTTCAAAAAGTGGAAATGTGTCATTAAAGATTGAATACTAAATGTGGAATACTAAATAATTAAATCTATTTCTTGCAAATATAAACTACCTCACAAAAATCTTGTTGCTGATCCCAGTTTTATGAGCAATAAATAATAACTTGACTTCTAGTTGATCATTTGGAAAAGTGGCAGAAGGTAGATTTTTCTGACGAATCATCTGTTGAACTCCATCCCAATCATCACCCAAGATTCTCACAGATATCAGTCAAGTTTGGTGAAGAAAAATCATGGTTTGGGGTTACATTCAGTATGGGGACGTGCAAGAGATCTGCAGAGTAGATGGCAGCATCAACAGCCTGAGGTATCAAGACATTTGTGCTGCCCGTTACATTACAAAACACCAAGAGAGGGCAAATTCTTTGGAAGGATAGTGCCCCTTTTCATACTTTACAGCCTCCACATCACTGAAGTTCCTGAAAGCAAAGAAGGTCAAGGTGCTCCAGGATTGGCCAGCCCAGTCACCAGACATGAACATTATTGAGCATGTCTGGGGTAAGATAAAGGAGGAGGGATTGGGGATGAATCTAAAGAATCTTGATGAACTCGGGGGGTCCTGCAGAAATGCTTTCTTTGCCATTTTGAATGACTTTATTAATAAGTCATTTGAGTTGCAGAGCTGTATAAATGCAGTCCTCCAAGCTCATGGGAGTCATAAACAATATTCATTCTTTTTCCACTGCACCATGACTTTATATTCTATACTGTACATTATTTCTGTTTAGTGACAAGACTTTTGTCTATGCAAAGCCAGACCTCACTGTCCTAATTAAATATTTAAAAATCAAGGCATGATCATGTTTTATTTTGGTAAAATAAGCGTAATTTAGAGGCCTTTGCCTTTCATATAAACCACTTTTGATACCAAATGATCAACTAGAAGACAAGTTATTATTTGTTGTTTAGTTTGAAGGCTAAACACAGTAACAAATAAAAAATAAAACAGTAATCCTGATTCTGACACAAATTTGCAGTTTGGAATTGTACAAAAATAGCAGCAACAATAGTAGCTTGTTTTCTGTTGTCTCTTTTCATGTTCATTTGTAAATTGCATGAGTTTATTTCACAATATGGAATACAAAAGATCTGTAATAGGCCATTAATACAGTCATCCATCGATCCCCCCTTTAAAGAAATCAGAAAAGTGGTCAAAAGAGATGGACTAAAATGCCAGGTGTAAACGGGAATGTGTCTTTCCTGTCTGCTTGTGATCTGATCAAACAAACAAATAGCATATTGATTGCAAGTGTATAACAAGATCACAAATACAGAGAATTTGATGTATTTCAGGTTTGCTCTCATTGGGATGAAAACCAGTCATGGTTAGAAACACTTCTGGAGAGGTTAGAGACTCAACTTCCCATGATGCCTCTGTGGGAGCAAACAGAGGAGCAGCTCAGCCAGAGTACTTCTGTCTATAAGGTAATGCTGTGAAGTGACTCACAGAATTATACAGTTGAAGTCAGAGTTATTAGCCCTCTTGAGTTATTAGCCCCCCTGTATATTTTGTTTAGCGAAGAGAAGATTTCTTCAACACATTTCTAAACAAAATAGTTTTAATAACTCATTTCTAATAACTAATTTATTTTATATTTGCCATGATGACAGTAAATAATATTTGACTAGATATTTTTCAAGATACTAGTATTCAGCTTAAAGTGACATTCAAAGGCTTAACTAGGTTAATTAGGCAAGCTAAGATTATTAGGCAAGTCCTTGTATTACGATGGTTTGTTCTGTAGACAATTGTAAGGGTCAATCTATTAGTCCAATGACAGAACTAACAGCATGGGTGAAGGTTAAATGCATGTAAGCCTGCATCTGCAAAGAAATATTTTTATTTGTTAGAATTTATTTAATAACAGAGTCACCAGCTCAAAATTTAATCTGACTCCGATTTCATGTGATCATTAAATTTCAAATGTGTTCCTAATAAGGAACTGATCACATTCATAATTGAGGAATGAATTTAAATATTTGACTATATTTTAAACATCTCGTCTTTTCATTTCTTGGTTTATCCAAAATCGATTAGAGTCATTATGTTGACCAGTTACATCTGCTCACGGACACAACCTCACCAATTTTGGTTCTTAGATAGAGCATATAACTGTAAACAATTTTTTAAAGTAATATTAGGCCACCCCATGCTTGCTCATACATAAAAAAATGTATTTAGCCACTATATTTTATAATACTGTCTGTGTCTGTGATTCTGAGTCTGTGATTGTCAGAAATCAACAGGTATCTAAGGGGCTAATAACATTGACCTTAAAATACTTTTTTAAAGCTAAAAACTGCTTTTCTTCTTGCAAATAAAACAAATAAGACTTTCTCCAGAAGAAAAATTATTATTGGAAATACTGTGTAAATTTCCTTGCTCTGTTAAATATAATTTGGGAAATATTTGAAAAAGAAAAAAAAATGACAGGAGGGCTATATACAGTATATGCTATATATACAGTTGAAGTCACAATTATTAGCCCCCATTTTATTTTTTTTATATATGTATATATATTTCCTAAATAAGGTTTAACAAAGCAAGGAATTTTTCACAGTATGTCTGATAATATTTTTTATTCTGGAGAAAGTCTTATTTGTTCTATTTCGGCTAGAATAAAAACCATTTTAAGGTAAAAATTATCAGCCCCTTTTAGCTATATTTGTTTTCGATATTCTACAAAACAAACCATTGTTATACAATAGATTGCCTAATTACCCTAACAAGCCTAGTTAACCTAATTAACCCAGTTAAGCCTTTGAATGTCACTTTAAGCTGTATAGAAGTGTCTTGAAAAATATCTAGTCAAATAAAACGTACTGCCAATAATTCTGACTTCAACTGTATGTATATATATATATATATATATATATATATATATATATATATATATATATAGAGAGAGAGAGAGAGAGAGAGAGAGAGAGAGAGAGAGAGAGAGAGAGAGAGAGAGAGAGAGAGAGAAAATGCAGAAAACTTTAGAGCATATGTTTGTGTGTGACAGAATGTGTTGGCGGTTCTGGAGCAGAACAGAGCTCAGATCAGTCTGGTTCTGGATGAAGGCCGCAGACAGCAGGAGCAGGTTTCTAGTAATGATGTGGGTGTTCCTGTACACATAGTGGGTGTGTCTACAGCTAGGCTAGAACAGCGATTGGCTACACTCCAGAAGAGGGTGGAGAAAGGACTAGAATCTACCCTCCACCTCAAAAAAATTTGGAAGAGGTAAAAATGAATAAAATATTTCTTGTCACCTTATGCATTATCTTTTCATTCAGCCTTGTTTTAAAGCATACATCTACTCACTTCCGTTATGTTTAATTAGGGAGAATTGTGCAAAAAGTAATGAGGAACTAATAAATATTAAGGGTTGTATATTATTATTTCACTTTCATTCCAGGTACCAAAGTGATTCAGATGCTCTGAATGAGTGGATGAGAAGAGCCAGAGAACTGCTGGATTCTTGGAGAGATCACATGACCGCAGGCAAACAGGAAGTGGACGCCCTCTCCCAGTTTCAGCACTTCACAGTGAGTCATGCAGTGCACACTCATGCAATGGCGTCTTATCATAAAGAACAACGTAATCTACAGAGAGCAGCGCAAATAAAATATTTCCCAAATGATGTTTAACAGAGCAAGGAAATTTTCACAGTATTTCTGATAATATTTCTTCTTCTGGAAAAAATCTTACTTGTTTTATTTCTGCAACAATAAAAGCAGTATTAAGTTTTATAAAGCCTATTTTAAGGACTAAATAATTGGCCCCTTTAAGCTATATTTTTTCCTGATAGTCTACAGAACAAACCATCATTATACAATAACTTGTCTAATTACCCTAACCTGTCTAGTTAACCTAATTAAGCCTTTAAATGTCCCTTTAATTTACTGTCATCAAGGAAAAGATAAAATAAATCTGTTATTAGAGATAAGTTATTAAAACTATTTTGTTTAGAAATGTGTTGCAGAAATCTTCTCTGCGTTAAACAGAAATTGGGGAAAAAAATAAACAGGGGTGCTAATAATTCAGGGGGCTAATAATTCTGACTTTAACTGTATATATATATATATATATATATATAGTGTGTGTATACTATACTATTTATATATATATATATATAATACTTATTGTTTAGGTTTGTAAAATATTCACCTAATATTTAATTTTATTTACAGTTTATTGTAATTAATAAAAACAATTTCAATAGATTTAAGTTTTAATCATAACAACATTTTCATATTTGTGATGTTTTTGACACAGGAGTTTTGCAAAGAGCTAGAGGTGAAATCATCCCTGAAGGCGTCAGTCGTCAGTTCTGGATCTTTGATCCTGTTGCTTAGTGAAAGAGAGCAAAACACGGAAACACAGAAAATCAGCAAAATCACTGATCCTCCAAGAACATCCACTCCCCCAGGGAATACAACAGTCTCTGAAGACCTGCAACCAAGTGAAACTGGCCGCTCTGTAATTCTAGATAACAACCCTGAAGAGTCTTCTTCTGTAGATGTCACTCTTACTCCAGAAACCACTACTTCCTCTATTCACAACATCACAGAAGGCACTCTTTCCCCCACAGAGAGATCAGAGTCAAATGAAGGTGTCATTTCTGAGGAACCAACTTCACCTGCATTTGATTTGTCAGTAAAACAGGAGAGGGTTTTGTCTCCAGTTCTTCTGACTCTGCAGTTCCAGCTCTCTCAGGTGGAGCAGGATTGGGTGGAGATACAGACACACATACCTTCTGTTCAACAAGGACTCCATCTGGTACGCTTTAGTCTGTTCTTTAATTTGTCTGAAATTACAGTATGCACATCATCATTAACTAACTGTTCCATGAATGATTAGAAAAAAATCCTGTTAGGTTCATGTTCTTCCTTTCGGAGCTCTGAAGGAGAACATCAGGTCATCATAAGTTTATAATGAAGCTCACACATCCACCCAGACGTGATTTTCTGTATGACTCAGCAGCTGATGAAATTTTGTGAGAAATAGAGTCTCTGTGCTTTTCTTCATCCATCATCAGGCCTCTCTTTATACTTTAGCTCTCATCCATTTTTTTTTTTTTGATTGCATGTCACCCCTCACCTGGCTCCATGGGTTTCTTTCTTCTTTATTCACTCCACCTGCGTGTGTCTTTCCCACCTGTCTTTATCTCTGTTTCTCTCTCTCTCTCTCTGTCAGAGTGTGCGGCAGAGTCTCTCTCCTGAAGGACTGCTGGCTGATGTGAGTGGCTGGATTACAGGTGCTGAGAGCAGGTTACAGATGAATGAAAGTGAGGGTCACAACATCTGCACTGCATCAGAGCTCACACACCTGCTCAGAGCATATCAGGTACATTTTTTTCATTTATTATCTCTCTATCTGTTGTAAAATTGAAAATAAAATGACCAATAGCATTTATTTCTTTAAATTCTTTTTTATTTGAAGCCGTGAAAATAACAGAGTTTTATATAATGTAGATATTTTATACAGTTGAAGTCAGAATTATTAACCCTCCTGAATTATTATTCTCATTTATAAATAGTAAAAAAAAGAATAGTTTGGGGTTTACTTTGATTTTTTTATTTTGATTTTTTTTTGTCTATTCAGGGGCTGAAGAGAGAGATGGCATGTGAGCAGATGTCTGTTGACTTTATTAATCAGTGTGAGCTCAAGCAGGCGGGCACCAGCAGGTACAAACACACTGCGTTTGCTGAAGGACTGGGACACATCAATCTGCGCTGGCAAACTCTACAGGCGCATCTGAACACACAGGTGACTTTATTAGTCTGTTAATAAAAACATTAGCATAAGTAACCAACACGTACTAACATATTTATATTGTATTTCTCAGATCCAACACACTGAAGATCAAATGAGAATATTTGCAGAGCGAGATAACAAACTGCAGCTCCTGCAATGCTGGGTCAAAGGTCAAAAAGAATGGATGCGATTGGCTGAAAGACCCATCAGTCACTCCTTCGCTGAAAAGTGTCTAAAGGACTATGAAGTGAGTCACTCACACACCTGAAAAACACCTTAGATTGTAGTAAAATTTATGGTAACACTTTAGTTTAGGTCACAATTTATTAACTACCAGCTTATTATCTGACTGTTTTTAAGATATAAACTGTTCATTAGTAGATTTTATTCTGCATCCCTAATCCTACCCAACTATCCCTCAACTTCTACTATACTATTATTAAACAAATAATTAGTAATTAATTACGCTAGAAGTGTTAGTTAATGGCTTATTAATACCTTTAATTGTGACCTAAATTAAACTAAAGTGTTACCGAATTTATTTAGATTGCACTTTTAATGATTTTAAGTGTCTTTCTCTCATTTTCAGGAGCTGGGGGAAAAGTTAAAGGCCAAATTCTCTGAAATTGCTGAGATGAGAAAGCTTGCAACTGAAGAAGATGACAGAGATAAAGACTTCCTCTCAAAAGCTAAAAAACTCTCACAATCTTTGACTGACCTCTGTCAGCAGGTATAAAAACAAAACATTAATTTAAAACAAACTGTTTATGTACTTTTAAAAAGGAGCTTATCAATAAATGCTTCTCTTCTAGAATACAGTCCTTGGAAATATCTTGAAGGACCTGTGTAAGGTGTGGTCTCAGTTTGAGTGTGGGAGGAGTCAGGCAATGGTAAACACAGTGAGGATTGGCCAATCGCTAGAGTACTGCCAAGCCCCTTTGCCCTCCCTCTCTGCCCTTCAGCACAACATTGATAAGCTACAGGTGCTGTCAATCAATTTCTGATTTATCAAAGTATGACATTTGTGACAATGGACCACACTGAAAATTATATTTATATCTCATCTGAAAGCTGCTTGAATTAATTTACATCAATGTATGTCTTTTTTTAGGATATTACAATATTCGGCTATTTGAACATTTGGAATCTGAGCTTTTAAAAAATTCCACATACTGAAAAAGTCAACTTAAAGGTTGTCCAAATTAAGTTCTTAGCAATGCATATTACTTATCATCAAACATTTAATTTCGATGTAAGTACTGTCAGACATTTACAAAATATCTTCACTGAACATCATCTTTACTTAATATTCTAATGATTGTTGGCATAAAGCAAAAATTGATCATTTTGACTCTTACAATGTATTTTTTTACAAGTCAGTATGTGGCTTTCCGACAAATCTAACCAACACAGGCTCATTGTGAAAGCGTAGCCCTATGTACCTTTCTGGAGATCGCGAACTATGTAGCCAAAGCTCTTTAAAATGAACGCTACAGAGCGGGATGAGGCTGTTCCTTTTCTTGCCCACCAGCTGACCACTCACCTCCATGTGGACAACTTTCCCGCTCGTGCCAGTTTGTCCGTTAGCTCGACATGTGCGTCAGTGAGATACAGAGCGGAGTTGACCGCGATGACAGGGTTCGAGTTCGGTGAAGAACAGTTCCAGAAAGCCTGTAAGACAAAAGCAAAAGCCCAAAAATAAAAATAAAAAACAATAAAAAAAAACTGGGTGAGAATAAGGTAAAATTTTAAAACTTTATTTTTCTGGATTGCTTTTTAAAATACTGCAATTGGGTTTAGGAAAGGGGGTGGGCGGGTCAATCAGTGCTTTTTGGTTGGGCTATTGGTTGGGTTGGGTTTAGGATAGGAGGAGGGCGGGGGGAACGGTCAGTTGGTCAGTCGGTGAGTAAGTCGGTCGACAGCAGCCTCTGGTGGGTTTACGTGAGAACAGCAGGCACGAATGGCACTCGCGAGAGAAATTTGAGATCTGGAAAAGTGTAAACAGCGGCCTGTGGCAGAACAAAAACAGCAAAAAAAACATAGCTCCTGGGATGTATTTGGCTTTCTCTGGAAATGTACTGTATATAGGGGTATGTAATCGGAATGAGCCTGGGTTGACTATAACTGTGCAAAATACAACTAGTTTTGTGGCTCATGGTCATATTTTATTTGACATTTAATTTGCTTAAGTAATGCATTGGCTTTGCAAGAGATACTTCATCAAGATCTATAATCACATGTTTGCAGGTCATAAAAGCCGATACAGAGGAGGTTGACAGGCAGTGGGAGGGTCTTAGCAAGACGATATCAACTCTTATTGGAGGAATTAACCCAGACTCTGGCCAGATATTATTTCAGCAGCTAGAAAAAGAAAAAGCAAGGTTAGACTTCACACATCCAACAATATGTGTCAGCTTTTCTCAATCCCTGCACTCCCAGCATAGTGTAATCCACTTTGCTGGGCACTTGTTGTTGAATTAGAACAAATACCTGACATGAAAAGAGAAACATAAGACACGTAAAGTACCGGGATTGAGAAACACTGGTCTATGTGAATGTTGAAGCTCTTATATCTGCATGTTGTCCTTCAGGTGGTGTGAGATGAAGGAAAAGGTTAAAGAAACTTTGGAGAGGACACAAAGTCTTCAAAAAGTATGGCAGAGATACTCTGACGTGAAGTGCATTTGCTCAGAGCAGCTCCAGCATCATAGAGAACAGCTCTCCACACACACCAAAACACCCGCTGACCATAAACAACTCGCACACAGCATCGCAGAGCTGAAGACTGTGAGTACAATGCAAATATCCTGACCGAAGAAAATTTAGAGGAAAAAAAATGAATAGTTGTATTATTTTTTCATCTTAAGCTCTATTATTGGGCATCACACAGGACTGGGTTGAATACATGACATGCTTTAGAGATGTTTTGATGGAGTACATGTTAGTGTCAGAGTAATTCCATCTATATGTAAGAATGAACTGTATCTTAAATCAGTCCTGTCTGCTGCTATCAGGCTTTTCAGTGTGCAAAAATTATTATGGAATTTGTTGCTTAATGTGCAATATACCTGTATCACAAGCCTATTATCATGAAATATTTAATTTTTTATAATTTTATTCCTAATATAATATATTAAAATATATAATATAATATAATATATAATAAAATAATAAAATAATATAATATAATATAATATAATATAATATAATATAATATAATATAATATAATATAATATAATATAATATAATATAATATAATATAATAATATATTTTGGGTCTCAGTATATCACACATCTTATTGTCTTTGTTTAGGTGTTACAGAAAGGCTCAGAGATGCTACAGACTGATGTGAATGAAATGCTTGAAGCCTCTAAAGATGTGATTGAACAGATGAATGAAGAAGATGCTGTTTTCATCCGATCTGAATGCCGTTTGATCACACGTGGTTACCTGCAGTTAAAACAGACTCTTACAGGACGAATTGAACACATGCAGGTAAGACTCAAATGCAGGACTTTCTTATCTAGTGAAAGTACCGGAACAAATTTTATTAAAATACACATTCTGGCGTTATTTATTTACTCCCTCTCATATCAGTCCGAACACTCTCTTGTACGTTTTTTCATGAGAAACATTTGGCTGAAAAAGCTCTAGAATACACTTTAAATATGAAATTTTTAATAATTTTTATACTTATTTTAACCTGTTTCAAATAAGTATAAAATATTTTATATTTTATATTTAAAGGATATTACAGTAGGTCCAATAGATATTTGCATTCATTTGTTCCAACTGCAGTTGAGTTTATTAATAAGCTTTTTGTCGTATTTTGGTTATGAATATTGGATACTCCTGCAGTTTGAACATGTTTTGATTGGTAACACATTATATACCATTTTATTTGATTACAATTCATTTGAATGTTTATTATTAACTTTAGTTTATTTATTGCTGTGAACCAAATTGCCTCTTGAGGACAATAAAGAAATTCCGATGCAATCCAATCCGAACAAGCACTAAAAATGACAAAAGCATTGAACATTGTGCAATATAGGTATCATAATAATAGTCTGTACATTTCCTGAAACCATAAGCTTCAGTAAATGATGCCTGTTAAAAAAAATAAAAACTTGTGTATCCAGGAGGATCTTGAGCAATTTCAAGAATTTGAAAGGTTATTCCAGTCTCTCGAAACACAATTGCAACGGTGGGAAAGCAAACAGAGGATGGACAGCGAACACACAGATATATCTCAGGTGATAATCTCATGCATAACACTATAACATACTTCTATTGAGGAGAATTCTCAGTGTTAAGTTTGTATGTGTTTCCTCATCTACAGTCGGGTCTGATGGAGATCAGTTCTCTGTCTCCTGATCTGGATCTATTAAACACACTCAGCTACAGACTGACCCTGAGTGATCCAATGACGCAGAAACTGCAGAACCTCAACAGAAAGTGGGCACAGGCTTCTGCACACGCTCAGGAGAAGTGCAGGTGATTGACACTTATGAACTTGAGATGCCAGCCATTAATTGCTAATCCATTAGTTGTTGATCATCCTTTAAATTGATGCATCTCATTGATGGTCAAGTAAGCAAGCATGCTTTTTATGTGCACCAGACAACTTATCCAAAAGCACTAGAAAATACTGTGCAATTCTGAGTATCTGAGTATTCTTCCTTAAATACAGATTTCCGTATTTTCCAAGCTCAATGGGGTTACCCCTGTAATTAGTATAAATCTGATTAAATGCTTTGAATTTATGCGTGGCTTTTCCGCTTTCACATTTACATGTCAGATCCACGTGCACTCTATGTACATTGTGCACATTATGCACATTTGTTATTATCCTCTGCAAGTCATCCGTCTTTATGTCTAATTTATTCAGTGCTAGCCCTGCTGAAAAATCCAGCTTAAACCAGCCTATGCTGGTTGGCTGGTTTTAGCTGGTTGAAGGCTGGAAAATGACCAGCCAAATCCAGCTAAAACCAGCTTAACCAGCCTGGTTTAAGCTGAATATAGCTGGTTTTGGCTGGACTCCCAGCTTGGCTAGGCTGGTCAGTTTTTTCAGCAGGGAGAGCCTAGCACCAGAAGTGTAAAACCTGAAAGTTTCCTAAGTTTAGATGATATTACAATTTTTTACAAATATTTTTTTATAATTAATTAAAACTACTAAGAATCAGGGGCTAAGCTGAAGGAAAGTGAAAGTGATAAACTCTTTTTAGCATGTATGAGATTTTCAGGGTGGAATGTTAAAGTATAGTAGGCTAATCAATTAACCTGGACAATATTTTTACAGTTATTTTTATACTTGACTGACTAGTGCTTCTTAACTTGAAAGCTGCTAGGAAATGCACTTTCCACACATGGACACTAAATTGTATGCTTTTCTGGCAAACATTTTGTTCACTTTTAAATATTAAAGCTGCTAGAAAATGCACTTGCCACTTTATACGCACATTATATGCACTTTTAATATTGTTGTCACGATCACCAGCGATTGTAACTCCATAGATCGATGGAATTCACACATAATAGTGTAAGGACTACAGATCCGCCATTTTTGGACCTCATCCTCATCCTGCCTGATTGCACTTGCAACACCAGCGGATAGTCAAGGACTGATTACACACACTATTTTGAGCAGCATCAGCTGTGGGAGTCTAATCAGTGGAGATTTGGAGCAGGTTTGTGTGTGTGTGTGTGTTGCATGACTGAATATGTAGTCCATAAATGGCCGATTTGTAGTCTATTAGCGATCTGCAGCTACTAGATCGCTGGTGATCATGACAATTGTATTGTTACTCCTTTTATGACTAATTATTGTTGCCATTTTACCTTTTTATCTATTGTTATTATTGTTGTTGTTGTTTTAGACAAATAGGACTGCACTGAAGGGAAGGGCAAACATAGATTTCATTGTATTTTGTACAATGACAATAAAGATTCTAATAAATTACAGGAAAATTTATATTCTGTGGACACAAGAGAACTAACCAAGTTAGTAGCACCATCTAGCGGCAGCGCAAGGATCTTTACCGACATTGAACCTATTAAATGTTACTTCGGGGACCATTGATCTGCTAAACATTCAAACTGATAAAACAAAAAATGAAACTGAAATTGTGTGGTCAATATCAAATATTAATAATTTTTAGAATTATTATTTCTATTATTATTCATTAATTTTCTTTTCAGCTTAGTCCCTTTATTAATCCGTTGTCGCCACAGCAGAATAAACCACCAACATATCTAGCCTGTTTTACTAAGCGAATGCCCTTCCAGCCGCAACCCATCACTGGGAATTTCTATTATTATTAATAAACACACACCCACAAAAAATATTATAAATAATTCTATTTTTTTGTGGGTGTGTTTTTAAATAGTAAATAATAATAGAAATTCACAGTGATATATATATATATATTTATTTATATATTTATTTTTATATATATATATATATATATATATATATATATATATATATATATATATATATATACAGTGTATATATATATATATATATATATATATATATATATAAATCTCAACTTGGCGATGTGGTGGCACAGTAGGTAGTGCTGTCGCCTCACAGCAAGAAGATCACTGGTTTGAGCCTCAGCTGGGTCAGTTGGCGTTTCTGTGTGGAGTTCTCCCTGCGTTCGCGTGGGTTTCCCCCACAACCCAAAGAAATGTGGTGTAGGTAAATTGGGTTGGCTAAATTATCCATAGTGTATGTGTGTGAATGAGTGTGTATGAAAGTTTCCCAGAGATGGGTTGCAGCTGGAAGGGCATCTGCTGCGTAAAACATATGCTGTACAAGTTGGCGGTTTATTCAGCTGTAGCGACCCCAGATTAATAAAGGGACTAAGCCAAAAAGAAAATGAAGAAGAAAATGCGATCTGTCCCTTTTTCACCGTTGTGAAATATTTCTGAATATCTGAATTAAACGGTTTCTAAAATGAAAAAAAAAACTCTTCATAATATGATAACTATACTGTATACAATATACTGTTTTGTGTCCAATTCACAAGGTAATGTGTGTTTATTTGTATTTATTTAGTGAGTTGCAGGCAGCTTCTCTTCAGCAGCAGAGTTTTGAGCAGAGATGTGAAAGCTGGCTGGCTTTCCTTCAGCGCATGGAGGACAGTTTGGCTGTAGAAATCGCATCAAATTACACTGGACTTAGAGAACAACAACGCACACACCAGGTACAACTGTCAACACAACCATAAATGCCAAAAACCTGGATGATAGTTCTTATGAAAGTCTTTGTTTGATTGTCTCTTTTAGTGTTTTCAGGCGGAGTTGTGTTTAGGCCATCAGATCCTTCACTCTGTGATCAGTGAATCTCTCCTGCTTCTGCAGAAGGGAGATGTGGAGGACAGGTAATGAGTCTCTGCATGCTTTTTTTCTAAATCTGTGTGTTTTGTTTAATTGTATTTTGTTTGAGATCTGCTTGTGACATACAGTACTGTTAAGAGATATGGGGTCAGTGTGATCTCTTTTTAATGAAATAAATAATTGAATTTAGCACGGATGCATTAAATTGATTTGCAGGGTAAAAATTTATAATGCTCCAAATATTTATATTTGAGTGAAGGCTATTTTTATTACATTTTTTATTTTAAATTTGATTGCATTCTTAAATATGCATTTGTAGTTCTACTAACCACCCAACGTGTTCCCTCAGGAGTGACTTCCTGTTAAAACTGGCCCAGCTGAGAGAGCACTGGCAAGGGGCCGTGCAGAGAGCAGCTCAACGGCGTGCTCTAGTGGAGGGGCTCATACAGCACTGGCATCTTTATAGACACACGATGCAGAAACTCCGAAAACTCCTCACACTCTCACACACACTCCTGTCGCCAGCAGGTCCCACGCATTGTAGTGTCCTGCAGCTGCGCCTCATGCTGGATGATCTGAAGGTAACACCATTTTTGTTAATAGTTAGACATTGCTGTTATCCAAGCTGAAGCTAATGTTAGTCAATCTTTATTTACATTATCAGCATGATTTTATTTGTGTTTTTGATAACATCTTTGAAAGATGTTATTTGAGGGAAAAAAAACCCATAATACTCTGAAATATTATTATGATTTAAAATGACTGTATTATTGCTGTATTATTATATTTTACAGTGTCATTTAATACAGTGATGGCAAAGGTCAATTTTGAACTGTCATTATTCCAATTTTTGGTCTAAATGTTTTATTTTCATGGTCTCTTTAACACATTTTGTTGATTTTACATTACGTTGCAATGAGTGTTAGGGAAAGTTACTTTTGAAAGTAGTGCATCGACAGTATCGAGTTACTCCTCAAAAAAGTAACTACACTAAAAGATTCAATTAGTCGTGACAACATAGTTTTTAGGTCATTGTAACTTATTAAACTAAGTTAATCATAGTCTAACGTAATTTTATAAGTTAAGCAAGCTGTTTTGAGTCAGTTTAACATAATATATGTTCAATAGACTCATAAGGTTAATTTGATTCAACTTAGAAATTTAGGGCAACCAAGATTTTTTTACAGTGTATTTGCTTACTTATTTTTATATTAATGCATTGTTACAGTACTTTTAGGTTATTTTTGTGTTACTATTTATTACCTGGCTGAGGCTTTATCCCTTTCAGAACTTCTTTTTTTTATAGAGGAGCTCTGCAATTAACAATGCACTGTATAACCTACTGTACACCTTCATTTACCTTTAAAAAAACACTTAAAAACATATACAAGTACAGTATATGTTAGAGGATAATGTTATCTGAGAACTTTCTGACTCATGAGCTATACATGCCATATTTACAGATTAATGAAAGTTTAAAGCAATGTGTTTGCCACCGTCAGTCCCTTTTCTCAGTCTCTTTTCTTTTTTATTTGATGCTTACAAAATAACAAACACATTCTGTCTTTTATGCTTGATTCATTGTGAATACTTCACTTTTAATTCAGCAATATATTTTTGAATAGCTAATTAATTAAAATAAAAAAGAAATTTTAGATCAATGAGCCCACATGAATGAATTTTGTGTCTCGCATCATTCTGAAGGTTAATATATTTTTATTATAATTTGAGCTCAAAAGTACTGCAAAAATGAAGCTTTATACTTATGTCATTTAAATGCAGTTGACGCTGTCGTGACACAGGAAAAGAAGCGCAGGGGCCCGCCTCCGTGGACGGGGACTTTTATTGAATAAGCGCTTCTGGCCAGGCGCTTCCTGACTGTGATTTTTGGCGCTTGTCTGCTTCACCTGACGGCGTTTACCTTTCACTTACGCTTACCTCTTTTACGCTAAACAACTAAATGAATGCTCAGGTTTGACTGACTATATTTCAGTTAAAATACATGATCAATAAGAACATTATCGGTTGCTGAAAGCACTTCCCTGTTTATGGCTTGCGTTCCTAAGTAACCGATCAGCTGGGTGCTGCGGAGTGCGCGCCTCTCTGCGCAAGCTTCACTCATAGGGAACAAATAGCATTTTAAAGACACGGCACAACATTGCACCTCGTCCATAGCGCGACAGGCTTTACACTTTGCATTGTACAAATATCAGACGGTCCTCTTTGCAGCATGGCAAACAAACATATTAAAATTGTAAAGCAAAAAGTGCTGCAATAACAATGAATGAAGCTGTCATCACATCAGCGAGTGCTCAGTTTCACTCCTGTTACACTAGTGACAACTGGATGAGCTCTGCAGTGGACCTCACATTGGTTCATGATTAAAAAAAACTAAATTGTATACACACTGAGTAAAACCACTATAGCCTTTAAAAATTATAATGTATCTGTTTGTGTTATGTTATAGGGCTAATAATTATTAAATATTAAAATGTATTAGTGCTCTGTATTTAATGGAGCTCAACATACCTGATCAAATTTTAATACTCTGAATATAAATGCATTTTTGTTCCACTTTTTCCCATATTTGTTTGTGTAACTAATTTAAATGTAATGTTCAGTATTATTATTAATAGAACAAACTGGTATGAACATTTTAAAGTCAACAAAGCTTCTAAAATTATGCAAAGTAAAACTTGTGGCTCTTTGAACTTGAATGCCCAATTCTAGATCGCATTTAGGACATTATTTTTTTATCAGTGTAAGTCAGGATTGTCGACCTGAGTAAATTATGGTGTGCACAAAAAAAAGGAATAAAAATAAACAAAACACACTGAACCACTACAGCCTCCATTGTAGTATTGCTAGTTACAACAGTACAGTTAACTGTTAACAGGCTGATGAATGACAAAACTCTTTAAAACTTTAAAGCTTTAAATCTTTAGATACATTTAGAGTCTCAGCTGTAAGGGTAAATACAGAAGAGTCTAGCTGTGCATAGGCTGAAAAAAAGCATAAAAATGGCATAAAAACTGTGTAAAGTGACGACTTGTACACAAAATATAGCTTGTTGGAATAATCCAGTGAGAGCAGACCACAATGAGTACTGCGCATCAAGGTTTGATCAATAGATTGAAGCACTAAAACCATGTCAACTCAACTAACATCTTACAAAAATTAATCCAGATAATGAATAATATAAATTTATTGAATAATATATAATAATATAAATGTATTGAATAATACAATTTTAAAAAATTAAGTACAGTTGTTAATTTGAGGGGGTGGCGTCATTTTTATTTTTGGGGGGTCCCCAAAAGAATTCACCCTACACAAAGGGGCCCTCAGCTGAAAAAGTTTGAAAACCCCTGAGTTAACGTGTACTTGCAAAATTTCTTATAGTCAGGAGAATGTCTGTTGGTGGAGTAGTTGTGTCAGCAGATTATTTACAATAAAAGTGATACATAATTTTCTGTATTTTTTGAGGAAGTCCTGTTTTAATAGAAATTTCTAAATAAAAGCATTAATTTACAGGACAAATCTTTGATAATCGTCTTTAATATCATTTGTTTACTGTAATTTATTTCCTGTGATTTACTGTCATTTATTTTACAGCCATTTACTGTAAATTTTGATAAATTGTATGCTGAATAAAGTATCAGTTTTTAAAAACATTTCTTAAAACATTTGAACAAATCTACACCTTAAACACTTCAAATATTGCAAATCTCTTTGTATCCAGTTTACACACTAAATTTTGCTGCATTTTTTTCAGAGAATTTATTTTTTGAAAGGTGTATTTCTATGTAAATAAAATTTAACATCTATTTAATTTATTCAGGCTATGGTACAATAATTCATTCATTTCCTTCAGCTTAGTCCTTTTATTCATCAGGGATCGCCGCAGCGTAATGAACCACAGACTTATTCACAAAATGTTTTACACAGTGGATACCCTTCCAGCTGCAACCCAGTGCTGGAAAGCACCCATACACACTCATGCATACATACACTACAGGCATTTTAGTTTATCAATTGCCCTATAGCGCATGTCTTTGGACTGTAGGGGAAACCAGAGCACCCAGAGGAAACCCACACGAACACGGGGAGAAAAGGCAAACTCCATACATAAATTCCAACTGACCCAGCCGGGACTTAAACCAGTGACCTTTTTCCTGTGAAGCGACAGTGCTAACCATTG